CTCTACATGAATTAGTTAGTTTCAATACATCTTCACTACTTCTTTTTTTAATCTGTCTAGTGTGTTCTCATTATTTGTCTATAAAACTACATCTCTGCAGCTTCCAAATTATTTTTTACCAGTCTACCAATTGTCCATTATTTACTTCCATACATCAGGATAGGATTTATATAAACATAACATTACCTGCATTTAATAAAGATAATTTCTTTCAACCTAGAATACACTTAATATACATGTTACCTTTTATAAACTAATAAAAAGAATATAACAGTTACCAGCATAAAGATAATTTAGTCAAAGTAGATTATATACTCAACTTATTATACATGTTAGCTTTCTTAAAACAAAAATAAAAATACTAAACAAAACATTACTTGCACATAATTAAAGAGAATCTTGCCAACTTAACGCATACTCAATTTATATCCACTTGCATCAACATTTTGAGTGTAATTAATAAAACACAGATCCCACACACAAGACCACTTCAATAAAGGGGTTAACAGCTGGTATCAAGGGGTTTTCACCTACATGTCAGCAGCAATAAACAGAGCATTCTATTTTAGACTTTATTCCATGGATGAAATGAATGCAGCAGAAAGAGCCAACCTACACATGATCTACAGAAACAATTATCCCACAGTTTGTTCACTAAGTACAGCCCACTTTGAATATATACACACAAGAGTCTACACAGCCCACAACACTTCAGCTGGCTCCTATTTCTAGCTAACTACTTCTTGAAGCTTTCTCAATTTAAAGTCCCCCTGATTGTTTTACACTGAACAGGTGGTTATTGTTTATTTCTTTTAGGTATTTAGATGTTGAATCTAGGGAAGGTGTTGGTGATCATAATTCTCCACTCCTTCTATTTTGTGTTATTTAAATAAAGTTCATACTGCCTGTTGCTTGGCCTAGTTATTTAAGAACGCATTAAACCATAAAAGTCTATATTGTTGTTAAGGATGTCAAGAATGTTAAGCAGGGATATCAAATTGTGGATAAGCACGGTGACATCATGATAGTTCACAGATGGCCACACTACTTTAGACATGCACCCAAGAGGAGCAGCACTCTGTTATCCATATATTTTTTTTAACCAGCGTTGCCTCCTCATAATCTTTTCTACTGCCCTTATTGTGCAGATGTTTTCTACACATAAGACTAACTGCTCTATTACACCTCTTTTGCTAATATTATCAAAAAACTGCATTTTGTTTTTCTGGTGCTTGGGAACTGATATATAATGGGTAGCTGGTAATGTCTATGTGTTAATTATCTTTTGTCCAAAATGCTCTTAAGATGCTTCTTTAAAAGTTAAATTAAAGTCAAACGAATTTGCTTCATGGTTCCAGGTTACCCCATATGACTCAGTCTCTCTCTCTCTCCCCACAGAATGGGTAGCCAAAAGTGGTATATACAGGCAGTAAAGACAGACTGCACTGACAGATGAAAGGGAGAAGAAGAAGGTGAGAAAATGATGATTAGACAACACTGACTCTTTTTTTTTCAAACATGCAGAAAGTATATTTAATGAAAACACACCATGAAAACTCAGATAATGAGAATAGACAGAAAACATAATAACATGAATGTTCATGTTAAGGGTACTACAATCAAACAAGTATGAGAAATCATATATATAGGTATCATATTTACAGAAGATGGGCGACTTGATTTAGAAGCCAGAAGCCAGAGTACAGACGAGAAACTGACATCCACCAGTTAGCCCTACTGCTTAGACACCCAAATGTCTCCATTCCAACAAAACAGCAAATAATTAATAGCATCTTTATTTTACTTTGTGCTATTTTTGTGAATAGGGCACCAGAACAGAAAATTTCTACATGTGGAATGTGCTGTCTCTGTAAGGTCACTAACAATACAAGAAGGGAGAGGGTTATGAATGCCAGCATTAGAGAAACAGTTGGAATAAGAGCTTGTCTGATTTATACTGACCCAAAAAAATGCAATGGTTCAGCTATCTAATAAGAATGCAGCCAGATCCAACCGCATATGAAAATTTTTTTTACAGCAGAACATCTGAAAGGAAGGTGAGAGGAAGACTCAGAAGGAGATGAATACATGGTGTAGCTGAAAGTGCAACAAGTTTTTTTTTTTAAACCATCACCTTAGACAAATACAGAGAACCATGACACCGGGTTACGACCTGGTAACAGTGAAACAACAAAAGAAGAAGACAATATCTAGGGCACACTAAGCAAACAAGGAGACAATGTAATAAATGTTAGTCTTCTGCCACCTTTCCACACGACAGTGTGCTACAGGAAGGCATGAAAATCACCACCCGTGGCAATGGTGAGTGAGACTAGCAACATACACTCATGTTAAGGAAAGTTTTTCACAGTTTGTGCATGAGACTTCAGGACCACTGTTGCTTTGCCACTGCATGAATTTAACATACTTCCCAGATTCTTAGCTCTTAACCTATCTGCAAGCCATTGCAATGCAAACATCAAATAAGTAACACATCTACAAATGGCTTGAGGTGAGCTGGCTGGGAGTCTATGTTCCATAGGAAAATAGCAGACATAAAAAGAATTCACACAAACAATGATAGCCAATGAGCTCAGACTTGATGTCATCAGTGTCAGGCTTGAAAAGTCATTTGTGAAGTGACTGTCAGTTGATGACATCCTAGTCAGTAAACATGAGGTTCAAAAACATTAAACTAACACATAGAATTCCAGTAAAGGGAGTCACGTGACACCTCTTTAGGTATGTAAACGCTAAGGTATCACTGGTTAGAGCAGTGACATATCAGTACAGCAATCTAGGGTTTCTTCTTCCTCTTCTTCTAAGTTCGATCATAATAGGGTAGTAGGTGTACTGTGTTAGGCTGTGACATCTGCACCCTTTGGCATAACACCATAAGTAATCACTTCTTACAATATAAGCTTGTTTTGAAAAGCGTGGGGTGGGGTATTCTCACCTCTCTCAAAACGAGGTCCTGATACCAACCAACAAAAGTATTCTGAGGCCTAATTCCCAGTAGTAACAAGATTCTATATTAACTAGAACACCCCAAAAACACCACCTTCCATTTGTTCTCTTCCCATAACATTTCTTTTTTTTTTTTAACTTCTGCATCTGTTTTGAAAATATCAAATGGTACAATGTGCTGTAATTTACAACTAGGCTTTGATATTTGCAAACTTTAGCCCAGCATAACCAATTTCAGCAAATCACTAATTAATAAAAAAAAAAAAAAAAAAAAAAAAAAAAATGAAATGCTTGCTAGGGGTGCAATAGATCTATATTTTTTCTCCTCCAAAATGGTGCCCTGAAACCCACTCAGGGTATAAAATGATTGAACAATGACGATAGTATCCAAAATCAGATAAACATAGCAGAGAAAAAAAAGATATTGATCTTTCCAGTGATGCCATTAACAAACAGAGTAAAGAATCCTGGATTTATGCTGCTAGACCCATATTTGTTATAGCCCCATGAAATCATTAACTCTTTGAGTCCCAAGGAACGCACCATACGCTCATATGTTCCTATTCACTACCCCCTGGGCTTGTGATGCTAAACCCCCTGGGACTCAAAGAGTTAAGCGATGTGGTCAACATCATGCCAGCCTCCTTTGCATCCCAGAATATCAACCAGCAAGTGTACAATCATTTATAAAAATACACCGAAATGTCAAAATCAAGGTCTTTCAACCAAGTGGTTATCGCTTTTCCCAGAAGACTGTCATCATCCAACAAAACGTCACTAATACATATGTTAACAGAGATATGTTATGACTGTGAGTCATGGAGCTCTAAAACACACACACACACATAGAGAGGAGAGAGAGAAAGAAAAAAAGAGCCATAAAGAATTCACTCAAAACAAATATCTATACAGCTCTAATTGGTGGATTCTGAATGATTACCAAGACAGTTTCAACACTGGGGTCTGAAGCACGGATATTCATACTATCTGAGCTCTAAAAAGAGATTTCATCAATCAGATCGATTGAGGTTTGTGTGGAGATGTGGAGACCTTTCTCCTCTCTCTTGGAGAGAGAGAGAGAGAGAGAGAGAGAGAGAGAGAGAGAGAAAGTGAAAGAGAGAGAGAGAGAGAGAGAGAGAGAGAGAGAGAGAGAGAGAGAGAGAGAGAGAGAGTAAAAAATAAACTTACACACAGACTTGGCAAACTCAACATAATCAATTAAAAATTATTTACAACATATTAAAAAATGTGTGTTGGTCAAGACACTCTACATACTAACATACAACTTTCTACTTTTGCACTGGCAAATACTACCACCGACTACTTCTTTCTCCGCCTGCACCTTTAATGACCATGAAATCTATTTTTAAGAATGGGCTGGTATATCAATTTACATAGTAGTACATACATTTACAAAAGAAACAATGATGTCTGCTACAGTCAGGATAAAACAGGAGCTGGTAACGACAATCCTCTTGCTGAAAATAACGTTCTGGCTGAAAATAATGTAGCATCATAGTCAATGTTATTTTTAATGTACCTAAATCAATGCATACGTGAGTCGAATTGAATTAACGAGAACCTCAGTACTTTATTAATATTTAAATTATTTTTTTTTAAGTTCAAACAGACAAACAACAAACTAATCAACAAACGTTAACGATCAACGACACACTGACACTCAGACTTCAGCACTAGTAAACACCCTAACAACAAAATTAACTTACCAACGAGAACCGAATAACATTTAATGTAAGTATTTTTGGCAGCAAAACTCTTGCCCTGTAACTGTTATATTCCCAGAAAAACCAAGAGAGAATGACTTCCAACAGTTGGCGGCTGTTTCCCTTGCTACCAGTCAGGTACTGCAACCAGTCCAAGTCAACCATAGGGCGCAGGTAACCGGAAGTCGCGACCCTGACTTCCTGGATGCAACAAGATGGCGGCAAAAGCAAACTTTTGACAAGTCTGGACAGACCAATACACTGAAAACTAAATTCTTTTAAAAAGTGGTGTTTGATGCACTGCCAACAATGGATAATCGTATGTGTTTAATGCGTGAAGTCGAGACTGTTTTCTATATACATGTGTTGCTATGGTAGTTGCAGGTCGAAATTATAAACTTCGAACGAATCCTAAACTAAAATTTCATAGAACCGAGAATCTAGCTACTTCAGTCAAATTTTTAAAATGCCCTCTACACCAATAAAACCAGCACAGTTAGATAGCTGTAAACAATCTCTTTCCAATGGTACCTCATTTAGGCTTGTATGTCATTTCTGAGCTGAGATATGTAGGTTTTTGTGGAGATGAGATGTAAGAAACAGCCGCTAAAACTTGTGACCCAGAAACAAGAAGTTTTTTACTGCGCAACCTACTGCGCAGTTCTGTATCGGCTTTGTTGACATTGGACTGTCATTGGACAAGATGGCAGGCAGTGAGACTCAGCTCACTCAGCCGCATGCGATTGCCTAAAAAATGTCACTGTAAATCTAAACAGCCAGAGTCGGGGAAAAAAATTTAATATGCAAATGTAAAATTGGACGGAGAATTCAATTGTAACTAGCATTACCACAACTGGTAATGTTTAAGCCTAAAGCCAACCTCGAATTTACCGCTATTTTCAATCAAACTGATAGACTAACAGAAAAACAGAGAATGTCCGGCTGTCGTAGACATGCGCTGTTAATCGGGTTCCTTCCCGCCGTTTTCAGCTATTTAGAGTGGGTGAAAATCACACCAATGGCAAAATTTCATGAGAGATTAGGACCCATCCCGAAACCCCAGCCGACATTTCCGAAACAAGTTTTAAACGGTTTCTATGGTAACGGAAATTGTCGAAAAGATAGCAAATTTCCGGATCTGTGGTCCCTAGAGAATCAGAGAATGAAGTTTATAAAGTCCGGAATAATGATATGAATGTGAACGTCTTCTCCTCTTTCATCTTCCTTCATAGGTTCATCTTCATAGGTTAATCTTCTTCTCCCGCATCGCCTTCTCGCTGTCTTTTTTGTCCTTAAACTCCTTATCCTCTCCTTAACCCATCTAGCCTAGATGATATGGTCATAATCATAATAATTACTTTAGTCAAATTCCCTCTACAATAATAAAACCAGCACAGTTAGATAGCTGTAAACAATCTCTTTCCAATGGTACCTCATTTAGGCTTGTATGTCATTTCTGAGCTGAGATATGTAGGTTTTTGTGGAGATGAGATGTAAAAAACAGCTGCTAAAACTTGTCTCCCAGAAACAAGAAGTTTTCTCTGCACAACCAAACTGCGCAACTTTTGTTTTGGCTTTGTTTACATTGGACTGTCATTGGACAAGATGGCAGCCAATAACGAATGAGACACAGCCACATAATAGCGATTGCCTGAAAAAATGTCACTGTAAATCTAAACAGCCACGGACAAGAAAGAAATTTTATACACAAATGTAAAATTGGACGGAGAATTCAATTATAACTAGCATTACCATGTCTGGTAATGTTTAAGGCCAAAGCCAACCTTGAATACTTTACCTCTATTTTCAATCAAACTGATGTAACAGAAAAACAGAGGACGTCCGGCTATCGTAGACATGCGCTGTTAATCGGGTTCCTTCCCGCTGTTTTCAGCTATTTAGAGTGGGTGAAAATCACACCAATCGCAAAATTTCATGAGAGATTAGGACCCATCCCGAAACCCCAGCCGACATTTCCGAAGCAAGTTTCGAACGGTTTCCGTGGTAACGGAAATTGCCAAAAGATCGCAAATTTCCGGACACCGTAGTGGCTACATAATTAAGTACCTGAACTTGCACTTCAGGCTGTTCTGGAGTCCTACCCTACCTTCCACCACATTTTGCAGCTACGCCTATGTACACTGCAGATACCCCCCCCCCCCTTTCCATGTACACTGCAACTACCCCACCCCCCCCTGTACTCTGCAGTTTCTCCCATGTATCCTGCAGCTACCCCCATGTACTTTGCAGCTACCCCCCCCCCCCCCCCCCATGTAGTCTGCAGCTACCCCCCCCCCCCTCCCCTCATTAGTCTGCAGCTACCCCCATGTACTCTTCAGCTACCCCATGTATTCTTCAGCTACCCCCCCCCCTTCCACCATTTTGTCTGCAGCTACCCCCATGTAGTCTTAAGTTACCTCATGTATTCTTCAGCTTCCCCCATGTACTCTTTAGCTACCCCCATGTAGTCTGCAGCTACCCCCCCCCCCCCTTTCGCCCCCCCTTCCACCCATTTAGTCTGCAGCTACCCCCATGCACTCTTCAGCTACCCTATATATTCTTCCGCGTTCCCCTATGTACTCTTAAGCTACCCCCATGTAGTCTGCAGCTATCCTCCCCCCCCCCCCCATGTACTCTGCAGCTACCCCTATGTACTCTGCAGCTACCCCCATGTACTCTGCGGCTACCACCATGTACTCTGCAGCTACCACCATGTACTCTCCAGCTACCCCCATGTACTCTCCAGCTACCCCCATGTACTCTCCAGCTACCCCCATGTACTCTGCAGCTACCACCATGTACTCTGCAGCTACCACCATGTACTCTGCAGCTACCACCATGTACTCTGCAGCTACCACCATGTACTCTGCAGCTACCACTATGTACTCAGCAGCTACCTCCATGTACTCTGCAGCTACCCCCATGTACTCTGCAGCTATCCCTATATACTCTTCAGCTACCCCCATAGGAGTGACCATGGATCTGGTCGACACTCTACACTCAGAGGAAAAGGAACTGTTGGTTAGCTGTTGAAGATGAGGACGGAGCATGTTTTGGAGTGTGCTGTGATGCCAGTTAGCTCAACGCTCAACATATGTTTTTCATGTCCTTGTAGCACATATATATATATATATATATATATATATATATATATATATATTTTGTTTTAATAACAAAAGCATCTTTGTATTTTTTAATAAGAAATTATGTAGAAGTTATTTATTGTTGTAAAATGTATATTTGTAAGCCGGATCTTTGCTTTAAAACTGCTACTAACCTAAACTTTCACATTATTGATAAATAATACACTGCAGATAAGGTGAGTTAAGGTTACTCTCTTTTGTTTCAATTTAGTAAAACCATACAGTGCAAATAATTTAATTTAACTGTGACCTAACATCCTTTTTTTTTTCTTTCAGTTTGGCAAAGTCCGTATGTGAATACATTCAAGCATTTTAACCTAGTAACATGGAAGAAGGCAACAAAGGAGGGAGAAGTTGTATCCCTAATGGTATGGAAAAAAATGTATAATGTGAAAATCTTGTTAGCCTGCAATGTTATATCTTTATATGGTCAGGTACTTAACTCTTTGAGTCCCAGGGGGTTTAGCATCACAGGCCCACTGGGTAGTAAAGAGAGACTAAAATCGATGCATCATGCATTCATTGGGCTTCTAGGTAGGAACCTTTAAACATATGATGTGTTCCCTGGGACTCAAAGAGTTAACTCTTTCTTTACCTTGCAATTTACCATGTAATAATTTCCTAATCTGAAGACTATACTTCTCTTACAGTCTTTAGAGGTCCCCTTTAGTTAGTGTCAGATCTTTTCTCCAGGGGATTTAGGAACACATACAAATCCATCCCAGTGTGGGATGCAGTGTTTACATTATTTTGAAGACCCATTCCGGCTGTTGTCGGGGGGCCCTAATATAACCTAACAGTTGAACAGGGTTTCTAGAACTTGTGCCCAAGTGATTCTCATCCGAATGGTAGCATCTTTGTGTCACTGGGTGTTTATCGCTCGTTGTATGGTCCTAAAAAGTGTGCTAAAATTGTACACAGAACCTGTTCTGCTGTATGGCAGCAAATCTTGGAATGTCAGTGAACAGATTAGGACGAAGTTAGAAGCAACAGAGATGTGGTTTTTGAGATGAATGTTACGAATACCTTGGACAGCCATATTAACTAACAACGATTGCTTTAAAGAAGCTTATGAAAGTAGGTCTCTATATACAACAAAAAGAAAGAGACAAACACTGTTCTTTGGCCACATAATGAGAAGAGAGACATTGGAGAACATGTGACAACTGGAAAGATCAGTGGAAAAGGGGGTAGAGGCAGACCAAGAGAGATGGTGCTGGATGGGCTGAAACGATGGCATAGAAGGATATCATCAAGAGAACTATTTCAGGCAACCAGGGATCGTGATTTGTGGAGACACATGAGTGCCTACGCCAGTTGGCAGGGCACACGATAATGATGTATGGTCCTGGTGGGGTTGAACTTCATTCATTCGGAATGCAGTTTGTTGGAAAGTGAGCAGGCAGACAAGCTGGCTAGTGCTGCACCACTGGGTGGTGAATTGATTCAGATCAGACTAGATGTGAGCAACCCTTTGGGAGCAGATGATCAAAACAGAATCTCAGATAGATCACTGCGATATGGAGAGAATGGTACAGTGGGGAATGACCAGGGGATCTGATCAACATTTACACTCGATGAAAGGCAAGACTTCTAACTACCGCTGGTATTGTCGGCATTGCAACTCTTTATTGCTGATGACGATGGAGGCGGGGCACTTGTAGGAATTTCCTAAATGCTGTGATATCAGTTTTTACCAGTTGGAGCATGAACTCATTATGTTCATTTTGTTAGTTGGTACCTTCTGTCCCTTAGTGTAAGCATATTAGCTAGGCTGATTTTAACTAGAACATCTTGAGATAGAAAGATTGAAAGTAATTGTAGGCTGATGCTGAAAAGTTAATACAGTTTATTTATTAGATTATAGATTATTCAGATTAATATTTGACAATAAGAATAAATAATGAAAGCGCACGAGACAGAAGGCGCATAGAGGAGCATCATTCAGAGCCAGAGTGCATCTGCTTGAGAGGCATGGAACCAAGAGTCTGCATTAAAAAAAGGCAGATCTATAAAATGAATGTGCATACAACACTGATGTTCAGGAACAAGTCCGGAAGTGGACGAACAACCCACATTTTCTGCCAGAGTTTACAGCTGGTGAACACAAAGAGGATATATAGAGGTTATCATCAGATATTTTAAATAAACACCAACTGAGATTTTCCAGGTAATGTTACCTTGCCTTAATTTTTTTTTTTTTTTCAGAATCAGGCTAACATAAGAATTCTGCATTATTATCTCCCTAACTTTTCTTTCATAGGACAAGACTGTGAAGAGCACTGTTTACCGCATCACAGGTTCCATACCGGCAGGCAACTTCATCCAGCTTCCAAAAACCAACACACAGTCATTAGGCCTAACTGGGCGTTACTTCTACTTACTTTTCCGGCCCATTCCATCAAAACATTTTGTTGTACATCTCGATGTAGTAACAGCAGAAAACCTTACGATCCGCGTGTCATTTTCTACCCTATTCAAAAGCTTTAAATCAACGTCAACGTGGCTTCAGTTCCCGTTCGTGTGTGGCACACCTCAAGGTTCTTTGCCACCATATGCTGCAGAAATTGTCAAAGGTAATTGCATGAAATACACACCTTTTAATTTTTATAATAATTTGAATGTCTTTACACTGGAACCGACGTTTAATCAATCAACACAGAACAGGCATCATCAGTTGTTTTGTGCTTGTGTAGCTTTTGAGGAGGAGATCAGAGCACCTGTGGACCTGTCTGGAGGGCTGTTAAGGTAACCCTCACTAATCACACTGGAACCCACAGGGGCATAGAAATAAAGACAGACCAAAATACAGAGGTGGGAGCTACGGAAAGAAATTGAAAAAATAAAGAGGACGTGAGCTGAGCTGCGATGCTGCAGCAAATGATAGAAAAACTTGACGTGAATTGTTTGAGGGTCTATGCTCCACCAGGGGCTAGAGGGCAGAGGGAGAAGGAAGAATTACGTAAAATCTGTAGTGTTACTACAACATGCATTTGTGCAATGTTACAATTGTTTCTGCTGTGCCATATAACTTTGTGTTAATATTTGTGTTTGGTCTTGTTAAAATTCCGTTATTTGAAAAACCTGGCAACAGTAATAACAATGCAGCCAGCCTCTATTGAGAAATGGAACAATTAAACAGTTTTTTTTTAAAAATTCATTGGCTGTAAACTCCACTGGAAAGTTCTGGTTTTTCATCCACTTTCATCCAGCATTTGGGTTTCCTAGGTCAACCCAGCCTTGAGTGGATACCAGGTACAATCCCTGGGAGGTAAAAGCAGCCGGAGGGATGCTGACCAAATTACCCACTATGTGCCAATTGGTCTATACAATTTAGGTCTAGCCCTATATGTTCAACACACCTGAAGGTGTGGAAAGGAGTCTTTTCTTTCTAATGTTGATGAAGAAGGCCGGTGGTTGTAAACTTGATTCCATACACCATATGAAGAGGATTACACAGGAAAGAATGACAATATACCAGTACATTATTTCAAGCCCTATGTGTTTAATGTACATTATTTCACTGAACAACAAAAAATCAAATAGTTTGGTCATCTAGTCAGCCAGATGCTAGAGTGTATGTACTACATGAGAACAGCAGGCTACAAGCCAAGAGGCTGACAATGTAAGAGATGGGTGGGTGAAGTAAAAGAGACACTAAAGGAACACAGTATGACATTAACACAAGCTATGCAACCAGCAAAAGACATGAAACTTCATCTAACTCCTCTCTGTGATGCTTTACAGTGTAAACAGTACAAATAAATAAGAACATTTTTTTTACTGGGGTGGTTTTGAGTAAACACTAATGAAGGGTATGGTTCTTAGAAGAAGAGGTCACCTAGCATGAAGGTTGACACAGGATATCAGAGACACTCTTCTTTGTTCAGGGGGCTTTGTGGTCTTGAAGCATGGTGTCCTCCTCAAGTGCTAAGGATTCCAGATTCAATCCCTGGTAAGGGCTGGAATTTTTTCGCGTGGACTTGGACTTCTAGTAATTCCCCCTGGACTCTGGGTAGTGAGAAATTAGATGCCAGTGTGCAACAGAGCACTTATGAGTTATTACCCGTGTGCCATGATGTTGATCAGTTGTTCAAACCTCAAACTCTCCCTGGTGGAGTATAGACCCTCAAACAGTTCACACCAGGCTGCTCTATTCTTTGATGTTGCATGCAACCTATACCAATCCTACCCATTTTGTTTAACCTCACTCTCTAGTTCCCTTCTTCATGTTTTTAGTCTGCCTTTATTTTTCTATGCCCCCTGTGAGTTCCAGTGTAAAGACATACTAATTATATTGTTTTCTGTGGTTTTTTTGTGTGTGTGCTTATGTTCTTATGAGATGAGGTAGCCAACCCACAGCCCAACCCTACCCCTAGTCACCTCTTACAACAGTCAAGAGACACCCTGTGCAGGAAAGGTTTGAAGTTTGAATAACGGATCAACATCATGGCACACGGGTAGTAACCCTTAAGTGCTCTACTCTTCTTCTAACTCAAGTCCGAGTACGAAGAAGATCAGCACAGTGCACAGGCTCTGTAGCACCGGCAAGGATCCTGAAACACTTTTTTGTAGATTTTTAACTCCAAATTTTGCCCGGGCAGCGCCTTTAGGCTACTCTTTTCGATTTCCAACTGCCAAGGAATTTATTTTTACGTGCGCAACAATGCACATGGGCATCCAATTTCACTACCCAGAGACCAGAGGGAATTACTAGAAGTCTAAGTCTACGTGAAAAAATCCCAGCCTTTATCAGGGATTGAAACCCGGAACCTCTAGTACTCGAGGCGAACACCATGCCTCGAGACCACGCAGCTCCCTGAAATAAACGTGGAGCTGCCGGGAGTCATAATCGGTGCCTCTCATATGCGAAGCGAGCGCTCTACTAAATGAGCTACAGCCCTAGATGCAAGAAAGTTGACAGTGGACCAAGGGACTTTAACTTCTTATGATGAGAGAGCGTTCTGCAAAAGACCTGCTGAATGACAAGTTTTTAGACTTTGAATTAGGGAGAAATAAACACAGGTTTTTTATTTTGTAACTTATTTATTCAGATCAAAGTGGGCCAGCCCCTATGGTCACAAAATGGACAATCCTGTGCCTGGATCTCCAACACATCCTGTCAGTCTACCTGAACAGAAAGTTTCTCTATGTCAAGTCCATCAGATTATGTGCTAATATGCTGGTCAAGAATGTGTTTACCAGTGATACACTGTATGACCCAGGTTTGTGCCAGAAGATTATATTTATTTACCAGTATGCTTTGTTCTTCCTGGTACTGTACACATACTTTATCATGTAATTGTTTTACATTAACTATGTAAAGATTTGTTTAGATCTACATGGAGTTAAAAGTGTCGGCATCTGTAGACTTTGGGATTGTGAACACCGTTTCACAATCCCAGCATGTCATGTTCAAATTCAGCTGCTGGCAGTTTGGTGGTGAACTGATTTATGTTGATTTTGACAACAGTATGAACATCATTCTGTCCAGAAAGCAATGGCACACTACTCAGTGTATAATTACCCAGGAAAATCACTAATGGGAAATAAATGCTGGGGTTGGCTTGTGACATCCTGATAAGGATAGGCTACTAACTTTAGGTAGGGATAGTTTCATAGCAGTTATTGCCATTTGGTTGTGAAAACAGACCACATATTCTAGGCCATTATATCCAAGGTGGAATGGTCAGTTCCCTTCCTCACTTGCCTTCCTGCCCGGAAGATACTTAAAAAATTATGGAATTTGTTCAGTCCACATTTTTATGAATCTGTGTGATGTATACAGTAGAAAGTCTATATTTATTGTTTTACTGAAAGACCTAGTCCTAGTCTGTTTATTTTTATTATATAATTTTTTAGCCTTAATCCACATTGAACATCAGACATCACCATATTAGTACTTGGTGTATTTCTGCTGGTAGCAAAATTATAACATCTTACAGGGTTAAATGAGGTATCTGGTGTTTGCCCTGCTGGATTGTCATGCAGGTTGCCACTCTTTGAGTCACACTCTCATGTAGCAACCCAGCAATTCTTACACCACATTTATTATAATTAACTTCAAAGATAACATGTTTTATTGGTTTTGAACAGGTCTGACAATGTCTGATGCCAAACGACATGGTTTAACAGCTCAAGGAATTTGTCCTTTGCCACGAGACATGAGTTATCCGTTGGGCAAAGGAGAACATTGGCATGATTTGTACGACTGGATCAGGTATCACTTGTGGACAATAGAAAATATATACATTTTGAAGACGAACAACAGTAAAACATATAAATATATTAAAATATTGCTGTACAGTTAGTAGTATAATTAAAATGCACAAAATAAGCTTATCAGGTAATGTTAAATTATGTTGTATCATATTAATATCTCAGTGTTCAACCATTTGTGTAATAAAAACAATTTATAATTTTGATTGTGTAAAAAAACAAAAACTGCCAATTACTGCCTTTATACCACTTTTGCGGTGTAGGCAAGGGGGTCTTTGAGCCTGAGGATTTATGGTCGCTTGGCTAGTGCTGTCGCCACGACTGTGCTGGTGAGGATTTTATTTTGCCTTCGACAGAAAACATTCCCAGCCTTACCGAGGATTCGAACCCGGGTTTCTCACATGAGAGCCCAGCATTTTAACTGTTTGGCCAGCCGCTCCTCTTGATTCTTTAACTTACCTGTAATATTAGTTTTGAAACATATAAAGCAAATCTTGAAGGAAGAGTGACCAAAAGCTAGAAAACAAGAATAAACCCACTGCCCCCTAACAAGTATGCCGTAAGAGTAAACTAATAAGGGGTGTTTCCTTCAAAGTCGGAGTGTACCTGAGAGGCAAGGAACCAATAGTCTGCATACAAATAAGTCAGATCTATAAAATGGAAGTGCATGTTAAATTCACTTCAAGTTCTGAAACAAGACCAAAGTCCAGAAGCGGATGAGCAACCACAACTTTCCACCAGAGTTTACAGCCAGTGAGTGCAAAGAAGAAGTCGAAGAAGTGGTACCAAGCTGTGTTATATTAGAGAAAGCCCTTTTTTCTTCCAGTACCACTTAGTGCTGCCATCATCAGTTATCCATCGCCTTCTTTTCTGTTTCTGCCCCCATTCCGACCTGCTTTAGTAATAGAAAAAGACAAAATATTGCCTTCTTGACGAGGTGAGAAGAACAGTTTCTGCATGACACAGTCCATTTAGTATGAACTGTTGTCTGGGAGCATCAACACATGTTGTATTTTTATATCCTTTTTGTTTGTTTGTGAATGCTACAGAAATTTGGCTAGGTATTTTAACTTTTATCACATCTTTACTATAACTGTTATACATTAACAAAATTAGCAGTGTACACATTTCAGCATCTGTGGCTTAGGCATTGCAAACAAGCTTCGTAATTCTGAAGTACTTAGTTTGATTCCAGCTGCAGCCGATTTGGCAGCAGGCCACTTTATGCTGATTTCGACAGTGATATTAAACACTGACTGTTAAGAAGGATATGGCAAACTATTGAGTGTATAATTATCTAGTGAAACCAAACATCCAAACATGCTGGGGTCTGCAACGTTCTGTAAAGGGTATGCAACTAACAGCGTACATAGTGCCGCTTAAGTCCATTAAGAAGGGAATACTGGCCCACTGAGTCAACATTGTACTCAAAGTTGTATGGAACTAAAAGTAAACTCCTAAAAACAGTTAAGTTTATCACAAAACTTGTTTGTCATTGTAATTCAGAAAGTGAAAACAAGAAGAAGAAAAAGCCACTTAATATGTGATAGTTGGCCAACTACTGAGTTGAGTGCATGGTGCGACACTATGTGCTGTGAATTTCTTGGAGAATGCTTATTGTCCTGGTTCCTGGAGATGTGTTTTGTAAACTTCAAATTCAGAATGTGGCAAGGGGCTGGTTGTCATAGAATTGGTTGTGCCTTATGTAGTAATACATGTTGTGCACCTGCTGGTTTATCATGACTCCTGCTTCCGTCAACTGTGAATGACTATTCCAGTTATGGGCTGTATGTGTTAGCACCTCTGGCAAATACCTTATACATTTGATGCATATGCGAGCTGTTAGATTTTGCCGGGACTGCTGACTTTTCACAATGGAGTAGCAATGGGCAGTTTGGGCGGGGTTCACATGCACAGGAATGGAACATTTATGAGGTTACCTGTTTTTAATGGGATTGAAACCCCAACATATAGTCTGATAGATTAATATTGTATCGGTTATTGTCCTCTTGTATTACTGAAATAGATCATGAATAATTCACAGGGCTACTGTGATACATGGTTCAGATGACTGTGCTTTTATGCAAGTTATGTGTTTTTCCGTCAAAGGCAAAAATAAAATCCTAACCTGCACAGTCCATGGGGATTGCACACTCCACGTGGTCCTAACTCCTCAGGCTCAAATACCCCCCCCCCCCCCCCCCCCCCACCTACATCAAAAGAAGAGTAAAAACAGGCAGTAGTCACATTTTTAAAATCTATTTAGTCAATCAGAGTAATTCAACTGTATTATAAGTGCAGGAGATTTGTATAGTTCCATTGTGATATTACTTAACTAATTTGTCACATATACACAAGCTTTAATGTTAAATAAAATAATTGCTTTACAGATTTCCCAGTGAATCGGGACATAAGACATTTGATGCCATACAGATGGCAAGTCCCAAGTCTAGAGGAAAGTCAGGTTGGTTTGACAATAAAGTGGAACACTTTCACATTTCACACACAACATTTCTTTAACTTTTGAAACTTTCACGCATTAACATTTCTAAAACTTTTGAAACATTCAGCAATGTATATTAGGAATCTATCTGAGTACTGTAAAATAGAGAAATAAATAGCAGGGAAACCCCTACGGCTATAGAAACAGGATGATAGACAAATTAACATGCGTTGCTTGGCCGTAATAGAAAAAAAGCAGAGAAAGGTGGACACACCAGACTGCATGCATATCAAAAGCTATAGTTTCATCCCAGTGTGGGTTCTAGGGCCCATTGGGGTTGGGGGTAGGGGAATAGATCTACTGCCCCCCTCACAAGCATATTAAACTCGACCAATTGGGTGTGTTTCCTTTGAAGTTGGAGTGCATCTATCTGAGACTTGAGGAATCAGCAGCATGCTTAAAAATTAAAAAACGGGTGTACACGCAAAAGTTAAGTGTTGGAACAAGACTAAAATTTAGCAGTGGACGAACAACCAGAACTTTCTGTGAAGTTTACAGTCGATAAACACACACATACACAAAAAAAGAAACCAAAAAAAAAAAAGAAAGCTATAGTCCCCATACCAATCTCATGCAAATGATTGATGCAGTGAAGCACCTTTGTCAATTTTGTAGAAAAAATCTGCCTCGATGTGGATTCAAACACAAGACATTTTGGGGCAATGAATGCCTAGCTACTGGTACTGCAGCTCCCTGTTGAAATTGAAATGCCCAAAATCTATGGAGGAAGTATCAACATCAAGAGTCAAAACCAAGCCAGTGTGTCTGCATTGAAAAATATATATCTGTTATGTTGCCTAGTTTACTTGATTGTATCCTTTGTGTCAGAGTTGTTTTTCTTCTTTTAATCTATTATTTTAGGCATTCATTCTGGCCTTTGCTTAGACATAATTGTTATTGTTGATAGGATACATTATATTTTATATGTTTGATTTATTTATTATCTGTATGTGTCATCCATTTGTGCAGTGGAAAAGTATTCGTGAAAATTCTTTCTTCTTTTGCTTGTTAATTTTTTTTTTTACCTTATTTCTCATTTCTGCTATCTTTTTCTTACCAGGTGTGGTTATCCAGTCTTAAAAGATCGTTGTTTTTTTTCAATTATATTTAAATATGTATAAACCTCATTAATCTAGCTTTGTGCTGTCCATATACACACTTTAAGTTGTCTTTGCCTTGCTTGCACATACAAATCAGAGATATTTGCTGCAAATCGTTTCTACTATTCGTAGCTCTTCTAATGTTTGTTTCATTCCACTTATCCTCATGTTCTGTTGCTATTAAAATGTATATTTCAGTATTCCAGCTTGTGTGTTTAATTCTTCCTATTTTTTAGTTTATGATTTCCTTTTTTTTTTTTTAAGCACATAAAGGTTCATCTTCGGTGATGCCGCCCAAAAGGATCCAGCCACAGACACTTGATGTGAGCAAATGTGTGTCAGACAGGGTGTCCATGATACATAAGCTCACAGCACCAAGACAGGTTAGTCATTTTAACATTTTCATTTTTACTTTAAATGTTTCCATATTTAATCCATTTGTGTGTGAGAGTGCACATGCTTATTTATTTGATTTTTTTCCCCTAGTTTGTTACTATTTATTGTTGATTGTATTTATATCAATAAATATTTAGGAAACTTGTAACATGTTGTAAAATATTTGTTTCTGTTCTTCCCCCAATTAATGTTTTTTTCTCATTCTTTATAGTAGTTTCCAATCCATGTTAAATCCCATTTATATTGTTTATGTGTCCCCATGTGGGTTCCCTGGTCCTGTGGGAAAGAAGGGGGTAGGCCCACTGTCTCCCTAACTGCTGTTTTAAGGACAAGCACAGAAGAGGAACTATCTTCTTGGGAAGTAACGATTTTCGAATAAGATCAATGACTCTAATATCTACTAGCCTCCATCTTGATAATATAATCTTCTTCCGCTGCATCTCTTATCCTCTAACTTGTAGTGCTGTCTTTCTCTCTCATGCTCATTTAGCAAGAGTACACATGTATTTTCCCCCTTTCTCTATTCCTTATTCTGTCTTTCAGCTTCAGATTTTTAAGTGCCATCTGGTTTGAGCTTTGATTGTGTGCTACATACATGCTGGTATTCACAGATTCGGATATTCCATCTGTTGATTGCTTGCATGGGTGACCTCTAGTTCTGCATCCGTTATATCAGAATGTTAGGGTGGAATGCTGCGGTTATAACATTCTGGTTGTTCATCAATTTCTGTACTTCGATCTTATTCCAGAACTTGAGTTTTGCATTCACATCCATTTTTTAAATCAGGCTTAACAATATGAAGACTGTTGGTTCCTCCCCTTCCAAGCAAATGCTTTTGACTTCGAAGCGAACACCTCTAATTAGTAGACCCTTACAACTTGCTTGTTAGGGAGTAGAGGGTCTATCTCCCCTCGCACCCTAAAGGAGGCCCTAGAACCCACATGGGTCAAGCACCTGTTCCATCTCCACATGTACATGATGTCCTAATTTCTGATCCTGTCTCTATTTGTTACATTTAGGAAATAAGTTGCATATTCTTCACAGGACATTGCAGAACGAACTCCAGCTTTTTTGAATGTTTAGTTTTACTAGGCAATTTTACGTTCTGTAGTTTGCCATTCCTTGCTGAGCGGTCAGCTCATAATAGTGTCGTTGAAATCAACGCTAGACAGTCTGCTGCGAAATTGCCAGCAGCTGAAATTGAACCAGGTATCTCGGAATAACCAAGGATATACATGAATTAAGTTCCAGAATTTCATGCCCGCTGACAACCAGCAGGAATGTAAAAATTGTGTGTTGCTAACATTCTATTCTTGTTTGTTTATATCAGCCAGCAAAGTATGTTACAGTAACCAAAGATTTGCCAGAAATGCCGCTTGATATGAGTTCAAACTACAATGATGAAGATGTCCATATCTATGCACACCCGGAGAAGTATATACCAGACATGGAGGAGAATGGGACAGTTAATGGAAAGGTAATGGTAGATCATTAATCATGCAATCACGTAAGTTGTTAAATGTAAAGATTCACAGATATATTGGGAAGATTTGATGCATTTACATTTCCCTGTAGGTTTGTTATAATGGCTTTTATATGATATTGATGAAAACATTAATCATTAGGTATTATCAAAGGCTAACTTACATAAAATTAACTCCTGTGAAATTAGATGCCCGAGAAAAGCCGCCAACTAAAACATTCGAGACAAGATGAGAAATGATACTGTCATACCTAAGTAAAAATCCTGACCTGCACAATCTGTGGTGACTGCACTAGCCTCTTGGCCTTAACTCTTTGAGTCCCAAGGAACGCATCACGCTCTGATTGGTTACAACCCAGTGGCCCAATCAGTGCATTACCAGTGAATCTTTTTTGTTTACCACTGACCAGTAATAAAAACTTTCTTTCCAGTTCTTTGTGTTTGATATCAGGCGTGCTAACCACAAGACTCATTTGGAAACGTGGTTAAAAGACTAAAACATAGTATATATGTGAGGTTACCGAGTTAGTAAGCATTCCACATGCATGCCAATATGATGTACGGCTTTAGAAGCCTCAGATTTAAATAAAGTATGTGTTTATTAGATTTTTCTGGTTAGATAGATAACGTTGCAAAGTAGACTTGTTTCAGTCATTTATAGAGTCGAACTATGATGAGGGATAGCTTTAATGTGCAGCAGGAGGAGATTGGGGCCTGGCGTCATGACCCAGGTCGGCTCACCCTCTGAAACTGTCTAGGAGGCAATGGGCCAAAACAGTTGTCGACAAGGGATCTTCTACTGATGATTGGTGGACTCCTGCTGTACATGCTTTCCTGTGTAGTTCTTATTATTATACCTCATACGAAGGGTTCAACGATATCAAAGTCAGCTGGCACCAAAAAAATAAATATTAGTTAAAAGGCGACTTTCTTCAGTATCAGTTAGTGCTAGTGCTATTCCCCTTATTATTTAGGAACATAGCAAATTGAGTGTTATATAAACTTCGTTTTGTGTGAAGATCCTAATTGTTTTAGGAAGTTAGTCCTCTTTACCAAATAATTGTGCTCTGTTATGAGGCTTCAAAAGATTCTCTAGAACAATTTCTAATGTACAGATTGAGTTTATATTTAACTTATACATTAATAAGTGGTTCATGTTCATTTGTGATTCATTTTGGATATATTTTAATGGGTTTTCCTTGAGCACCATGGTGGTAAGTGGAAAAATTATTATTTAATTTTTACTAATTTCTGAAAAAAAAACTGTCTGTTTGTTTGCTAATATTTAACTACTAACCCAATAAATAGGTTTTAGCATTCCATTATTATTCCCCAACAATCCCTGGTCACTTTGATGTAAAATATGTGTAAGTTGCACAACAGCTGAATTCGTATAATATGTTTTAATGTGTTACACTTGTGAAATTTAAAAAATTGCATTACCACCCCTTGGGCATCTGATGCTAACCCCCCTGGGACTCAAAGAGTTAAATCTTCAGGCTCAGAACTGCCCTGTCCTGAGCCATCCTAATGCTATATAAGGCACTAACAACAGTTAAAAGAATATAAGTTTCTGGTGTAAGATTAACCTGCTGTAACCAATTACAACTGAATGAGAAACATATATAGAATATCTTCTTCTGTGGTCATACTTATAATAGTGGTTGGTATGTTCTGTTGTAATTTACAGCTAGGCTGTAATATCTACATTAGTGGTTTCTCTGTTGAAGTTGTTTGCCTCACGCTCTGAAGGTCATGGGTTTATTTCACAGTTGTACCATTTAGTTAATGGGCGCCCATTTTGATGAAGATCCTTCAACATTGTAACAGAGCTATGGAGTTTTTTGTGTTTTATGTGACATCTCGGCAGGCAGCTACCCTTTCTGCAGAGAGAGACTGAGCCATATGCAGTGAAGTCGATCCTCTTGACTTTAACTTTGTCAAAATGTCCATAGTTTGAAAAAAAAAATGTCCCTGTTTATTTCTCAAGGCAAAATAAAATACCCACATTCATGCTTCTTTTAGATCTACTATTGAATTCTCTGCTGATGCTTAATAATTTTAATTGTAAATTTCAGACACAGTATTTCAATGATGCTTTCCTTAAATCTGAAACCAGCCCACCATGCAAGGTATGTATTAATTTTTTTTCTTAGCGATGACTATTAAATAGTGTCTGGCATTCACAATAAAGATAGTACCATAGGAGAATGTTGTTGTGTTCAGGACTTTGCAGACAATGGGCCCTGACTCCAGACATTAAGTTGTATGTATGTATATGATTCAACCCCGCCAGGACCATACTATGAGCGACCAACACCCTGTGACACAAAGTGCCACCATTCGCATGAGGATCACCCGGGCACAAGTCCCAGAAACCCCGTTCAACCCAAAGGTTATATTAGGGCCCCAAATTGAAGCCAGGGTGGGAACTTAAAATAATAATAAAAAATGCCTCCCATTCTAGGATGGGAGCTATATGAACAACATTAAGTTGCAGTTGAGTTACTGTTAACAGTGAAACCTACACAGTTGTATAAGAAACATTTCCAGAATTTTCCTTCACTTACTTCCATTATGAACCTAGAAGACCTGATTATATAAAGCTGCATGTACTTTGCTGAATCATGACCTGTCTACACAACCCAACCACTCTACATACTGATATGCAGTTACTAAATTTCAGTACAGGTTTTGCACGCCCCTCAAGCTTCCAGGGCTAGAAACAGGAAGGAGAACTCTTCAACACAGATTTAACTTTTTTGAAGTCCACTACCTTGGCATTCAAGTCATCTGAGCCCTGATAGCAAAAAACACAACTGAATGTTTTGACCAAAGTCTTTATCAACTGAGTACTAAATACAGCACAAACTGTGACTGGAAAACTCAATGAATAAGACAACAGAGCTAATTTTAAAAAATCCAAGGTCAACATACTGTGTTTGTATGTGTCTTTTCCATTTTCTCTGATGAGCTTTTTAGTCAAATTGTGTGTTATATTTAGCATTTCTTGTAATCAGCTCAACTGCATTCACCCCCTGTTTGAGCTCTGATAGGGCTTGCATTCTTTTGATATGTGGTAAGTATAAAGATTAGGTGCTTTATTAATATCGTTCCCCAGATGACATCATAGGACAGTCTAACATTTTAGAGGGTGGTAAGACTGGGTTTCCCGGCTTCCTGATGTTTTTAACAACCCCAAAACATCTAGAACTGGCCCTAACCCCTACACACCTACGTTCCACGAGCGAGTGCAGCCTAGGTCCCATAACTGCATGCAGCCTATCCTCCACTCTGAAATATTAGACTGTTCAGTGACCTGTGGATTTCCTCTGTTTTTAGTAGGATATTAAAATAGCACCAAAGATTATTCTCCTAGCCTGATTCCAAAGTACCATCATTACCGAGAATGTGTTGCAGGGCTTTTCTACCCCTTTCCAACCCTGGAAACCATTGGGATGTTCAAAACCTGCACTGAAATCTACTGCATAGCTGTGACAGTTTCTCATTTAATTGTTCAAGTTAAATCCTGGTTGTTTTTTTCCCCCAGTCACTGGAACCAGATCCTATTATGAAGCTGAAACAGATCATTGGATTTGGGGGTGCAACATTTAAAGATGTAAGTTTTAGGTGGCTAAATATTACATACATTTACGCAACTAAATAATAAAGAAAAAAATATTTTCAGAAAAGATTGCATAAGAACAAGTAAGTAATAAGCCAGTTACTCCATTTATTTATTTCTTCTTTCTTCTTTGTCTTTTTTTTTTTCTTTTTTTTTCCCTACGTTTTCTTACCAGTGTTTGCACTCAGCAGGGCAGATTCTACATTGTGTTGTGGTTTACAACGAGACTATGATATCTGCCCCTGTTGGTCCGGCATATCTGATTTCAGCAGACTCCTAATTACTTGTCTTGTACGACATGTTTGCTAGGGGACAGTGGGTCTGTTCTTTTTCCCCCAAGATAGAACCCTAGAACCCTCATGGGAATCACTTTAATCTACCATCCTCATAGGAAATGACTAAGAAAGGTTAGATTGAAACTGGCTACATCATACCATAGAAAAATTTAATTGCAACATTTAACCAATCATACATATAGACAAATCAATGCTGGATATAATTATGTAACTTATTTCCTTGAACATATCGATAGAAGAGACAGGGCACCATTTTTCAGTTACAAACTGAACATTACACTGAACAAACACTGGTGTAAAATGAGTATGTGCCACACAGTTCCCTGATAGTGTCTCCATGCTGAACAGACCTCATAACATGTCTGATAAGACTGTCCTGTTCTTTTCTAGAGGAGCTGTGAAGTAACCCTTACGCAGTAAACTTGAGTTAAGCTTTGAGAAGCCTGAGAGACCACCAGCGGACACCTAATATGTAGTCCACAGTGAATTAAATACATGACCAGAGGTCACTGAAGAAGAAGAGTCAGTCATAGACAAGATTACAAAGGGAGTTTGTTTCATAGAATGATAAGTCACACACAAAAAGATTTGGAGAAATATAACTTGTCCTTGGAAACTTACATTATCAAATAAAATATTGTGCCATATCCACACTGGAGGTTAAATACAGTATATCTATAGCTGTCCTGTTACTTAATGAGGCCTCAGGCTTCTCCAACTGTTATGACACTTATACCACTGTTTCAAAATTGGAACTTTTAAAATCAAACCGGGAAACCTTGAGGACTGGATTGTAAAATGATCTCATATTCAAGCCACACTAATACTTACATTATTTTATACTTAAAAAAAAATACTGTTTGTTTCAGGCCCTGTGGTCAGCAGATGGATCGTCAGTAATCTATCCATGCCACGCTGTTATAGTATCTATGAAAATAAACACTGGTCAACAACGTTTCTTTATCGGGCATACAGACAAAGTAAGTATTTTACTGAGAAGATTTTGTGGGAATAGGATGCTATGGACCATGTTGCACGGAGGGTGAAAATCAGGAAAGTAGTTGGTATAAAGAAAAAAACCAGACAGATTAAGAGTTGAATGCTTAAGAAAATGCACATTAACACATGCAGTGGCAACAGTGGTCCTGGAACCCCATGCTCTAATTTTGAAAAGCTTTGTTTAAAGCAGGCAAATTTTGTTAGTCACATTCACCGTGACCACAGGCTTTGATTTGTATGCCTCCCGAAGGCACATTGGAGAGCCACTATTTGAGGCCGATTGTGGGAATCCAGTGTGTGTGCGCGTATGTGTGCAGGCATGGGTGGGTGTGTGTGTGGTGAGGGGAAAAGGGAGGGGGGGGGGGCTCACGAATAGAACATTTTTTAAACTCTGTTTAGTTTTTAAACTTCTTATAGGTTTAAAAAGTTGTCTTTATGATTATTATTATAAGAAAATAATTTTAAAAAACGTTAAGCTTGAACTAAATATGGAAAGTCACCAGTTTGTGATCAGCACCCACCTCGTAAGAGGTAGCTACAGATGGGGTTAGACTTGAAATTGACTGCCTCAACCAGTAAAACACTTTAATAACAAAAACTGATGAGCAATGAACAAGTCTTTTTTTTTTTTAAATAGGTAAGCAAACAAGTAATAACCAGCTTCGTACAAGAATGATGAAACTGTACAGAGAAAGCCAAAAGGAGTCCAGATTGCTGACTTACCTGCTTTCACAAAGGAATATCTCTGGAATTAGTGTATAGTCTGGAGTCCTATTCATAATTCCAACGTACCGCTACTGGCTGCGTGGATTTTTATAATGATATGGGGTGTCGCAGGTCAACCCAGCCACAAGTGGGTACCAGGATGACTGTCCTGGGGAATTAAAGACAGCCAGGATAATGCTGACCACATTACCCACCTTGTAAAGAACTTAAAATCAAAACAACAGAGATGGGTTGTCTTAGAAGAGCTGCTGGTGTGACAAGAAGAGATGAAATTAAAAATTAACCAAATCGAAAACTAGGCCTGAAACCAGTCATACAGTTTATTACAGAGCAACATAAGAGATGGTTCGACCTTGGTACCAACTGCCACAGAGAGCCATGCTAAAGAAATACAATATACACATTGCAAGTGGATGACTACATAGATGTGGAACGATGGCATCAAAAACAGCCTCAAGGAAATAAAGACCAACTTGTACAACACATAGGAAATAGCACACAGAAGATCCTGTCATCTTTGGTGACGTATGTTGAGGAAGAGAAGAAGAAGAACAATCTGAAAGGTGGTGCTATCATTCCTTTGTCGTCATATTAAAGATAGTATTGCAAATATAGATAATTTATTTTAAGCAAACGAAAGAAGAAGAAGAAGAATTCCTTTGTCATCATCAGCATCCTGTTGTGCCATTATATGTCATATCAGGCTCGCAGTCTAATCCTCCATTTTGTTCAGTCCGGTGCAATCCTTTCGACATCATGGATAGAATCTAGTCCACCATCTTTGAGTTCTCCCATCATTGTTAATTTTATGGCTTCTCATAGTACCATCATCATCATCATCAACTTACACTTTTGCCATCAATTTTCACGAAGAGGTACAGTTTGTAGCCCCATGCTGAGCGGGTAGCACTGGCTGTTGTCATTCTAAGTTGATGTACAATGTCTTTAATGTTGCCAGTTCATCTCCTCCTTGGGCATCCTGTGCTTTCACATCAGATCTGTACATGTATAGTGCCTGTGTCGGCAGTTATAGCTGCATTCCAGATGACTAAACTGTTTGTTTTTCAAGTAGTAACAGCTAATTAAAAAAAAAAAAAAAAAATTATCCATGGGGAGTGGCACATCGGGCATATGATACTAGAATCATTTTTTGTTTTGTCTACCAATCAGCACTCATTGAGTTATGTGGTCAACATCACACCGTCACCCTTACTTCCCAGGGCATTACCTGGTACCTATTTTAAGCGGGGTCAGCCTGGTAGAGCCAAGGTCAGTCTTGAAGAAAAAATTTGACTCACTGCGCCTTTGAACCCAAGACCTTTGACCTGACAGGCAAGTGTCTTGCCTCTACACCACTGGGATCCCCAAAGTTCGTAAGGATATCATAAAATAGTGACTGTAACCTACCATGCATAAGGTCAACTTATGAGAGTTGGTGAGAAAATCCATAGAAAACTTAAGCTACAGAATGCATGAACAGGTTTACAGAAGTTGGCTGAGATTAAAAGGAGAAGAAGAAGATATCCAACCCATTGTGCATATAGAGTATGTCCTATGTAAAGTGTTCTTCTGCATTCCTCCTGGAAAGGAGCGGTTGACGTTTTGTGTGTTGTGGTTTACAGCTAGGCTACGATATCTGTGCCTTTCGACTCAAAACATCCTATTTCATAAAAGCAAAAATTGGTTGCCTTGTACAACATGCGCTCCATGAAGTTGAGGTACCGGTTTCGATCCCAGCTGCAGGCAGTTCGGCAGCAGACCGCCTTGCATTGGTTTCTACAGGAAGCTAGAAAGCAGTAGCAAACTAACTGAACATAAAATTGCCTAGGACATACAACCAACTTGTTGTTGTTAGGGAAGCAGTGGAGCTATTATTCCCCCCCCCCCCCCCCAATGGGAGCTAAGAACCCACGCAGGGAATAGACATTTTGTTCAATAACAGTTTACTCTAAGTTGCTTGATAACGAAAAGTTCATTGTACATTTTGCACTTTTCTCTTAGTTTTTCATCAAAAGGCATCCTGCTCTGTGGTGTTGGCAAAGACGGACATGGTAAAAATGTATGTCTGCATACCAGTTTCATTTTTGTTAGCTCATTTGTTTATTTTTTTAGTTATCTCCTTTCAATACTAAACCAGTCTTGTTCAGCCCCTGTGATCAGTAATGTGTTTTGTCATTTAATATAGATATTCTTTTTCTGTATATTTGATGTGATTATGAAATTTATAATATTCCAGTCTTTTGTTATGCTGGAATTGTGTACTCTGTTAAGAGTATTCCTAATGCACCATGAATAAATGCATGCATCGTACATGATCTTGTCGTAGTCCTGTCGTAAAATAAATGAGTATTCTCTTATCATCCCATGCTGCATAGGTTATGTTTCTAACCATTGAGAAAATGGCATTTATGGATCCAGAGTTTGTCCAAAGAAGCTCAGGAAGTTATTATTCAGTTTCTTTCATTTGAAGGATGTCGACCAGTGGACTTTCACTGAAAAATACAGGCAGCATGTGATAACAAGTCTGTGTTGAAGACAACATTGGCAGACTAGGCTCGAATGTTTCAGAAAGGACTTAGTCACGACAGATCTTCCATGGTTGGATCAAGTGCATATTGTTGCAAAAAAATCTTATCTGTTATTACTCCCAGCTTTGAAGTAATGTTTGCTTCCGACAGCGCTTTGCTAATGCAGTTTCCACATAATGATGGTTGTGTACGTCTCTGCTGCATGAGCTACTGAGTTTAGTGCTTGGTTGCAGCCCTGTTTTTCCTATGTTCAGCGGTTATGTCGTGGTGTTCAATAGGGCCTGTAGCCAGTTTACGTGTGAGCTGGTGAAAAACCTTATGTAATAATTACATGTATGTTCAGTAACCAGCTTATCGCGCCCAACTACTTCCATCAATGACAGACTGCACTTCTGGTAACGATTGTTGGCTTTGGCGCTTCTAGCAACTGAAATAAGCATTTCAAATTATGACAGTGAGGGACATTTCATTTGATTTGCACTGGAACAGAAACGGAGCAATTATGGGGAAACCCGATTGCAGTGATGTTGAAACCTCGACTAAGACTAAGACAAATCTGTTTAAAAGTTATCGAGATGCTGTCGGGTAACACTGAAAGTTCTTGTTTCTCCATCTCACAACCTGGATTTGGCCTTGTATCCTAGGACAAACACATTGTTGAGACTGACCTTGTTTTCTGAAAAAAACTTGTATCCAGGTATACTCATATCTTGAGCTTCCATCAGACTTAATTGTCTTGATTTTCTTTTTTTTTTAAACCAAATACTTGTTAGCTGATGATGATGCATTAAAACTACTTTATTAATTGTTTTTAAAGTAAAAGACTTGTTACAAGACAGGGGTGACACTCAGATTAAATTTAAAAATATTTGTTTTTGCATTATAGATGGTTGTAATTTGGAACACATCAAGAGTGGTGAAACATAAAGAAATGTCTGTTATGGCTAAAGCTCATACTGATGTAGATATTTCACGTATACTTATTGCACCCTTTGATGATACAAAGTAAGTGCTTTGCTATGTCATCTTTTGTATTATGTATTCTTATTTAGCTGTAAAATGTATTTTTCATAGCATTTTGAATGACTGTCTCTATATGAAAGTGTCAACTGTGCATTATGTTAAACTTGCATTGTCTGCGTATGCCTTCTTACCTCACATGAAAGAATCTAAGTCCTGTGTTTTAATGTGAAGACAATGCCATGGCCTTGATTCAAGAAAATATTTCACTGTGTGTATTATGAAGATAATCTATATGTGCAAAGGATATTGACTACATATAGCTTGTAATGCATCGATTTATCACTAAGTGTTGCAGAACCAGCCAGTGTGTCATCCCTTTTATTTACCAACACACTTGCATACTCTGGAGAAAAAAATTGCAAAGGATGCTAATTACTCAGGACAAGTGATGTTTGCTGCTTTGAATGAAACATATAAAATGGTGATGAGAGGGTTGCCGCAAAAGTGAAGTCAGCTATGGTTAGACTGACCATATAGCCTCGCAAGTACATTCGGACTATTGAAAAATATGGGCCAAATACTATATTCCCTTTCCTTTTTAATGGCGTGTAAACAGGTACTGTGTATATAGCTTTACTGTATTTATATTATTTTGCATGTCATATTGCAAGGTAATATTTCCAACTGCAGTTGATTTTGATAACTTGTTAGGTAGCAGGTCCTTTGCAGGACGTCACTCTCATTAACAGTCTACCCAAAAGAAACTTGGTCTCTCGCCTGCTTTCCCACCTCAGGATGTGACTTATATCCGGTGTCCATCTACATGCTGGTTGACTCCTTTCCCTCTTACCTAATACTGTGCCTTCAGCTTCTAACCTTTTTTTTTTTTTTCAATCTGCCTTGGCCCTTAATGTGGTCAACATATTGCAGTTTCCAAGACGCTGTTAACTAGCCAATCTTCCTTGATGTTCAGATCTTTCAGGATATTAGTTTAATTCTCTTTGTTCATTATATTTTGAGAATCTTTCTATAGCATTTCAGCTCAGGAGCCCCTATTTTCTTCCTTAAGGACTGCAAGATGACTACTTTACTTTTATTGCCTATGGATGCCCTGTCATGATTACACAAGGGGAATATCAGAATAGTGCATGGCTTCCGTTACATTGACAAGGATCCACCATCTACAGCAAGGATTGTGATGAAGATGATCATATCTGTTCCTTCTTTCCCAGCAGAAGTTGAACAGTGTGACTGCTGAATGTCCATGATGTGGACAGGTTAACTATATGCACTTCGGATCCATTGTCATGTACTGATTCTTCACTCCAACAGTTGTTGTTTTCATTTACGTGCTGAAGCAGAAAATGAGGTCTAAAGACAGATAGATGGAGTGTTATTCTCCTCCTGATTTAGTGCTTCGGTTATCGAAAAAGTTATAAGGGTCTGCTTCTTGTCTTCTGGCCGCCTCGGCCATGGACACATTGTACTGTTGCAGAGTTTCTATGATTTCATCTGTCCATATTATTCTTGGCTTACCTCATGCCATATATCTGTTTTTTTTATATATATGTTCTTTGTTTTGGGTGGGGGGAGGGGGGGGGGTTTGTTTAGTGACAGCCTTGTATATTATGGCATTCGCTGTAAGTGAGCAAATTATGTAGCGTGTTCATAAGCATTAAACTTCATAATTTTGTTACCATATTTACGCTTCTTTAGTGCCTTCTTTTCTCTGCTCTTATGATGTTTTGCACGTCTAGAATGGTTTCGTGTGGCCGAGATAATGTTCGCCTGTGGAGGATCAAAGAAGGTGCCTTGAGATCTGCCCCATTCAGTTTAGGAGAATACCACGCCATGGACTTCACTGATATCTGTTTTGATTCTTCTCATTTGGACAACGAACTGACAAATAAGCTGATGTAAGTGTTGTTTCTTTTTGTTTTTATATATATTGCTATTTATTTTCTTTAATGGACTCCTACATCTTTTTCATTAACCCTTTCGCTGCTATGGACGAGATAACTCGTCTGCCCGGCAGACTGCTAAAGACGAGATAACTCGGCTGCCATTTTCTGTGCCCTCACTGCTAAGGACGAGATAACTCGTCCTCGACATTTTTTTACAGATTGCTAAGAACAGTAATTCTTAGGGGTGAAATAGCAATACACATTACCTTAATCTGATCAAACTGACCCGTTTACATACAATTAAAACGCTTACCACGTAAGTTTAGGCGTATTTAGATGCATTTCACGTTATCCTGTTGCTTTGTTACCATAGAAGCATTGTCGGTGAGCGGTAATTTTTTTGCCCTGAAATATATTTCTGGTTTTGCGTTAGTCTAAAAATTTTTTTTTTTAATACAAAATAACAAGAACATTTGTTTAAGTAAAGAAGAATTAATGGAGTTTCTTTTAAGGAGTAGTAGTAAGGATCACTTTGAAATGTGTGAGTTATATGAGCTGGGTTATCTTCGCGGCACTCCGGCGGACACGTTTACTTCTGGCTGTGAACAAGACTGACCAGTGACCATATGACCTAGCTATCTACATCTACTGGATTTGAAACGGATCCAAAATAATCAAAATAAAGATATGGTCACGTACTGACATGATGATTAATATTATTGTTAATAATATACTATACAACTGACATAAATGCGTTTGTCTATTAAAGTGTACAATACTGGTCTTTTTTTCAGTTCATAGTTTCATGTGAATTTCTAGTGTAGTTGGTATCACGTCTGCCTTACAATCGAAAGGTCCAGCGTTCAACCCCTACGTGCCGTTTTTTTGTTTGTTTTAAATTAATTATTTGAAATGCAAATTTTTAATTTAAGCTCTTAGCATTTTCGGCAACAGATCACCGAAGTAATAATTAATTAAACATCATGTCACGTGCGTTCAGGTGGATTTAGATGCTTTACACGTTATCCTGTTCCTTTGTGAAGCGTGGCTGGTGTACTGTGCACATTCATTATATAAAGTTGTTGTGGGGAAAAACACACCTGTTGCCGAATTTCATTTAATGTTAGTAAGAGAAATTCTACAGAAATATTGCAAGGAAAAGAGAAAAAGTGTAGGAGGACAAAAAAGTGCAGATCTGCCACTTCGTTTAGTACAAAGGCATTTCCCTTCAATAATAGAGTCCGTAACATCGCAGAAAAAATTCCCAACAAGAAAGTGTGTGGTATGCGCAAAAAGCAAAAAACGACGGGAAACCAGATACATGTGCAAGGACTGTGATTTGGCATTGTGTGTCGCACCTTGTTTTGAAATATTTCACACAAAAAGATTTTATTAATAATAATAAAAACCATGTATTTGCTTACTAAAGTGTTTTGTGTTTGCTTTGTAAGTTTGTAGTGTTTTCTTTTTGTTAATGAGTTTTCATGGCGTAGTAAAAGTGCGTTTGACTTGTCAGCGCAAAAGTTCAACCACACGCCTTCAATGATTTTTTATTTTAGGTGTACAATTTTTACCCCATGCCGCAAGCGCATCTTCTGCTTTTGAAGGAAAAAACGGTATTCAGCACAGGGGGAAAGATTAGCTCTCGCCTGGCTTAGCACAGTGGTTACGTTGGCTGGCGGAGGGCGCAGCAGCGAAAGGGTTAAAGTGCATATTCTTCCTCCTCCTCCTCTTCTTGTCATTCTTTATCCTCTGCTTCCTCCGGCTCTTCTTGTTTTTTCACCATGTCCTCTTCTTATTTTTTCTTTTTTCCTTTTTTTTTTTGTAATGCTTTTTATCCAAAGGCATAAGTGTTCAATCATCTCATGCCAAAACATCCTATCTTTTGCTGTCTATTGCATTTCCCTGTATGTGATACTCATATTGTTTTTTCTTTATCTGTGACTCTCTACTCTGTGTGTATTTAGGTCTTTCTCCCTAGTTTCACCCTGTATGTTCCGCTGAAAGGACTCTTTTTATACATTAATTAGGTTTATTTCAGTGTTATTTGTCCCATCCAGCACCATTGTACCTCACATCTTGCTTTGCAGGAGTTTATTTAGTTCTTTCCCTAAGCTCTACATTAGGGATTGTGTCATTCCAGTTTAGACCTTCTAATCTACACAGGTAATAATAGATGAATACTTGTAGGTATATTTGTAAGACAAGGTATTGAACATCTTTTTCCAAAGTCTATAAGAAAACTAAAGTATACGGCATGAAAAAAAAATACAGGAAGGTCAGAAATTATAATGGTTGCCAAACAAATCCAAGAAATTAACATCAAGGAAAAGAACATTGGACAGCTACAGAAATGTTCCTGTCTTTGCCCAGACATTACAGAGGATGCTTGTTGCAGATTAAATAATTCCACAAAGATCAGAGTAGTTTAAAATATTCTTAGAGAAAAAATACAGGACACACCAAAAAAAAAAAAAAAAACAGAATTCACCCCCCCCACACACACACACTCACATATACACAAATTTAAAGAAAAAATGCAACTCAGTTATTCTGTGCATGTTACAAAAATGTGTCTTGGCTCCCAGATCAAACCCGTCATGGAGAACCAGGAAAAGTCTTAGGAAGTAAAGTGGCTGACAGGATGACGTCATCAGTTGAATGCTTATTGGTCTATACAGAATGTGGTCTAGCTTCATATACCTGATGCAAACCTGCCTAGCATCCACACGATACTGAAGAATTATCAGGTGCTTTGGGCTGGTCACCTAGCCGGCATGCCAGACTATCACCTCCTAAAGAGAGTATTTTATGCATGGTGTATCTGTTTACCAGGCAGCAGAGGTTGCACAGGCAGAAAAATTAAGGCAGACTAGAAAGAACTGTATCTCTAATCCTACACTCACTTCAGACATATACTGATTAATTTGATGAATATCATTTATTTTGTGATGGAATTCAGTTTTCATCTAGTTAATTCAAGCATCTGATTTTCGCAAATTTAAAACTAGCGAAATTGATGTCTTTAAATCAAGTTATTTTGGTTTCTTTAGATAGCTTATTATGTCAGTGAAATTTCCATGTGGCTTCTGGATCCCCATTTTGGGAGGGGCAAAATAGACCCAGTCTCCTTTATCAAGCATGACATAAAAGGCAACTAATTAAGGGTTTACTGAAATCAAATATTTTGGGTGAAAAGATGCAGATATTGCAGTTTTAAAACCACAACAGAATGTGCCAGCTGCCTTTTAAGGACAAATGCAGAAATATTAAAAGAAGGTATATGTTGAATTAAGAATTGATATCATAGCGCTCGGTTAAAAGGGACAAATGCAGAAATATTAAAAGAAGATAAATGTTGAATTAAGAATTGATATCGTGGCGCTCGGGACACTCCTGTAAGCAGTTTCTTTCATCTTCAGCAGCAGACGAAAAGTTCAAATTCTGATGGCACCAGTAACTGTCTGTATATCTGTCTTACCTTTCCTTTGAGGGAAAAAAGAAAGAAGATATTAGTCAGTATAAACAAAAAATAAAATGGTTGTAGACTAGTAAATCAGTGAGTTGCCATCTTTTTTCATTCTCACAGTGCTTTTTATAAGCTTCTATTAAATTCAGTTTTGTTTGTTTGTTGGTTTATCTGGGTAGATTGTTTTTTAATGCTGAAAAGAGTTCTGTTAAAAAATATGATTGATTGTTAGTAATGTTTTTTAACAGCTATGCCTGCACAAAATCTGGCCATATATTTGAGTTGGACTGTAGCAAACTCAGCATCCATCATGTGCGGAGGTTGTTACCTATTAAAAATAGACCAAAGAAAGAAGGAAAGACACAGAACTCATCCGAATCAGGTAAGTTGTAACTTAAAATTTTAAAGATGAACAGTGTGTGATCAACATATGTATATGGTTGTAATATGCCAAAGTCACCTCAGTGCAGTTTTGGTGATTTTTCCCAAAGTGCATTTTCATTACTGTTAAATGTAACTTCACAATTTACTACACATACATGTGAATTCATATACTCATGATACTTCAGAGTGAAGTATTACATTTTATACAACTACACAGCTTTCATCTCATCTTAGTGTTCAAATGTTTTCATGAAGCAAGGATTTATCACTTAGGTGACTGGTGTAGTGCCAATCAATGTTATCAGTAATTTCTGACATAGATATCCCCCATTGCATGATGCCAGACATAATATCCTAATCCTCTTCTGCTCTCTTTCTTTCCAACTTTTCTGTTGTCGGCACAGTATTACCCATTTTTTCTGACATGGCCAAAGAATATGAATCGTCTTCTGAGCTGGTTTATTAGTTAATTTCTTCTTCTTCTTCACGTTCAACGGCTGTAAGCTCCGGCGTAAAGTTCTGGTTGTTCATCCACTTCTGGACTCTAGTCCTGTTCCAGAACCTGAGTGTTGCATGTACATCCATTTCACAGGTCTGACTCATTTGCATGCAGACTGTTGGTTCCCTGCCTCTCAGGCAGATGTACTCCTTCTTCAAAAGAAGCTCCCAATTAGTCGACTCTTATGACATGCTTTTGGGTAGGCAGTAGGTCTATTCTTGGTTTCCTCATCACTAGGCCCTGAAACCCACACAGGAAATTAATAAATTTCATTCGAGATATCTTAATAATGCGTTTTGTCTGTCCGTAGTGTTTTCATTATTCTTCTATAGATCATACATTTTATTATCTTCTAAAGTACTGTGGTCGATCACTAAAGTATAGTGGTCGATCACTAAAGTACAGTGATCGACCGCTTGTTGACCCAGCCTTAAATGAGTACCAGGTTAAATCCTGGGAAGTAAAGGTGGCTGGCCTGATGTTGACCACATCACCTAATGAGTGCTGATTGGTCTATAAAATATAGGTCTAGCCCTGTATGCCCAGTGTGTCTGAAGGCGCAGAAAAGGATCCTTTAATTTGCTAGTGTGATTTAAGTACTAGTCACAGACTGCTTGTCGGCGTCTGTGGCTTACCCGTTGCAAATGCACTTTGTAGTGTCGGGTTCGATCCCAGCTGCAGGCGATTTGGCGGTCTGGCTTGCATTGATTTTGACAGTGATATCGAGAGCTGATCATCCAGAAAGCAATGGCAAACTACTTGATGTAAATTTGCCTAGAAAAAACCACAACAGCCAAAAAATGCTGGGGTAGGTTCTTCAATGTCCTGTAAAGGATACGCGGCTAACTTTAAAAAAAAAAAACATATATTACTTATTGTCTTCTTTTTATCCATATTACTTATTGTCTTCTATTCATCCATATCTCTTTCATCTGAAACCCCATGCTCCAATTGTTGAAGACCTTTCCTAACATAAGCAGGTCTTGCTAGTCACACTCATCATAACCATATGCTGTAATTCCCATGCTTTCCTAGTACAATATAACACTATCATTTGGAAAGACAAAACGATACCGACCAAAACCATCTGTATCTTACGAGAACAGACTTTACTCTTGGTTCACTGGCTATACACATGTATGTTTCCTGGGCTGCATTTTAGGGAACAAAGAATAGACCCACTGCCCCATAACAAGCATGTCATCGAAAATGACTAATTAGGTAATTCCTTCAAACCAAGTGCATCTGCCTGAGAGGCAAGGTACCAACAGTATGCATTAAAAAAAAACAGTATGTAAAATTGATGTGCATGCAAAACTCCAAAAGTGGATGAACAACAAGAATTTTCCCGCTTGAGTTTACAGCCAGCAAACGCTAAGAAGAAGATTCACCAGCTGTAAACTTGGCAGAAAGTTCTGTTGTTCATCCACTTAGGGACTTTAGTCTTGTTCCAGATCTCGAGTTTTGCATGCAGATTGTTGGTTCCCCATATCTCAAGTAGATACAAACTGACTTCCTAGTAAACACCCCTAATTAGTCACAGTTATAACATGCTTGTTGTGCGGCAGTTGGTCAGTTTTTTTTTTTTTTTTTTTTTTTCAAAACCTAAATGGGGCCTGGACCAACATGGAGAGATTAATGATAGTAAATTTATTGTATGTAGAAGTGGTCTTTCTTAGCTTGTATGTGACATGCAGCAAATCCCATGTAATCATCATACACAGAAATATGTTATACCCTTTAGCTTGTCTGTTTTCTTACTTCTATGTTTGTTTTTCTTATTAATGTATTATGCTGATTTTCTTCTTGAGTTGTGAACATATTAGAGTTCTTTCCAAGTGTTACTATTTATATGATAATTTTTTAGAATCTTCAGTATAATGTATATTATTAATAATTCCACTGGGGCCACATTTTGGGTGGGGAGTTAGGCGGTCAGGATAAAAAATACACCCACTGCCTTCTGAGCAAACACCTGTAAAGTGTGACTTATAAGTGATTTCCTGAAATTGAATGTGTTGGCCTGAAAGGTGCAGATATCACCGCCTAGCTATAGACTATACAACATGCCAGCCACTCTTTTAATAGCCAGTTCAAACGAATGAATGAACGAACAAACTTTATTTTCAAAGGGTCACAAATTTGGCACTTCCAAACACCCGTATTTCACACAGCAGTTGTATTTTATCAGTAAAGCATGTTATAGTCATATAATAAAATATGCATATTGTGAATATGAAAAAACATAAAAGCATGGATGGTAAAGTGCGTAAACACATGTGCACCCACCCACTCACTTAAAAACGCATATAAACACACCAGCATAACAAACACACACACACCCACATACATACATAAACACACATTCCACACACATACATATATAAACACAGATACACACATGCACACACAGACACCCACATAAAACATGCCGACATACACACACAAATGTATGCACACAGACACAAACACACCCACTGACATACACACACACACACACGCAGACACACATACATACAAACCTGCAGACAGACACACGCACGCAGACACAGACACACATGCACAAACATATGCAATGCAGACACACACACATACACACAGATACAGACAAACACACACACACACACACACACACAACCCACAGGCACACATGCAGACGCACACACGTTGACACACAACATGCAGACACACAAACACACATACAACTTCAAAAGAAGAAGAAGAAGATTAACCCATTCACCCTGCTTCATCACTGTTATTATAGTATTTTTCATCAAAGAATTTGTAAGCTTTGCTCTTTATTACTGCGAATGTGACTGTTTTCTAGTAGTTGTAACCAACGTTTGTCTACTGTAGGTGATGCCATGTCTATTAACTCCATGCATCTCAATGAAACATTTTGTGTCACTGGCTCTGATGATGGTTTCTTGAGGCTGTGGCCTTTAGATTTTGCTCATGTATATCTAGAAGCAGGTAAGATTCATTATTGTCTTTTCTTGTATCTCTTTGTCAGATAGCCATGTTTGCCATTGAAGTGTTGTAATGGTAGCTGATTAGGTCTCATTTTGGCTATTATAATCTTACAGAGAGAAAAAAAAACCGGCGTATACAAAGGAGGGTGCTTTATTAATATCCTACCTCAAACATGGGAAATCCACAAGTTTAATATTTCAGGGGGTGGTAGATAGGCTGCATGCAGTCGTGGGACCTAGGCTGCATGCAGTCATGGGACCTAGGCTGCATGCAGTCATGGGACCTAGGCTGCACTCTCTCGTGGGATGTAGGTAGGTTGGAGTTAGGGCCAGTTCTAGAAGTTTTGGGGTTGTTAAAAGCATCAGAAAACCGGGAAACCCAGTCTTACCACCCTCTAAAATGTTGAACTGTCCTGTGACGTCATCTGGGGTAGGATATTAATACAACATCACAAAGGAGTTGAATGGGAGTAGACCATGAGGCAGACCAAGAAGACAGCAGATAGCTAATATATACAGGCAAACCTATAAACACTTGTAGTCCCAACTGGAAAGAAAAGGCCAGTCACAGAGAAATTAAGGGCTGATCACATTTAAGGATCACCAGTATGATATCAGGACCAGTAAGAGACCCGTAACACTTTGAATGGGAGTCATTGTATTGAGTGACCAGACACTTCCCTGCCAGCACAAAGGTCGTAGGTTTTAATTCACAGCAAGGCAGATGTTTTCAAAATTAGCCTTGATTTCCTGGTCCATCCTGCCTAAAATGTGTGCCAGGTAATGTCCTAGGAAGTAAAGACCACATCACCCATCAAATGATGATTGGTCTATAAAAATATAAGGCAAGCATCACATGCCCAAGGCGTAACTGGCCTGTCAAAGGTATTTTATTTTCCACACTGTAACTTGTCATATGTGTTGTAGATGGTTAGTGAGAGACCGACTACTTGTTTTTACTAGAAAATGTTATGCTCAGTAGTTTGCCATTGTTTCTGTGTGGTTCGCTCTTGATATCATTGTCAAAATCAGTGAAAAACAGTCTGCTGCCAAATCACGTGGAGTTGGATTCGAACCAGATAACTCAAAATTACAAAGTGTGTTCAGAACGCCTTAACCACAGAAGCTTCAGTATCCACATAATATGTGTTTGCCATGAGTTGATGAGGGCTGTGCTTCTTTGGGGTTGAAAGAGAGCAGAACGTTAAAGAATGGACAGGTTATAGCGTAATCACCCTTGCATGTGCTCACAGTTGAATATCCTTACAGTAATAGCATTTATCGTAGCATTCTAACAACCTGTGGGAGAGATTGCATTATAGAAGGAGGAAGTTTACTAAATTAACTAAAGCTGTTTAAAAAACCAGCTTTTAACATGCATCACTCCAGAGCATCCTATCCTAATGCATAGTCTAGAAGAGAATGTTCCTGGGATGTTGAAAGTTACTTCTATTATGACAAGGGAGTACATACTTGGACTTCTTTTAGTAAGGTCCTGACATGATTTTGCTCATTTGAATGTCTCCATATGAATGACCATGATGATAAGCATCCCCAAAAGAGAATTATAGCTTCTTCTCTTTCTGCAGTTACTTTACTAAAGTGTTGGATGTAGGTATAAGGAGCTTCCTTGGGCTCTTTCTGATGTGTTGACATTTCTTTGAAACTTCTTGATGCCATTGTTCTATATTTTGTGTGGCCTTCTTCTTGCTCTGTGTTCATTATATTTCTTTAATGTGGTTATCTGATGCAGTTGGTACTTAAGCATTCTTGTCAAATGGCTAAACCATTTTATCTGCTGCTCTTTAATTAAATTTATGACTGCTTCGCCATTCTGATTGAAAACTTCCAAGTTAGAATTAAGTAAGGGATGTCTTTGATGGTACAAGTTGAGAAGGTAACTGTACTGTTGCCAACAGTGAATATATTACATGAAGTATGAGAGGCTTTATCTATGCCAGGGAAAGCCTAACTGCGGTACTCATAAATCTTGGCAGAAATTATGATGTGTTGTCATCAGGGAAATTGAAATGTGCAATTTTTTACATGAGTATCTAACCTGTGACCAGGTTATATACATTTACTCATGTGGAGGTCTGAAATCCTAATCCCCTTCACACTAGGGGCTGCACACACACTGTTCTCCCAGTGGCCCTGCCATTGTTTGAAGAATTTCAGGAAGGCTGTTTTAGGGATGAAGTACAGCTAGACCTTCATATTCCATGTGTCTCCTTTTTAACACTCAAATCTGGTATAGTTCGTTCCTTCATCTGCATTTTCAGCTTGGAGAAGAGCAAAGGGTCAGGTCAGACATGAAGCTTAAGGAGCCAGAGGCATAAGTTTGGTGTTGCAAATTACCTAACCACCGGGCAACATGAGTTTAGCCGGTCCTTCATGGCCATAAACTTTTCCATTCTTGACATCTGTTTTCTAAAAATAAACAGTTTCCATTTCCTTTTTGTTCGTCATTTAATCTTGCAATCTTACAGTCATATTTTCCAGGATTGTTATTTCTGTCTTCACCATTTTTTTTTCCAGAACATGAAGGGCCAGTAACTACATCTCGCCTGTCAGCTGATGGACTGAAGATTCTAGCAGGAACAATCACTGTAAGCTACATTTTCTTGTCAGTATTCATGTCCTGTATCTTTTGCCATGAATAATTGCTGTAGCTTCTTATGATAATAACTATGACTTTCTTTTTACTTGAAATCTTGCTTATTTAGTTTATACATTTTAAACTGCTGTATATAAAATTTCAAATTTAAGTTATTATTTATCAATTTTTATTAGTTTTAGTTTTTCTGTAAATTCTAAACTTTAAACATGCAGTAATTACCTCTCAACTGTTAAGTAATGCATTCAATATTCTAGCCAAAATTTCCACATGGGGATGCAAACACGTGACTGCCAGGCTGCTCATGCAAGCTTTTATTGCATTCCCTTTTTTTCTGTGGAATTTATCATTTTGCTTGACATATATCATTGCTGAATTAAACATGTTTGCTGTGTATTGGTTCATGTTAATTAATGTCTGCTAAAAATATTCTAGGTAAGAAAGGCAAAGACAGATAAATATATGAAAAAAGCTTAAATAGCTGTGAAACAGATAATATCAGCAATCGTTCATTGCACATGACAAAGAGAACTAGAAAGTCAAAAACATCTTTGTCTGCTCTAGTCTAGTTACCATCTGAAGAAAAAGTAATAATTTCAGACAACAATCATTCATGTAGAACAACCACAACTGCTATAGTAAATATATATTTCAGGGTTAACTCTTTCAGTCTCTGGCAGTTGGTGACTGTTTATTGTACTTTAGAGAATAATCTTTATGTGAATGCTTATAAAAAAAGAAGCATAGGCAAAGCTGATGTCATCAGTGCTGTAAGACTAGGCTTGAAGATGATAGCAAATCTGTCGCTAACATGATTGCATGACCTAGGAGTAAAGCTTGGTGAAGCATATCTGTGCCGTCTGCAAGGTCAAGATCAGAGACATTGTAGCTGACCTCTTGGAAACAATTGGTAGAGACACCTTTGAGTGGCTGCTGCATAGGAGGACTGATCACGCATGGGAATAAATGCCCAGTGTGCAGTGACGTTGATTGTGTCCCTCAACTTTTTCACACATGCTGCCCACCAAAAAGGAAGTAATTGTTTCATGGCCCACCTGACAGCTAAATGCAGTTTTCTTTTAATATATCTTAGAGAGGTAAAAACTATATACACAAGAGAGTTGAATGGTCATAGACCACAAGGCTGACCAAGTAGACGATGGTGAGATAACGTCCAGACAGACCTACAAACACTTGGTGTCACCAGCTGGAAAGAGAAGGCTAACCAGAGAGATGAGTGGAGGCGGGTGACGTCTGCAGCAATGAACCTCAAGGGCTCGGAATGATGAAGAAGAAGAAGAAATCTTAGTGCCCCCCTCCCCATATATTTTATAATTTCAGTAATATTAAGTATACTACTGCAAGCTTTCATCTATTCTAACTTGAGAGTAGTTTGTGTTATTTACAGCTGTAGGGGCCTCAGGGCTCTGTTCCCAGCCCAGACGGGACTATGGGTTAAGTAACCTTTGGGTGCCACAATATTACTGTTGTAAGAGGTTCCTGAGATTTTTGTTTGATTCTCATCCTTTAAGTCCTACAGACTACAATCCTGGAAGAGAAAAACAACCTCACCTATGCTGTTACACCAGCGATTCCCAAACTGTGCGCTGTGGCGCTTGAAGATACACAAGTTTTGTTTTTATTTTTTAAACTCTCTTGCATACGAATAATCATACTTTTACTTAGGTTAGGTGACCATGTAAAAATTGTAATTGAAAAAAGGCGTTGCGATTAAGAAAAGTTTGGTAAACACTATTTCTGGGACCTTTCTACGGCTTGTTGGGACCTTTATGTGGCCTGCTGATGAGTCCGGGTCCACCGGTTGAAGAACACTGCTAGAACAATATTTTTGTAGACATGTCAAATTGGTGATGTGCTCAACATCATGCCGGCCACCTTTACTTCCTAGAGCATTTTCCTGGTATCAAATTTATGCTGGGTTGACCTGGTAGCAGTGGTCAGTTTTTGAAAAAGCTGTCTCAATGCAGATTTATACCGAAGACTTTGAGGCCAGCAGGCATCTAGCCTCTTTAGCTTGCGCCATTTTAACTCTTTCAGTACCAGGCAGCACACTGCACATTTATTACTTACTGTGTACGTGGTATGCGTTGCTTTTCTTCTTATGTCATACTGTTTTATTACATTACCATATTGTGTCTCATTTGTTACATGAACTAGTTATGTTCCGTAATTGTATTGTTTTAACCCATAACTAGTCAAAGATTTGTATTCTAGTGTAGACAGACTTTGGGACTGATTGCTTTGTAGTAGCAGGTGACTGGGACTTATAGAGATAATTATAGTAGTACACATATGGGTTGGGAATGGTTAAAATAACAACATAGATTGTGTGGATTAGTGGAACAGAAGAATGACACAAAATAGGTTAATAAATGTATACCATGTCCAGAGTAATCAAGAATTATACCCAGAGTTGTGTAACGCTGAAAGAGTTGAGTGTGCGGTTTGTTAATGTATTATTTCAGCACAGTTTTTTCCCCTATCTTTAGGGTAATCTTGGAATCCTGGATGTACCACTGAGACAGTATACAACTATCATGCGATCTCACACCGGGCGTATTCACTGCTTTTCTATAGATCCCCATCGCAGACACTTGGCCACAGTATCAGAAGATAGGACCATTCGTGTGTGGCATGTGGATACAATGCAACAGGTAAGGAGATTATCACCTGTCTGATACAACACACATATGAGAGACCTGAGAACAGATCACCATACATTTAGTAACCGTTAAAAAGTTAGTTGTGTATCCTTTGCTTGTAGAACCAACCCCATCATTTCTTCACTGTTTGGGATTTTACTAGGCAATTTTACATTAAGTAGTTTGTGATTGGGAGTTGTCCATGCACTTTTTTTCAAAAATGACCTTGACTCCCAGGTCGACCCAGCCTTGAGTGGTTACCGGGTGCAGTCCCAGGAAGTAAAGGCAGCCGGCGTGATTCTGAACACATCCCCCATCTTGTGCCGATTGGTCTGTACAAATATAGATCTAGCCCTAAATGCCCTATCCACATAAAGGCCTGGAAAAGGGACCTTTCCTTTTTTTTAACTGTTAGTTTGTGATTGCTTTCTGAGCAGTCAGCTCTCAATAGCACTGTTGAAACCAATGTAAGGCGGTCTGCTACCATATCACCTGCAGCTGGGATCAACCTCGGCATTATATAGTGCATTCGCACATAAGCCACAGATGCTGACTGATAACCATTACTGTGCTTATTATAACTGTCTCTAAGGAGGTCTTTGGAACACTGCAATTACAATTCCATCCACACATTATCTGAGACTCACACCTCTTAAAATCCATCTACACTGTATGTGAAGTTTCAACATGTGTATGTCTCTCTCAAGCACTTCAGCCCTGCTTTAATTCATGCTGGCATTGGATAGGACACACATTGAGAAAACCTGAGAACAAAATAATACAACAAAGAAGAAAGAGAATTAATTTTAAAAGATAAAACATGGGGGAGCTGTATGCAGTAGCAAAGGATAGAACAGCTTGGCCTGAATTAGTTGAAGGTATGTGCTCCTTTGGGTAATAAAGGGGAAAAAAAACGGAACTTTGAAGGTTGAATTAAGAATCGACATCACAGCCTTCAGAACACTTCCATAAGTGCTCAGTGCCCACTTCAGCAGCAAGCAAAGAGTTCCAATTCCGATGGTACCAGTAACTGTCTGATTGTATATCCGTTTCATTTTTTTTTCCTGAGTGTTGAGCGTCAGCCAGATCTCCTGGTAGGGCAAAAGAAGAAGAGTTTTTAATTACCCATTTATAAGTGTTATTTGTCCGGCACATTTTTAACCTGTCATCTTTATATTTTTTTTTTTTAAATTTTTAGACTGTTTGGTTTGAGTATAAAAGAAAAAAAATTGGCCACTTTAATATTTTTTTAGCGGTAATACTGCATTGAAACATTCTGACACTGAGTCAGATATAGTCTCTTGTTAATTTTCAGCTGTATGACTTCAGTGCAAAAGAAGATTCTCCAAGTTGTATTAGTTACCACCCCAGCAAGCAGATCTTTGCCTGTGGATTTCAAAATGGAGCAGTTAAAGTTTTCAATGTTGAAGCAACTCGTCTGTTAGCAGAGCTCAAGTTAGTCCAAGTATTTCTTTAAGTGGATATAGTTAAATTAGTCCTGTAGCAGTTACTGCTTATCATGTCACCATATATGGGTTCTGGGACCTCATTGGGGCAGTGGGTTGGGGGGGGGGGGGAAATAGACCCACTATCCTCTAATTTGGGTGAAAGGGGGGTGGGGATGGTAAACCCACTGCTTCTAACGAAGCAATTAATTAAAATTTTGCTGAAATCGTACGTCTGGGGCCAAAAGGTGCAGATATCAAAGCCTAGCTGTAAAACCGGAAATGCCATCCCACTTTTAAGGGTGAGTACAGAAGAAGAAGTAGAATTCAGAGCTGTGCTAGTCAGAAAAATTATTTCTACCTCTACTTGGGATTAAACCAGAACCACGGTCTTGGCAAGCTAGGTCATCCGCGTTCTCATTGGCAAGATGGTGGTTCTGGTTTAATCCCAAGCAGAGGTAGAAATAAATTTTGCGTCCTTATTGGGCATGTAATGCGGTGCTCATATTTTTGTCGACCAATCAGCACAGCAAATGATCTGCTCAGCATTAAGCCTGCCACCTTCAGGGCACTGCTTGGTACAGATTTTAGGCTGGATCAGCATGGAACCAAAATCAATTCTGAAAAATATCCTTCCTAACATGAATTTGAACTAAAGATCTTCAGGCCAGCAGGCGAGGATCTAGCCACAGTTCCTAGTTTCCACTTTTTTTTTTAAAGCAAGTTACATTTGATGTTTTTTTTTTAATGAAAGGCATATTGGGCATATAGGGCTGAACCTATATTTTACAGACCAATCGGCACTTGGTGGGTGATGTGATCAGCATTACACCTGCCACCTTTAGCTTCCCAGGACAGTACCTGGTACCCACTCAAGGCTGGGTCAACCTGACAGCCAAGGTCATTAAAAAAAAAAAGTATGATTCTGTCAGGACACAAACCCATGACCTTCCGATTCACAGTCGAACACCTAGGGCAGCCCCCTTTCATAAAAAGTACAGGTATAATTTTTTTAATAGAAAAGTATGTTTTCTGTGTTTTCTTTTGTTCACTTATAAGTTGTCAGAGTGTTACCAGGATGCACACAGCAAACACAGAATAATAACACTGTCTTCTTCCTCTTAACATTCACCTGCTGTAAACTTCGACAGAAAGTTCTGATTGTTTGTCCACTTCTGGACTTTATTCCAGTTCCCGAACTTCAGTTCTGCATGCACACCCATTTTACAGACTTGCATGCAGACTGTTGGTTCCTCACCTATTGTGCAGGTGCTACTACTTCGGAGGAAACATTTCTAATTAGCCATCTTTTATGGCATGCTTTTTTAGGAAAGCAGTGGGTCTGCACCAATCACCCACCCCCAGGTTTAAGGTTTAAACAACGGATCAACATCATGGCACAAGAGTAGTAACCCATAAGTGCTCCATTCTACTTATATTGTAAGTCTGAGTCTAAAGAAGCTCAGTACAGTGCACGAACTCTGTTGAACCGGCAAGGATCCTGAAATACTTTGGGTAGATTTTAAACTCCACATTTTTGCTGGGCAGCGCCATTAGGCTACTCTTTTCAAAGGGATTTTTTGAGTGCAACAAAACATACGGGATTCCGATCTTATTACCCTGAGACCAGGGGCAACTACTAGAAGTCCACATGAAAAAATTTCACCCTTCACCGGGGTCTGAACTCGAGACCTCCAGCATTCGTGGCTGTCAGACTTTACTATAATCACTTTATATGGCTCGTTATGTAGGCCAGCTAACAGACTTCACTACCCTGGATACACCTAAGACACGCACCAGCTGAGTACAAACATAATCTTTAATGTACAATGAACAACACAGCTCTAGACACCTCAACTGAGTAGGCAGTTCCTATCCGAAACCGCTGGCGTTGAGCAGCTTTACAATCACTGGTCAACCCAAGCCGGTCCCCATGGATCTACCAGAAACACGACTCCTAGCTGACAGTTTATCAGTGCTAACTAAGCGGCTGTCTATTGCCACACGGGACTCAGCGATACACGTAAGGTGAATGGCCTAAGCGTGACTGGGCAGTGTTACCGCCATTAACAATGCGTGTCACACCTTCACTAACTGCTCTAACAAATACTGCATGGAATGTCTACTATACAAGGAACATTAACTCTACACTATCTCGTCGAAACATTAAATGGAAACACAGCCTATCAAAGATACTAAACACAGAAATCCTATTCAACTAACCGTCACTAACCTAATGTACGTTTACCTAGTCGAAGCGCTACGTCTCGTCCAGTCCAATGTCCAACTACACAACTCTCCCTTTAGCCAGCTCTCACAAAGCTTGTTGTTTTCCGCCTCCGTTCATCACTCGACACGCGGTAGTCCATGTCAACTGTGTGAACTGGGCTTGGCCCGTTAACTGGACCCAGTTTATTCTGTGGTCAAGCTGCCCGGTCTCACACTTAGCTGTACTGAAGGTCAAATCGTTCATACGTGATGATTCACTATCATCACCTCCGTTCATCCCATAGCCGAACTGGCCTCTGACAGTGGCGGACACCATACCTCGAGACTACACAGCCCCCTTAGGCACGAGACATTTACTGTTTAAGTTTTGATTGGTAGTTTTTGTTGTTCTTCACATTTCCGCTCCATACAGCAGTACTGATTTGACAATAGAACCCACCTCCAATGGAGTCCAAGAACCCATGCAGGGAAATAACACTTTAACCTCCATGCATCCATGAGAGACTTCTTCTCTATTCACCTTGAATGTTGTATTAAGAATCAATTTCACAGCACCTGGGACACTCCCATAAGCGCTCGATCCCACATCTTCAGCAGCAAGCAAAGAGTTCTGATTCCAATGGTACCAGTAACTGTCTGATTATATATCCTTTTTGCCTTCTCTTTGAGTGTTGAGCACCAACCAGATCCACTGGTAACTCCTTTCAGCGCCACTTTCCTCAGATCATAATAATTTATCTGGCCCTCCACACTGTTCACTCACTCCTAAAGGGCCTCACAACATCAAGCTTATTATACATCAATTTACCACCAAGTGGTGCAGAACTGGCCAGTCTGTCTGCCTGCTCATTTCCCACCACACAGGCATGACCTGGAGAAAATATCCAAAGGATGCTAACTACCTAGGACCTTTGAAGTGATGCTTGACACTCTGCACTGAGCATACGTGTCTGTACCTTTCACAACATGCTCTCTGAGTCATTTACATTCGCCACATGTGTGTGCGCTGATTCTCAAGCCAGCTGAAGGCAGCAGTGACTGCCTCCAGCTCCAGTCTCAAACTAGATGTTGTGTAAAGGTGAATGAAGTACTTAATAATTGTGTACTCCATTCACCTTTAAAAGGGCCAGTGGTTACTTGTCTTATTGTTTACAACTTAGCTGCACCTTTCAATCCAAGACATGATTTTAGCAAATCCCTACTTTATTATTCAATTTTACACTCATTTGTTTTTGCTTTCGGAATGATCAGACCTCTATACGATTGTTAAAATCAGTGCAGAGTGGTCCTTTGTCAGATCGTCTGCAACTAGAATCAAACCACTTATTCCAGAATTATTAAGTGTATTTGCAACACCTAAACTACAGATGCTGACCTTTAGAACCAACAGTATATTTGTTTGCAGTAGCAACTTTTTTCAATAGAAAAAGTTACAGTAACAACTATGTAGAATAGCGCAAGCAAAGGAACCATATTACAAAATGAGACATATTCTAAGCAATCTCTCTTTGTCAGTTGAAAAGAGAAAGATAATTTTTAAAAGCTATATAAATCCTATTCTGATATATGGAAGTAAATCATGAACAGTTGGTAAGTTGCAGACCTGTGGTTTTGTAGACGAATTAGGAGAATACCCTGGACAGATAACAAGAGTAATGAACATTTCTAGAAAGAAACTAACTCATAAAGAGAACTGACTGCCCACATCAGAAGGGGACACTCTACATTCTTTTATCATGTCATCAGAAGGAGGAAACTAGAGCACATTGTGACAGAAGGAAAATCGGAAGGGAAGAGAGACAGAGGAAAGAGGCTGGTCAGTCTGACAACATGGCATAAAGTATAATCTGAATTGATTGAAAGTATACGAGACAGAAGGTTGCAGACAAACATGGCTACCAATGTCACATGGCCTGGACTTTGAAAACAACAGCAACAATCTGAAACAAGGGATAATGATCACCATTTCTGCTGAAAGTAATTGGAATGATTCTGGCCCCAAAAAAATGTATTACGGACAACATGACTTACATTTAAAAATATTCAAAGTAGGTTGCTTGTGAAGTCACACAGCGCTGCCAACGTTCTTTCCATTGCTCATGGAAACCCTGAAACGCCTTCTCGGGGATGCTGCATAAGTACCTCGTCATGGCATCTTGAATGACTGGAACAGTCTGACAATGGTGTCCTTTTATAACCCTCTTCAGCCGGTGGAACAGAAAAAAAAAGTTGCACAAAGACAGGTTAGGGCTGTACACAGGCTGTAGCAAGGTTGGAATTTTTTTCTTGGCAAGAAACTCCCTGGCTGCCAAGGCATTGTGGCTCGACACCTTATCATGATGGAGAATCCAGCTGTCGGCAATCTCAGGATGGACTCATCAACGAAGTCGTTTGATTACTTTGGCGTAAAAATGTGCATTTATTGTTTGTCCAGGAGGTACAAACTAAGAGTGGAGGACTCCTTTTTAGATCATGAGCACAGTAAGCATTGTTTTGATTTTTGATTTGCTCATATGAGCCTTGTTCAGACGGGACGACTTTTTCCAGTGCCCTTTGGAACTTTGACTTTTGGTCTCTGGATCGTAGTCATCCAGGATTCATCTCCTATGACTGCCTTCCGCAGAAAGTTTGGCTGTGCTACAACATGCTCCAACAATTTTTATAAAATTGTCACACATGGTCTGCTTTGTTTTGGTCTATCAGCACTTTTGGTACTAACGTTGCACACGCTTTTCGCATGCCCAATTCTTGTGTCAAAAATTTCGTAAGCTTGTGTTTTGGGGGAAGTTTAGTTTCTCTGCGATTAATCGCACACTCTTTTTGTCGATCACTGTTCAAACTGTCCCCCATATATTTTCTTTGTTTTGATGGGGGAATGTAGATCCATACGTCTCTCATCCTCAACATATTCTCTCCCTTTCTTGAAGGCTAGCTAGTTAAACATCATTGATCAACTCAAACACTAGTTGCCATATTCTGGGTTTAACATTTCCAACGTCTCTGTCCTGGACTTTCCAAGTTTGAAGTTTAATTGTGTAACGCTGTTCGATAGAGTGTTCTATTTTTTTCATGGCTCGGCACGTCACTCGTACAGAGATTCACTACCTCCATTATCTGTATGCTCCAGCTGCTTGTTGACAACTATGACTTTTTGTAACACATGGCTAACCCCCCACCCCACTCCACCCAGCCACAGATTTTTCCACCCACAGCGCATGCGCAATACTACAGCGCTTGTCCAATTACTTTCAGTATTTCTTCTGTAAAATCACTTCATTTCATTTTTGATTATAGTATCTTATTATTTTGCTTGCATCACAGTAAAAATGTTTTTGAACATCTTGTTCATATACAGACAACTCCGTGGAGAGGTGACAGGCGTGGTTTACTCCCTTGATGGATCACGACTATACACTTGCTGCTCGCTGGGTGTGGCTGCAGTTTTTGATTCCAGTACAGAAGAGTACAAAGTCGGTATTATTCTTTTGTAATTTTTGTTTCAAAGTGTTTTATGATACAAAATAATAATGAAAAAGCACTTAATGACAGAGATAAATTGTGACTGAAATAAACAAATCATATTAATATAGTGAAAAAAATTATAAATAAATGATTAGTTTATTAAACTCATGAAGGTTAAGTTTTAATTCTGTGGTCTGATAGTCCCAGTCAGCACAAAGAAACATCTTTTCAAAGCATATTTATCACAGCCCTATGTTATCAGTATCACACATGATCACTGACAATTAGTTCCATGGAGAAAGTCAGCAGGAGTGATGCGAAGAGATGACAATCAAGAGTGAAGAGAAAATGTCAGCACGAAGCCAATATTCAACTACATACAAAGCCAGTAAATAAAATGATTTTCCCACTTAAAGAGAATGCCCTGTGATGACCTACCATACAAGGCATACAGCAAAAGAGGAAAGGGACATAGAGCACAAGGTAGACCAAGAACAAGATAGAAAGATAATATCAGAGAAACTCTTCACTGCTGCAGTGTGTCCATGGTAATGTGGCCAGAAGAGAAAAAAGTGAAACATTATATCTTTCTCGACAATTGAAGTGGTAAAAGAGGAAATGAAGAAGATAAAACAAATAACAAAAATTGTTGGATTTAAATTGTGTGAACCTTAGAAAGTATGTACATCTGTGTGAGTGAGGTTGGTATAGAGGCATTCCTCCCTAACTTGTACCATCTCCATGAGGACTGTGTTCTCTGAGTTCTCTTTCACCTCTGTAGGCTTGGAAACCATTGGGGTGTGCAAGACAAGTCCTGGAACTTCACATTTATCTGCAGGCGTATTAGAATAAAACCATGTCATTAGTCAGCACATCACAGTTGGACTGGCTGGAATTAAGCCTAAGTTGTTAATGTTTCTGCACAAGTTTTATGTGTTTCTTTGTTGAAGACTGACCTGATCCGTGATTCTAGTGAGATGATGAAACATGACAGCCTATGCTTATCGGCACGGCACATGAAGATGATCATGATGAAAACTTTAACCTAATTTTCAGATTAAATAAATTGTTAGGTCTTCATATTTTTATTTTTATTATATAGCATAAGAGCTGGGGTGGTCAAGTCTGACTTTTCTCTCTGAGTGAATCCCAAAAAATACTGAAAATTATACCTGTGCCCATTTTATGAACCTACAGAGGCAAAGAAATAAAGGCAGACCCAAAAAATACACAGAGAAGGGAGATAGAGAATGAATTTCAAAGATAAGGAGGACATGGGGTGAGCTGCATGCGATAGCAATGGATAAGACACTTGACGAGAGTTGGTTGAGGAATAAAGTGCAGATGAAGAGGAAGAAAACCAATTTTTGGATATTCACTCAGCGATCTAAATTAAACATTAACCACTATTTTGGTAGGCTAGCACATAGACTACTAATGTCGTAGAGGCTGATGTAATTACTTATATGAAATCTTTGGTGTACACTTAACAATTTCACCCAGTAAAAGTAGGAATATTTTTTTTTATGACTTTTTTTTTTTAAATTTCATTTGGGGAAAACATATCTTATAATCCTCTGAAGTTGAACCCTAAGAAACTAGAAGAGGAAGCAGAAATATTTTGGAGCCTTAGTCAATTATAAGTGTCCACAGAGTTTAACCCCTAGACCCTGGAACAGACATTGAAGTCTTTTGTTTCTTTTATGATGTCACTTCACTAAAAAAAATAAAAAAAGGACACAATTTTATTCAGGTGGCTGAATTTGTAAATTGGGAAAAGGTTTATTTTTATGTTACGGGAGGTAGTTGCTAAATACAAACGGAGCAAATAATGAACTGATTTCTTCCCTTTTATGATTTAGAGTTGTTTTGGTAACTTTGCTGTGTAGAGCAATGTGATGCAATATTGAAATTACTGACATCACATTTAAAAAATATACTTATAAATATTGTTTTGCACCATAATTTTTTTTTTTTAATTAATATTATTATAATCATACCACCATCTCTAAACAATATGCAGCTGCAGGCAGCATCACAGCTGTCATTCAGGCATAGTGGGCTCTGTTCAAGATATTGTGTAAAAAAAAAAAACATGTAAAAGGGCAGCTGGAAAAACAGCATTCTTTGAGCTAGAGAGTGGAGAATTTTAAATCGTTACAAATTTGGAGTTGACAGTACAAACAAAATGAGTCCATATGGATTTTACAAAAGCATACGACTGCAACAGAAATTTGAAGAGTGTTTTCTGTGGATGCTTGTCATTTTCTTGCATGGTTGTTATGTCTAATGAATAATCCTTTAGAAGCGCATCTTTATCTTTCAGTTTATAGTATAATAAATTGGAGTAGACAGCTTCTTTTTTTGATGCCTTTACTTCCAGAAACAGAATTACTATTCGCCGACGACCAGGTACTCATAGGAAAAACTACGGAATGCCTACAGAACCCCCTAAATAATAAAGGGAGGAATATAGTATGAGAATAAATATTATGAAAACAGAGATAATGGTGATAGGAAGACAGAAAGACAACTTAGAAATACAATTTAAAAAACAATGCCTCAAAGTCAACAGAGGAATTCAAGTATTTGGGAGAAATTTTCACATTCAGTGAAAACTGGACAGAGAAATTAGCGCAAGATATACTAAAGCTAATCAAGCACTGGGCCAACTATCTCCTGTGTTAACACACAAGCAGATACCACAGAGTACTAATGTGAATCTTATCAGAATTATTTTTTGGCCAGCACTATGCTATCAGTGTCAAATGTGGACACTTACATCCTCTAATGAACGTAAAATTGTGACAACGGAGATGAAATGCCTTAGAAGAGCTGGAGGAGTTTCAAGGAAAGACAGAATATGAAATCACGAAATCAGACAAATGTTAGGAATAAAGACAGTCATACAGGTCATCAAAGAACAACAAATGAAGTGGTTTGGACATCTAACAAGAATGCCTGATACTATCTACCACAGCGAGCCACAATGAAACATTACAACAGGTTTAGAGCGAGGGGAAGACCTCATAAAATATGGAGTGATAGCATAAAGAACAGCCTTACAGATATGAACATTAATCTTAATAGTGCTCTTGACATAGCTCATCAACAACATTACATCTCCCCCTGACACTTCATTGAGGTAAAAGGTGGAAGAGAAGAAGAACTTCCAGAAAATTAATAAATCTGTCACATAACTTATTTTAATAACTGAAGGTACAAGGAGCTGGCCATAAGACTTTACAAACTATACAAGAAATTTCATACACCACATATTAATTGCCATTATGAAGATATTTGAATGCATCTGATTTAATCTTTCTCATGTTACTGTTTCATAGTCAGTATAAAAACTCAAGATCAGCCCTTAGTATTTATGTTACAAAATCAGCAGAAATACAGTTTTGTCTTTTTTCTTTTTAACTGCCACAACTAACATATTTTTTAAGTTAAATAAACATAGATTTTTTTTTGTTAATTTTGCTAACAGGTGGTGAGAGTGATAACAGGTCTAGTTGCCAGAGGAAGTCAGTTTGGGCCCCAAGCTCTAGCATTAAGTCCATGTGGAAGAAGAGTGGCATTTATTGGTCCCACAGAATTTACTGTTACTGTAGCAGATGCCAGGTGTTTAGATGAGGTATATTTTATGTTTGAACATTTCTTGTAAAACCACAGATTTTTACCACTGTGGAAGAAATTAGAGCCTTACCATCTAATGTTCCAAAAGACAGCAGCTGGTACACTGTAGCCAACCATTGAGTCTGGAGCAGCCTCATTTGGAGCAAAAGTACCATGTTGTAACGTAACGATCCCTTTTCACGCCTTTAGGTGCATCGGGCATATGGGAAAAGCCACCCATATCTTTACAGACCAACCAGCACTAGGTGGGTAATGTGGTCAGCATTATGCCGGAAACCATGCTGTACTTGAATAATTATTAAGACAGGCAAGCAAACAAGCAGCTATGCCACCATGAATGAGCTGGATGTCACTGTCACTATCACCACTGTCTGTTTTACCACTTTTTGGGGCGGTGTTGTTAATGGAGGGGGGGGGGGTGCCCTTAAGTCTGAGGATTTAGGGCTGCCTGGTTAGGGCTGTCACTACCGACTATGCAGGTTAGGATGTTTAATTCTGCCCCTGACAGAAAAACTCTATCAACTTACCCGGGGTAAAACTCAGGTCTCCCGCATAATAGCCCGACGTTGTAACCGTTCAGCCAGCTGCTCGCCAGTTGGATGTATTGACCCAATATTCCACCTTTATTGTAAACATAGTACATATATTTCTCTTCCGGATGCTCTTTGCATTTTTATTTCTTTTTTTAACATTTAATTGTTTTGTCTTTCTGCTCAGCTTTTGAGGATTGATGTATCGGATTTGACTGTTGGCTCATCCAGCATAGACTCCGCAGAGAGGGTGACTTTTTCTCCAGCAAAGACAGATCATTTATTAGTTACTACAACCAATAACAGGCTGCTCAAATATGATGCCAAGGATGGCCGTTTATTACAGGAAGTAAGGCATCTGTTATGTTATTTTGTGGGGTTTTCCTAATATTTCAGCAATTTGTTTTCAACATGGGTATTAATTATTTGTTCACTTTCTTAATAATTGTCGTCAGCTATCATTATGAATTAATTATTTATCTTTTTTTTAATGCAAAAAAAAAAAATATTTAAAAAGAAGTAAACATTTTCTGGGCATGGCATGTTGTAAGAAGAAATGATGTTTAAAACTTAACAACTGACAAACTCAATGCAGAGAGAGAGAGAGCGGGAGCAGGAGAGAGAACACATGGCCTAACCAATATAAGAATGCAGCTTACTGACAACCACGCCTGTTAACCCGTGCACTTTTCCAGATACCATGTATTTTAGTGTATACTAAAGATGCCATACTATCACAACTATTTGACATAAACTTATAATATTTTTTTTTGCACCAAACTGAATGGAGAACAAATTGAAAGAACAAAAACTGTGTAATCATGTTTGACATCATCATCAAATGACTATAGATTAGTGCAAAAAAAAAAATGCAACCAAAACAAACCTTTGTGTGTTTTTTTTTACAGCAATATGGACTAAAATAAAATCCTGTAACTTCACAACTTTTAACATAAACCAATAATATTTTGCAGCTTTTCACCAAATTGAATGGAGAACAAATTTAAAGAATTAAAAAAAAAAAAAAACTGCTTAATCCTGCTCTACATCATCATCATGTGGCTGTATATTGGTGGGAAAAACAGCAGCCAAGAAATTTTCTGACACGTAGAACTAATTTTATTTTAATTTTTTTTATAATTATAGATACAAATTCAACAAATTTATTGGCTGTTGGCTGATTTAGAATTGCCAAACTGTCAAACTCAGAAAGCCACAAAACACATCTTTACCCAAAAACTCAAAGGAGGTTCTATTGTTTGAAATAAGAATCCCCTTCCAGTTAAGAAAGGAATCTCAATTTTGGAGTTTTCCTCTTTATTTGTTCTTTCTGTCTCCTTTCTCTACTTAGACCTAGCTGAGGCTCACCAGGTTCGACTTTTACTAAAAATCTGTCCAAAGAACTTTGCTTATGCCTTCTCCTCGGGATGTTTCAGAAATGTGACATTGTCTGGTCATTCCAGACAGTGCTATTATGGCTTGTTTCAGCTTTCTTAGGGTGGTACTTCTCTGCAAACTTTTTGACATCCATTTATTTGACAGACATTTCCTTGATTAATGAGAGAGGGAAGCAAAGGTAGCACACGCTGTCAAGCCTAATTTTTACTTAAACGGGTTCCAAACAAAGGTCACCTACCAAGCAGAGTTTTTCGCTTCTCATCTTGATGTATACCAAGTTGGACGTATGCCAGAGCAGACGTATACTGAGGTACCACTGCATTGGTAAAACTCAGGGATAACACGATAACACACCTTAGTTTTTCCCTGTGACTAATAGAATAATAGTAGACATGGAAGTGATGTAAAATTTTTTGTTATTTTTCTCTACACTTCAGACTGACCACATTCATCGCACAGGCTGTAGTGCTATCAGTGTGTCCAGCAATGGAAAGTACATGGCTACAGGAGGAGACAAGACCATCAAGATTTGGGACTATAATCTCCAACTGGACATTAACTTTCAGGTGTGAAATTTTAGTGTATTAGTTAATGTAAATTTAATTGGATTTTGTTGGGTCTGTGCTTTAATAGTTGTAATGATCGTTAATGTCATAATGGTTTAGAAAGAGACGTAGTGGAAGAGAAGGTTCTTTGAAGATGAGACACAGGCCAACAGACATCAAACATTAAAGACATCTTGGACATAAAGATGTTTGAGCTGATGGGGAACCAGTAAAAGACTGAGAATCTTTCCATGAGCTGTATAAGAACAGCAAAGGATTTTCACCTGATAATGAGGTTTGAGGTTAAGGTTTGAACAACGGATCAACATCATGGCACACGGGTAGTAACCCATAAGTGCTCCTTTCTTCTTCTAACTTGTCTGACTCCGAAGAAGCTCCGCACAGTGCACCGGCAAGGATCCTGAAATACTTTGGGTAGATTTGTAACTTCAACTTTTGCTGGGCAACACCGTTAGGCTACTCTTTTTGATTTCCAACTGCCAAGGGATTTTTTATGTGCACACTGGCATCCGATCTCACTATCCAGAGACCAGGGAGAATTACTAGAAATCCAAGTCCACGTGAAAAAATCAAAGTCCTTACCAGGGATTGAACCCGGAACTTCTAGCACTTGAGGCAGACACCATGCTTTGAGACCACACAGTCCCTTTCCTGATAATGAATGCAATAATGTTATCTTAAAACAGATATATATTAAAATTCAACAGTTGAGCCACTCACATATATAAATTAAATGCTTCTTTAATAATAACAGTTTAAAATCCCAGCAATCATTTTTTGATGATCCTATATAAGATTTTGTAAGTGAAAATATGAATTCTTCGTGTGGGTTCTGGGGCCTCAGGTTTCGGGGGGAAAGCATGTTGTAAAATAGGGATTTTCAGCTATGTTTGCTCAGGGGCCACAATTGTAAACATGAGGATCATCAGAGCCCAGAGGTCCGAACTCAAGCATAGAAAGGTCATTAATACAATACAACTAGCAATGATCTGCGGGCCACTTGCTGGGCCTCCGCGGGCCACCAGTTGAATAGCCCTGTTGAATGTTGAATTAAGAATCGACATCACAGCACTTGGGACATCCACATAAGCGCTCCGTCCCCATATTTAGCAGAAAGCAAAGAGTTGAAATTCTGATAGTACCAGTAACTGTCTGATTGTCTATCCGTCTTGCCTTTCCCCTGAGTGTCGAGCGTCAGCCAGATTTGCTTGTAACTCCTCGCAGGTGATTGTGGCATGTGGTATGCATCACTGTGGTAATATACCTGTTGTAACAGGTGACTAATTAGGAGTGTGTTGAAATAATATTTTTGGAGCTAAAAGATGCAGATATCACAGCCTAGCTGTAAGCCACGATATGCCAATCATCCTTTTACAGTGAAATCAGAAGAAGAAGATACAAATTAAAGTGAAATATTTTACTGATTGAGTTCTGGTGTTCTGTTGATAGGTATTTATAGGACACAGTGAAAATGTATGCAGAATTCATTTCACACCTGATGGTCTGAGTCTAATTAGTGCTGGTGAGGCTGTCTACATCTGGGACTTCTTGGCCAGAAGAGCTACACCTGCTGCATCTTTGTAAGTTGACACATTAAAACTTGTAGGTTCTGGTAAATTATCACTTACATTGCAAAAGAATATCTTTATAAGTTCAAGTTTCTGCCATTATTAACACAAAGAGAATCTCAAACAGCATGTACAGAGCACCAGATATGTACGTCAGAATCACATGCAATAAATATTCATTGTTTATTTTTTAATTGGAAGTTTAATCTAGGCAGCAGCCTGTTCAGTCTGTTCTTTTTTATTTCCAACTGCTGAGAGATTTTTAACTTTTTTTCAACATGCATATGAGTCATCTGAACTTTTTGTCCTTGTCTGGTAAGGTTAAATATCTGATCCACCGTCTCAGGATCAGTGTAAATATCGCTTTTTGGGGATTATTTTTTTAATAATTTCCAGATAATGAAATCTGATTTGGTCTGAGATCTTGGCTCTCAGATTGACCCAGCCTAAAATGAGTATAAAAAATTGTCCTTAGAAATGAACTGCCAGGAGGGATGTCGAGCAGATCACTGAGGAAGACCAAGAGAAACACAGATAGATGCTGTAGCTGTATCTTGCAACAACAACAACATATGAACAATCCATCACTTAAGAAAGGAAAAACACACAATAACCCATAACACTGGGCTACAATTCAGTTACAGTTTGATGACAGAAAAACTAGAAGATTCAAGAAATAATGCTGAGAGGTGGGCAGAATCAATTGAAACACAATAATTTAACGAAAATTGTTTCTGTTGTCATTTCAGAGAAGATGGAATGGTTCTTCATGATTCAGGTAACTGTTTTTGTGTTGATATAAGTAGTTGAATGATTCTTCTTCTTCTTATACACCTTGATGTGTGGTTTTTGTAGTCATGTCTATCCATAACCTTCTGTCTCGAGTACTTTTAATCAGTTCTGACACAGATGATCTTCCATGCCATGATGTCAGACTGTCCATCATCTTCTCCCTTGGTCTCCTTCTGCCTCTTTTCCCCTCCAACTTTCCCATCATCATGACCAAAGAATGTTGATGGTCTTCTGTTGTGGGTAGTCAGTTCTCTATGTGAGTCAATTTGTTTTAAGAAATCTTCATTGCTCTTAGTTGAACAATTAGCACCCATAAAATTAATAATGCATGTTATTTATGTAGATGTGCACATTGACACACACATTACACAAGGCTTCATAAATTGTCTACACTGTTTAAATAAAAAGCCTAACTGTGTCTGTCTGTCTGTTTGTCTGAGGGATCGACACAGATACTTACATAAGTAAAGGACCCTTTTATGACATTGCACATATGGAGCAAGACCCGTATTTTATAGACTGATCAGTACTCGATGGTGGATGTGGTCAATATCACGCTGACCTCCTTTTCGTGATATTTCCTGGTATTCATTTTTAACCGGATCACTTGACATTTGGGCATTGATGGTAGTAGAGGAGGTGATCGATTGGCTGGATCTGCCATGGTTACAGACCACCTAACTTTGGATTGTGCTGAAATTATCAGTACTCTTAGAGAGAGGATGGCTGGAGGACTTTGAGGGCAGTGCATTCACATCACTGCTTACAGTGAGAAATTTGAGAGTAAAAATCGGTACAGCCAGGTACGAGAACGAACCACTTGGGATGTAAGACAGGTTTGTCAGCCGGCCTAGGACTGGCACTATTAGCCACGAGAGGCTAATGAATATGTTGAATGTTAAATCTGAGGAAGATGAAGAAGTACCCACAGCAGTTGACTTCTTTTGATATTTGTGCCTCTTATCCTCAATTTGTTGGATCAGAATTGGCTCAGAAAGCACCAGCCATGAGCATAACCCAACCCATAACCTGTGAGCAGTAATAATGTTTTTGGTTTGTTGCATACAGAATCAAACTCTGAGGTCCAGAATGATGATCAGCCACTTCCAGTAAAATACAGGCCGACTTTCCCTCGGCCCAAGCCAGGTGCATCTATCTACTCTGCCCGTCCAGATGTTGAGATTGATGGGCTCAGCTCCATACATGGATCCAGTGGTAGGTCTCGCAGCCGTTTAACAGATCTCGCAGCTGTTTAACAGATCTCGCAGCTGTTTAACAGATCTCACAGCTGTTAAACAGATCTCACAGCTGTTTAACAGATCTCACAGCTGTTTAACAGATCTCACAGCTGTTTAACTAGTTTCCTAGAATTAAAAAAATACTAGATACTATGCAAACTGCAACTGGAAGGCTCAGCAGTGGGAATGACAAAATGTGCACAGATGCAATCGAACTTCTCTAAACTGTGAATAGAAAGCTCCCTCCCCCCCCCCTCTCTCTCTCTCTCTCTCTCTCTCTCTCTCTCTCTCTCCCTCCCCACCAGGACATCATACAAGCAATAAAAACTGGGTGACACAAAGTGCCACCATGCCGATGCAGATCTCCTGTGGAGAGGTCCCAGAAACCCCTTTCAGCCGTTAGATCATATTTATGGCCCGGCTATATTCAGGGTCCCTGGCCAAAGCCAGGGTGGGGATTCAAATAATGAAAAATTGTATCCCACATGGGGACGACTTCAACATATAAATAGAAAGCTCAGTGAATAAGACAACAGAGCTTATAAACAGCCAAGGTTAACATGGAAACATAAATATGTAATAAAAAGAAAATATTGACATGACATTGAGTTGTCTCGTCACATCTGTGTTGTTGTATTTAGTACTCTATTGGTAAAGACTTTGCTCGAAACATTTGATTGTATTTGTGCATGTCTTTTCCATTTACTTTTTTTAGCTATCTGGTCACAGTTTGTGTTGTAATTAGTACTGTTTGCTATCAGCTTGACTGTAGTCATATGTATTTACTTCCTAGAACCAGTGTTTTTTTTTTCTGGCAGTATGCAACAACTCGCACTACAGCACCTTTGTTTAAGGTGTCATTCTTTCAGTGCTGCTGTAATAGACGATTTGTAAAGAGTATCAACAGCTTTTTTTAAACACTTTGTGGTGAGTACTGGCACCTTTTTTTTTCTAGAAAAAAGAGCCATGCCTAGAATAAAGTCCATGTGTATTTGAAAGCTTTGGTAATGACTTTAGATGAATGAGTAGCAGCTTTTACTGTCATATCAGGATTCGATTTCTACAGCCCGCTTGAAGCTTTCAGTCAGAGGCATGATTGTACAGTGGGATTATGAAACTACATTCATAACACCTAAGCTGCAGACACTGTCGCCAAGGAGATACCTGAAATTATATATTGCAGTTATGTTAATGTATACGATGTCTCCTCAGATGTTGATGAACCTCATTCAGCCAGAACAGATGACGCAGGAGTGGTTAAATCCTTGCATAATGCAAATACATCCCATAATTCTGGCTTTGCTCATTCATTTAGCAAAGTCAGCACTGTTGGTACAAAGATCAGTGAAAGAACACATACAGTTACAATTTTTCAGGTAAGAATGTTATATGTTATTCAGATTAATTTTTTCTTTAAATATATTAATGTTAAACAAATATAATGTTTTAACACACACCTGGACATCATTTGAGATTCTCTTACCTAGGACATAATAACATATGATGGAAGAAGTGGAACAGAATTTTAAAAAGAATAGGATCGGCCAAATATCTTGCCACAATTTTGAGTTGAGGTAACGGGTAGTGAGCATACTTTGGATTTTTTCTCCAGGCCATGCCGGCGTAGTGGGTAATGAACAGGCAGGCAGATTGGCTGGATCTGCACCATTGGGTGGTGAATTGATACATGACAAAGCAGATGTGATTAAGGCCCTTTGGGAACAAGCAACAGAATCAGTAGAGAAAAGAGATTATTATGGCCTGGAGAGAATGAGGCACCTGGGTGTAACTAGAGGGTCTGGCCGGCTCACTACACTCAGAGGAAAGGCAAGACGGACATATAACCAGATTGTGACTGGTACCATCAGTATTGGAACTCTGCGCTGGCTGCTGAAAATGAGGACGGAGCACACATGGGCATGCCCGGAATGCTATGATGTCAATTCTTGACTCAACTCAACTAAGCTGAGTTGAACCATAGACACTTGTGTTAATGAATGACTGCTTTAGTCACTTACAACAAGGTAAAGGTAGTTCCTAGACTCTTTGTCTTCTTTTAGCAGTGAACCCCAGTGAAAAGTTCTAGTTCATCCACTTTGGTCTTGTTCCAGAACTTGAGCTTTGCATGCATATCCATTTTACAGATCTAGCATGTTTGTATGCAAACTGTTGGTCCTCATCTCTCAGACAGATGCCCTTCGACTTCAAAAGGAAACACCCCTAATTATTAGCCTTTTATGACATGCTTGTCAGGTGGGCAAGGAAGACAAATTGGGGGGGGGGGGGGGAGGGGGTGAGCAATGGGTCTATTCTTTTGTCCCCCTAAAGGGGACTCCAAAACCCATACGGGGAAGTTCCTAGACAAATACTGTCATCGGAATCTGAAGTGGTACATTTTTATCTATCTGTCTGTCTGTTTATCTACCTACTATATGTCTATCTACTATCTATCTTTCTGTCTAACTATCTCTCTTGTCTGTCTGTCTTATCTTATCTAGCTGCCATATCAGTCTGTATTTATAATTTTTACAGTGTGGGCATGGAAAGGGGGAGGGGTTTTTCTTGAGCTTGAGGATTAAGGGCTGCATGTCTAGTACTATCGTCAAAAATTGTGCAGGTTAGGATTTTGTTTTTGCTCCCGAAGGAAAACAAAACGCAGCTTACTGAGGATTCTCACGTGAGAACCCAGTGTTTTCAGCCACTACTTCTTCTTCTTTCGTTCGCCTGAAATAAGTTGTCTGTATCAGCAATTTTGTCTCTTATATAAATTTCACTGTCGTTGTTAGTTCATTCAGTGGTCCATAGAGTTTACGTCCCACTGTTGTTCTTTCTGGCTAAAAGGTTTGCCTTAATGTGTCAAATTCGGTGCAGTCCTGGAGTACATGCTCTGCTGTCTGGGGCACATTTCCACAGGTGCACATGGCTGATGCACCTATCTTGAATTTTGTGTACATGTGGTTACATAATCGGTTGTGCCGTGTTCTGAGGCTGAGGATAATGACTTGAGTCACTACTGATTTTAATGTGTGCCGGTCAAAAAATAACGTACTGGTGTAGCCGGTTTCTCTTGATCATCACTTTTCCTTGCCAGAAAATTATCCAGTACCATTTTATGAGTGTGTTGGGCCCCAGTGGCTAGATGCTCACCTGCTGACCTGAAGTTCCTGTATTCGAATCTGCATTATGGTGGATTTTTATTTTTAAACCTGACCTCATCTCCCAAGCCGACCCAGCTTAAAAAAATAGGTACCAAGTAATATCCTTGAAAGTGAAGACAATCTGCATGATGATGATCACAACATTCTATGAGTGCTGATTGATCTTTTAAAGTTTGTATGTAGCATCATATGTTTGATGCACAAGTGGCATAAAAAAATGGTCTTTTACCATACTTTATGTATACATTTTTATGTGGGCCCACCATAGTTCTAAAACTTTAGACAGATATTTGAATACCTGTTTATTGTTTCTCCAAACACCACCTCCAGCCCTCAGATACAAGAGATACAGGTGCTGCTGATGCCCGTGTTTCCAAGGCACACAATGCTGCCTTTGTTCAACATCACAGTGTGTCAGCAACAGAGAAAAGGTCTGGACATTCAGATAGAAGGAGATTACAGGATCATGTCTCACAGCCTTCAGCTTTTGTTCACTACAAGCAGCGAATGAAGAACCATGGAATCTGCCAGGTAGCTAGCTCATCATCATCATTTAGCAGGTCCTTTGCAGAACGTTACTGTCATCAGGATCAGCCTGAAAGAAACTCGGTCTCTTGCCAGCTCTCCTGCCTCATGTACTTTCATACTCAAGGAGTCACTTATATCCTGTGCCCTTCTTTATGTTGGTCGGCCCCTGCCCCTCCTTCCTGGTACCATGCCTTCTGCTAAAATTTTTTCCAGTCGATCATGGCGTTTGATATGACCAAGATATTTCAGCTTCCGGTAGCTAGCTATGTTTGGGTTTTCTTGTAGTGACCAGTCTATACTACTGTGGTGTTACTAAGAATTCTCAGCTGATAAACTGTTTGAAGCATCTTGTTAATTTTTTTTTTTTTTCAGGTAAGCTGTCAGTTTAAATTTGTTTTATTTACTGCTTATTTTCCAGTGTGCTACAGCTTCCTTTTAACTCATTCAATGCAACATGCATGCACTAGGTGTTTCATACTTGGGGGTGCTTGTTTTGATTTGTCCATGGAATTGTCATCACTCTTCTTTAAAACTACATCTCTGCAGTTTCAGAAAAAATGTTGTGGAGTGTTGTGCTGGTGACAGCCTTGGGTTTTGTGTGGTGCGCTCTGTGAGCACCATGGATCATTAACAGGACGAACTGTCTCAAGAACACAGAACAGGAGACTCTGACAGTCAATACAATGGACCCTCACCTGAATAGAAATTAAAAACACAGACACCTATCATAACCTAATGTTTTGACCAGTTTTTTCAACATACTAAATATAACACAAACTAACTGGAAAACTCAGTGGACAAGACAACAGAACTTATAATAAACAAACATGGTCAACATGAAACCATGAAATATGTAATAAGAAGCAAATTTAGACATGTAGGGCTATATTATCAAATAAAATAAGTAAGAAGATGTTTGAAAACAATGGGGGAAAATATAAATAAATAAAATCAAAATGTAAATATAGCTGTGCTGAATATTTATAATTTAATTTAATTTTTTTAATGTATTTAAATTGTTTAAATTTCTCCTAGTTGTTTTCAAATGTCTCCTTACTTTTTTCATTGCATAGCCCTTCATGTCAATATTTTTTCTTGTAATTTTTTCTTGCTTTCATGTTGAGCTTGTTATGTTATAATCTCTGTCATCCTGTCCACTTAGTTTTTTTTAGTCACAGTTTGTGTTGTATTCTGTGATCCACTGATAAAGACTTTGATTGAAACTTTCTGTTGTATTTGTGCAAGTCTTTTCCGTCTTGTAGTTAGTACTTCTTTTCATCAGCTCGACTGCAGTCATCCCCTATTTATATTATCACTTTAGCACAAAGTTGGCCAAAAATAGTTCTTTTTAGATTCGCCCTAAGGTCATAATTCATGGAAACAAAAACAATAAAATACAGAGGTTTTGGAAAGAATGTGTATGAAAACAGATTTACTGAAAGAAATCCAAAAAAGATGATTGCAATATTTTGGCTGCATTAAAAGACATAATAATCTTTTAAAAACCATGCCGGATAAAATGTCAAGGGCAAGAGGTAGACACTGATACAAGTTGGAAGACAACATCAAGAGACAAACAGCAGTCTGAGAGAGAGAGAAAAAGAGAGTACAACCAAGAGAAGAGACTGAGCATGTTGGAGATCTATTGCAGCCAACCTTCATTGTGAAGAGGACAACTGATTGATGAGATTTGCCTTGGTATACAAACGTATACTTCTGTGTCACAATAAATTAGAAATACAAAAAAACAGTTTGACATTTTTCTGCTTGTTGATCTAATTCAATGGTGATATTTCAACAGTGTGATGTCCGTGGCTTAGGAGTTGCGAGTCCGACTCATAATTCCAATGCACCACAATCGAAACCCACTGCTGGCTGAGGGGGTTTTTATCATGGTACGGGCGTCGCAGGTTGACCCAGCCTAAAATGGGTACCAGGATGGCTGTCCTGGGGAAGTAAAGATGGCTGGCGTAATGCTAACCACATTACCCACCTAGTACCGATTGGTCTGTAAAAAATTTGGGGTGCTCTTCCCATATGCCCCATGCGCCTAAGGCATAAAAAGGGTTCTTTAGTTTACTTGAACTATTTCAACAGCGACGATATACAGCACCTGCGAACCAATCTGGCTTGAAGCTGAACTCTGTGATAGGGTACAACTGCATTGGAAGAAACAATATGGTCTGGCAGCCAGACACAGGTAAGACATGATGATTTGTTTCATGTAAGCCATAGCCAATAAGAAAGAGACAAACACTGCTCTGTGGCCACATAATGAGAAAAGAGACGTTGGAGAATATTATGACAACTGGAAAGATCAGTGGAAAAGGGGGTAGAGGCAGACCAAGAGAGATGATGCTGGATGGGCTGAAAAGATGGCATGTAGGAATATCATCAAGAGAGCTGTTCCTGGCAGCCAGACACAGGTAAGACATGATGATTTGTTTCATGTAAGCCATAGCCAATAAGAAAGAGACAAACACTGCTCTTTGGCCACATAATGAGAAAAGAGACGTTGGAGAATATTATGACAACTGGAAAGATCAGTGGGAAAGGGGGTAGAGGCAGACCAAGAGAGATGATGCTGGATGGGCTGAAAAGATGGCATGTAGGAATATCATCAAGAGAGCTGTTCCAGGCAACCAGGGATCGTGATCTGTGGAGATGCATGAGCACCTACACCGGTTGGCAGGGCACATAATGATGATGATGATGATTAAGCCAACGCAGATGTGTTCAGTGGGCAGCAGTGTATGCGTCAACAGGGGGCTTACAGTCGAGAGGATCGTCCTAATTTTATCAGGTGCTTTTCCATGTGGCTTTTTCTTTTTCTGCATTGTGGCTCCTACCCTGTGAGAGTGTTGCATAAGGCTCAAACTCCATAGCTCTAGCAACGATCTCAGCGTCCTTTTGAAATATCAGCATTCACAAGCTGAAGGGTGGTGTCTAAAATCAAATCTATAGCTTTCAGAGCACAGGGCAAATAGCTTAACCGCTTAACCATAGAGCCCTCTTTTAAATGCAGTACCTTACACGAAGTCAAGATCACAAACACTGAAGTATTGGAAAAAGCAGGTACTACAACAGTTTTCTTAATGTTCAGCCTCCCAAGGCTCAGGTGGCTGGATCACTGGAGAATGGAGGATGGCAGAGTCCTAAGGACATCCTCCATGGTGAATTACAAATGAGTAGAAAATGCCAAGACCAGCCCCTAATATGATTATAAAAATGTGTGCTGGGGACATGAATGATACAGATATTGAGGTAGATTCATGGGAACAAAATGCACAAGACTATGTTGGGTGGAGGGGTAATATCAGCAAGGGAATAGGAAAAAGGGAAAAGATGATTGCAGAAAGGTTGAGAGCTAAGTGCCTGAGAAGAAACATGTTAAATACATGTGATGGTAACAAAGGTCCTAAAATCCCATGCTGTGACTGTGGAATAATTTTTTTCAACACAGGCACGTCTTGCTAGGCACATTCGCCATGGCCATGAACTATGAGACCCATGCCTCCCTTTAGAACATTATAACACTATTGTCCGGAAAGATGTGGAAAGGTGCCGACAACACCGCACATTTAACTATTGTTTTATTACAAATTTTAATTTTTGCAAGAATTAATAAAAATTTTGTATACTGATCAAATGCACATATTATTTTAATCCAAAAAAAGGTCTGTTTGCCTATTCTTCTGGTTGTGTTGTTGTTATTGAAGATCTGAGCTCAGGGAAGCAACAACATTTGCATGGTGAGTAGTTTAGTTTAGTTTGACTGTAGCAAGATCTCTAAAACGGGTTGGAGACGGAATAGTCTGTTTATTTTTCAGTATTAATAACTAGAAATGAAAATGAAATGCCAGAATTATCTGTGTGTGTATATATATGTGTGTGTGAGTGTGAATGGTAATAACACAAATGAAAGCACATGGAGCTGGCTAGGGAAAGGGATACTTTCAGGTGTGCCATGAAGAGAACGGATTTCTGTAAAGAACTTGCTGATTGATGATAATGATTGTAGTAACAGAGTGAAATGAAATAGCCACAGCTGCATAACACAGACACAATTATTATAGTGGCTAAGAAAAGAAAATCTCATAATGCTATGTCACATTGGTGATTGTCACGGCCAGCTCCAGATATAAGGCTGTACAGCTCGAACAAGAATTCCTGTTTTTGTGAGGCTGGCGTGGCCGGTCAGTGGTAACAATTGTTATTGAGTAGATTTATAGACAAATTGAAATACAGTTTAATTAATTTGCAACATGTGTTATCAAATTAATTATTTTGAAGAAATTAATGGGCTATGAAAAAATATTTATCTTCAAAATTATAGTCATTCAATAATGAATTAAACTGTAGTTCAGTTTGTGTATAAATCTACTCAATAACAATTGTTACCACCGACTGGCCACGCCAGCCTCACAAAAATGGGAATTCCCGTTTGAGCTGTACGACCTTATATCTGGAGCTGGCCGTGGTGATTGTTTAATACTCATTAGTCTATAGAAACAGGAGTCTAGCATCATATGCCCGAAGGACTACTGTTGCAGAAGTGATCCTCTCCTTTACTTAAGTATATTTCTATGTATCCTGTACATGTTTATGTGGAATAGATATTTGAGTGTAGTGAAAAGTGTAAGAGCAGCACAAACTTTGTAATAAATTGACATTTGTTTATATTTTTTTTTAAAGGTCACCAAGAGGAAGTGACATGTCTCGCTCTTCAGTATGATAGCCAGGTAGATTTTTCAATTATAGTTTACGTAACAGTCTCGTGAAAAATGGTGGTTGATTTTCTAGTATACACTCTTTCAAGGGTGTGAACTCATTGTTAATTACCCCACCCAGTATAACTTTTTGTTTTTTGTTTTTAAGTGTTAGGGACAGAACATCCAAGAATCAAATGGTTTGGTCATCTGGTCAGAAGGGAACAAAATAACCAGCAGCTAGAGCGTATTACATAAGAACAGCAGGTTACAAGCCAAAAGGCTGACCATGAAAGAGATTGGTTGAGGGTGTAAAAGAAACTACAGAAATACAGTATGACATTAACTCAAGCTAATCACCTAGCAAAAGACAGGAAACTATTTCTGACTCTTCTCTGTGATGCTTTGTAACATAAGTGGTAGGATAAAAGAAGCAGAAGAAGAAGGAGTAAAGGATTTGCTCCTGTTGTAATTGCCTTTGAAAAGTTGCTCTTTGAGTCGTCACTCTGTAGACTAATCCAAGCAGTGAAAATTATTTTTTCTTAAGGTGAAGTTTTTCGCTTTTCATACAAGATCATTGCATTTTTACTTTAGGTCAGCGTTTCCCATTCTTCTTCACCTTCTCTTTTACTATTTCCAATGTCCATGGAGATATAAGAGTCTGCTTGAAGTTTACATCTCTGTATATTCTGTGTAGTGATAATAAATCCATTGCCAGTTTGCTAAACCTTTTATCAGAGCCTGCATTTCAAGCATGCTTATACTCTAACCGATAGGGGGCTGTGTGGTCTCGAGGTATGGCATCCACCTTGAGTACTGGAGATCCCGGGTTCAAACCCTGGTGAAGACTGGGATTTTTTTACATGGACTTCGAGTTTTTCCCTGGTCTTAGAGTAGTGAGATCTGCCGCCCGTCTGTTCCCCTGGTCTTAGAGTTTTGAGATTGGACGCCTGTGTGTATTGTACATATTTTTTTAAAAATCGCTTGGCAGTTGGAAATCGAAAAAAATAGACTAACGGCGCTGCCAAAATTGTGAGTTAAAAATCTACCCAAAAACGTATTTCAGGGTCCTCACCGGTGCAACGGAGTTCATACACTGCGCTGAGATTCTTCAGATTCAGACTTGAGTTAGAAGTAGAATGAAGCACTTATGGGTTTACACCCCTGTGCCATAATATTGATCCGTCGACTAAACTATATATACTAAACGACTAACCTACCATACTTATTATAAAAGACAACTGAGGAGGTTGGCTTAACCCTGTCGCCCTCAGGAAGGCTAAATCTAGTCACTTCCGGTCGTGGCACAACCTTGTAAATGCTGATTTACCACCATTTCTGTAGTGATTGTTCTCAAAAAGTATATTTAAATTCCATTGATCTTATACCAATCAAGGTAAACTTGTGACAACAGATATGAAATGCCTTAAAAGAGCTGCAGGAGTTTCAAGGAAAGACAGAATACGAAATCAGACGAATACTAGGAATAAAGCTAGTCTTACAAGTCATCAAAGAACAACAAATGAAGTGGTTTGGACACCTAACAAGAATGCCCTGGTACTATCTGACACAGCGAGCCACACTAAAACGTACAATGGGTATAGAGCTAGTGGACGACCTCAGAAAATATGGAGTGATGACATTAAGAACAGCCTTACAGAAATGAACATCAGTCTTAATAGTGCTCTTGACAAAGCTTATCAACGAACATTACATCTCCCCCCGACACTTCGATGAGGTACAAGGTGGAAGAGAAAAAGAAGAATAAGGTCCTATCAGGGCCAGTGCTGTGTTTAGTAGGCCAGAATGTGTTTATATTAACTAAAATAGCATATATATTAGTTTATTTATGACCCCCCAATAGCTTTTTTGAAAGTCAAATTGATGTCAAATTTACCCATAAGCCTCTGTGATACCAGGCTTACAGCATGAGTAATCCCATACATTTTGTTTTTGTTTTTAACTTCTCGGGGAACGTATTCCATTTAATGCTCTGTTCTGTTCATGTTCTTGAATACCCCTTTATATAAACTTATAAATTTACCTTTTTTTTTTTTGGTGGTGACCTATGTAATATGGGGCTGTTTCCAAGGATTTTCCTTGGAAATTCCTGTGGATTCATGACCCATTTTGTGTTAGCATTTACGGAGCGATAATAATACATTTTGTCTTCTGTGGGTTCACTGACTGTAAACTCCATCAGTACATTCGAATTGTTTTTCCACTTCTAGGCTTTGGTCTATTTCCAGAACTTGAGTTTTGATGGACATCCATTTAACAGATATGCAGACTGTTGATTCCTTACCTCTCAGCAGGCAGATGCACTCTGATTTCAAAGGAAGCACCCCTAATTAATCACTTGTTATGACATGTTTGGGGGGCAGTCTGTTCTTTTTTCCTTAAAATGGGGTCCTATACAGGTAAATTTCTCATCTGTTTTATTCCCTTCAGCAGATTTCTAACCCTCTCTCTCTTACTTGTCAACATATTTTAAAATTATTTATATGGTTCCCCTTTCAGTGCCTGACATCTGCTAGTCCTGCATTTGGAGATACACCATGCCAGATCTGTGTTTGGGACACACAGACAAAGTCATGCAAAAGAGTTCTTTTGCAGCATAAATTTTCAGTTCAGTGTTTAGCTTACTCTAGGGATGATCGCTTCCTCATTTCTGTTGGTAAGATTTGTGTAAAAGTCAGAGTCTATTTCTAGTTGTGTATAAATTAGTTTGTCATCCACTTTTGTATTTTAATCATACCATAGGAGAGGTGGGAATTAATGTATCAACTTGACACCAAGAAAAGCATTCCCTGTAGGCTTGATCTCTCAATGTATCAGGTTAATGGACATTAAAATATAAATATACCATATAAGGCATACAAGTGCCAGTTGTTCTATTAAAAATATAGGTCTAGCTTCATATTCCTGGTACGCCTAAAGGCGTGAAAAAGAGACCTTTATATAAGGCATACACTAAAAGAGGAGAAGGATGTAGACCAAGAACAAGATGGAAAGATAACATCCGGGAAACTTAACAGTACAATGTGTCTTTGGTTGAGGCGGCCAGAAAGGCAAGAAACAGAACCTTATATTTCTCATGACACCCAGAGCTGTAAAAGAGAAAGTGAAGAAGAAAAAGAAATAGATTTGTTATAGACTAACTGGCACTCAACTAGTGATGTGGTCGGTATTATGCTGGCCTTGTTTACTTCCCATGATAGTTATAGCACAGTTGGTCTGGAATATTTAAAAAATTCATATTCATTTTTAGTGCTTAGCGGATGCTTAGTGTAACAAATTCTGGTGTGTGATACTACCACATCTAGTTTGAGAATGGAGGTGGAGGCAGTCACAACAGCTTTTCACTGGCTTGAGAACTAGCTGCATAACATATTGTGATTGTAAGCGGCTAACAAAGCATGTTAAGAAAGATGGAGGCAGACATGCTCTGTGCAGAGTTGCAAGCGCTGCTTCAATGGTCCCAGACAGCCTACATTGGATATCTTTCCTGGGCAGTGTTGGGAATTGACCAGGTAGGCAGATTAGCTGGTTCTGCATGATTAGGTGGTGAACTGATCCATGACAAACAAGATGTGGTCAAGGCCGTATGGTAGCAAGATAGCAGTACGGAGGTGTAAATAGATCATTATGGTCTGGAGAGAATGGTACAGCTTGGAGTGACTGGAGGATCTGGTTGATACTCTTCTCAGAGGAAAGACAAGACAGACATATAATCAAACTGCTACTGGCACCATTGGAATGGATCCGGCAAAGAGGGATGGATGAGAGAAAGAGATTGGCATGTGTAAAATCAGTGTGCTACGGGAACAGTTAGCATCTACACCTTACTTCATTTGTTGTGGGAGAGGTGCTATGATGTTGATTCTTAAATCATTAATCAGTACTGGAATTGGAACTCTTTGCTGTATGCTAATAATAAGGTCTGAGTGCTTACAGGAATATCCCAAGTACTGTCATGTCAGCTCTTAGCTCAACACTCAACTTATCTGTTCATGTGTAAATTTATCCATGTGTTCACGTATCTGTCTGTGTGTATACTTATCTATCCATTTGTACACTTATCTATCCATATGTACAAGGTCCGACAATTAAGTAATGAGACTAATTTTATTAAGGCCAAGACAAAAGTGCCATCTATGAAGCAAAGCATGTAATCCAAAGAGTCATTCTTCATCTGTGATCTGGCAATTTTTCATCACCGCCCGATAAGCGGACAACAAACAAGCTGCCATTTTGTAAACCTAGTCAGAGGTGCATTGTTACGTAATCAGCTTGGAGCAAAAAAAGCTGACATTACATTCTGTTTAAAACTCAGAAAAAGAGCCATTGAGACAGTTACATTGATGCGTAAAGTTTATGGGGATAATTTTTTATCTGATGCACAGATTTTCAGGTGGTATTCACGATTAAAAATTGGTGTAGAAAAGATTACTAATGCAACTAGACCTAGACGCCCAATTTTTTTTTGTGTAATGATGAACTCATTGCAAAAGTCACAGAACGGATACAAGAAGATCGTTGTTTTATTGTCAGGATGATGGCAGATGAATCTGGTGTTAATGGAGAGACCCTTTAAAAACATTTTAGTGCAAGATTTTGGCAAGAAAAAGTTACTTGCAGGTTTGTACTGCATTTGTTGTCTGATGTCCAAAAACATCAGCGGGTTGAATACCCATGAGACATCATCAAAACAGGAATTTTTTGCCCCAAAACAAGTGTGTGTTTTTAATCATCCACTTTATACCCCATATTTGTCTCCCTGCAATTATTTTCTATTCCTTAAACTAAAGTTACCATTGAAAGAACTGTTCTTTTACGAAACTAATTACATCCAAAGGGCGGTAAAATAGATCGCGCTACTCACTGTATTAATGCACAAGGGGCTTACTTTGAATAAAATACAGGTTATATCTTTAACTGTTGATTATTTAAATTTGTATTTAATTAGTCTCATTACTTAATTGTCGGACCTTGTATACTTATCTATCTATTTGTACATTTATCTGTCTGTGTGTTTACTTATCTATCTATGTATACACTTATTTATCTATGTGTGTACTTATCTATCCATTTGTACTCTTTTATCTGTCCATGTGTACACTTATTTATTCATGTGCACAGTTACTTATATATGTGTATACATATCTAATCACGCATGTGCCTATCAGTTCATGGATGTGCTTATAAGTAAAGTAAAGGACCTCTTTCCACGCCTTCAGTTGTATTGGGCATATAGGGCTAGACCTATATTTTAGTGATCAGTCGGCACTCGATGGGTGCTGTGGTCGACATCACACTAGCCGCCTTCACTTTCCAGGACTGTACCTGGTTCCCACTCCTGGCCAGTTAGCCTGGGAGCTAAGGTCATTTTTTTTAAAGTATGAGCTCCATCAGGACCAAAACCCATGACCTTATGATCGGCAGGTGAGCGTCTAGCCGCTACACCACAGCAACTCCCTGGTTGTTCTTATAGTTTCATGTTTATTCATATCTATTCATGTGTGTTATTATTTATTTCTCTTTTTTCTTATCTGTTGATATATAGCTTATCTATTCATATCTGTTTATCCCCCCGTATGGGTTCAAGGGCCCTGTTATAGGGAAAACAAGAATAGACCAACTGCCTACCCAACAAGCATGTCGTGAGAGTCGACTAATCGGGAGCTTCCTTCAAAGTCGGAGTGCATCTGCCTGAGAGGCAAGGAACCAACAGTATGCACACAAATGTATCAGACCTGTCAAATGGATGCACATGCAGCACTCAGGTTCTGGAACAGGACTGCAGTCCAGAAGTGTATTAACAACCAGAACTTTCCACCAGAGTTTACAGCTGGTGAACGCAAATAATCTCTTTTCATTTCTACACTTACCTACTCTTATTTGTGTCTGACAAACTGTTTTGACCTGACAGGTGACTACAGAGAGCACAGTATTGTGGTGTGGGACACTACAAGCTACAAAATTGTAGCTACCAGCATGGCACCAGCGCCCATCCACAGCCTCAGCTGGGACCCATTTACTGTCAATGAGTTTATGTCTGTTGGTGAACAAGGCAGTGTCCTGTTTTGGCTGTTGGACGAAACATCTGCAGAAGTGTGTTTGAATGTTCATGAAGCTGATTTACCGGATGAACTTGAGAACGATGGACAACAGGTTAGCTTGGTTTGTATATTCTCAAGTACTACTTGCTTTATTTGCTGTCATATAGTGTCAGTTGCTGTGTGAAAGATGAGTGGCTGGAAGGGCTGAATCAGTAAGGTCAATGTATGACTCTGAAAAAAAGTTTGTTCCTTCTCTTCATTCCATAGTTGTGTCTTAGCTGCTTTTAAAAATTCTTGTATGAGTTATGAATTATGATTTGGGTTATCTTCATGGCATCTGGTTCTCTCTTCAACATATACATCAGCATCCTGGGGTTGATAGTCTCAGTCCTATGTTGGTTGCGTCTGGTGTATATTCATGTATATCATTGGTAGGTATATTTTAGTAGATCTCTGCATGCCATTTTTTCTTACTCTGCCATTTCCTCTTTATCTCAGTGTTGTACCCTCCATTACTCTCTTTGGTGTTTTGTCATGTCCCCATTTTCAGCACATTGACCCCTGCATAAACTTAGTTAAATAGCCCTGTCTCAGGGTATACATGACAAGGCAGATGTGGTCAAGGCCCTTTTGGAACAAGCAACGGAATCAGTAGAGAAACAAGATTATTATGGCCTGGATAGGATGAGGCACCTGAGTGAAACCAGAGGGTCTGGCCAGCTCACTACACTCAGAGGAAAGGCAAGACGGACATATAACTAGATTGTGACCGGTACCATCAGTACTGGAACTCTGTGCTGGCTGCTGAAGATGAGGATGGAGCACACATGGGAATGCCCCGAGTGCTTTGATGTCATTTCTAGACTCCACTTAACTCAACCCTGTCTTAGTGTGTAAAGAGTCCATAAGAGTCTTTGCTTTAAAAAAAAATTATTTTAAGAAATCTTTATAATATATACTAGAATGTTTTTATTTATGATTAGTTCATTATTGCAAAAATAATAAAGTCTCAAATTAAGCCAATATCATTTCAGTAAATGAGCACATTCCAACTGAAATTCTATCAGGTTTGAGGTTTTGAAGAACGGATCAACATCATGGCACATGGGTAGTAACCCATAAGGGCTCTGTTCTTCTTCTAATTCAAGCCTGAGTTGGAAGAAGCTCAGCACAGTGCACAGGCTCTGTAGCACCGGCGAGGATCCTGAAATACTTTGGGTAGATTTTTAACTCAAAATTTTGTGCTGGCAGCGCCAGAAGGCTACTCTTTTTGATTTTCAACTGCTAAGGGATTTTTTTTACATTTGCAGCAAGGCAATGTGCATCCAATCTCACTACCCAAAGACAAGTAAGGAAGAAGAAATGGTACATTTACACATTTATAAATATTGTCAGCAGCCTTTTGTTAGATAGTGAACACAGAATTAGTAAACAACCCGAAATCAGTTGCCTATAAACAGAGAAAATAGGAAGAAGAAAAGCATGATAACTGGAAAATGTAATTTACTTATTACTGTTCTCCAAAATGCCAATATCATGTGGTACATTACGAGTTTATAATATTTGAAATGGTGTTGTATGTTTTTATGTTCATTCTGTTTTGTGGGAGTTCCGATGTAAACAGACAAAATGGTGGGACACCTTTTTTGTCTGTAAGGACAAAGGGTGTTTTCACACTAGTTATGTGTTTAATGTTATATTTGGAAAGTAACAGGGTTTTGGGCTGTGCTACGGAGTTTATGCACGAGTGCCAAGTTTCCTGTCAGCGTCTCATCAGCGTCTTGTGGTGAAATTTCATTCTTGGTTTGTCAACCAGCATAGGACTGGCACTATTGACTGCATGACGCTGATGAATATGTTGAGAGGGGAATCTGAGCACCTATGGATGTGTCCGGAGTGCTGTGAAGATAATCCAACTCATAACTCTGTTTTGTAAAAATCTTTAATAAAAGTACCTTACAGAATACACTGAGTGAAGAGTGTTTCTTTAAATTTATATAATGTTTTACGTCTGTTTTGTTTTAGGAAACCCCAGTAGCTTTCACAGCTCTGGCATATGCTAGTGATGGTATTGTATATGTTGGCTCAAATGTGGGCAAAGTAACAGCCTGGGATACTCACGAGAACTCTTGCTTCATGCAGTGGAATGCTGACAGTGGTGAAATCAGTAGGTTCTTGTTTTTAAATCATCATCGAATACTTTGCTGATTGGCGCAGTCAATCCTGCTTCTCTATATTTTGCTATTGCCAATAGCTTATATCAGTTTCTTCCTCTTCTTCTTCTTTGCGTTCGGTCTCGTATGCTCAGATCAGACCATCAGGTGGGTGGCCTCTATGAACTCGCATGTCAGCTGCAGGTCTTGCATGGTTCCCCATAGCTTGCTCTGCACACTTTGCTCTTGAGACCAGGTGTCTTTTTTGCAGTTGCAAATAGAGTGGACAGGTCTGCAGAATGTGCTGAGGTGTTTGGGGTCCTGTTTGACAGGCACACTGGGGTTTTCAGTTTGATGACACCTTTTCATGCTGTGATAAAGGTTAAAGTCGAGAGGATCAAGATAATTTCCATTCTCATAATTTGACCAACATTTATGCGACCCCTTTCAGATATTTATAACTAGTTGACTTCATCATCATCATGTGCCCTGCCAACTGGCATAGGCGCTCATGCGTCTCCACAGATCATGATCCCTGGTTGCCTGGAACAGCTCTCTTGATGATATCCCTCCATGCCATCATTTCAGCCCATCCAGTATCATCTCTCTTGGTCTGCCTCTACCGCTTTTTCCACTGATCTGTCCAGTTGTCACGATGTTCTCCAATGTCTCTCTACTCATTATAGGGCCAAAGAACAGTGTTTGTCTCTTTCTCATTGTTGTACATAGAGATCTACTTTCATTAGCTTCTTTCAAGCAATCTGGCTGTCCAAGGTATTCGTAACATTCGTCTCAAAAACCACATCTCTGTTGTTTCCGAATTCTACTTGTTGACTTCATGCATCAGCCTATTTCAAAATATTTTTATTTTGGCTGCCAAAAAAATTGTTAACTTTTCGGTAGCAACTTGTTTCGGGGTCTCAAGGAATTTGTTATGCTAATTGTTCAGAATTCACACCTATATGTTTTTTTAAACTGTTTTCCCAGTATGTGTTCTAGATCCCCAAATTTTTTTTTTGTGGGGGGGGGGGGGGGGGGGGGGGGCAAAGACCTACTGCCCCATTAACAAGCATGTCATAAAAAGTGACTAATAAAGAGTTTGCAGAAATTTGGTGTGTTGGGTCAAAAGGCACAGATATCACAGCCTAGCTATAAACCACAACACAGTTAAAAGCTATAATTATGGTATGTTTGTAACATTGCTAGTATCTGAGTTTATGGTACATCTCACGTTTTCAGGCCCAGAAAGAGAGTGACTTCCCTTTCTAATCATTAATAGCCATGTTGCAGGGCTTGTCCTATGTTGCGGGGGTGTCAAGCTTAGTGACCGGCCAACAACATGCAGCATTTTACTAGTTGTTATCACCGGTCAGTGATGTTGCATGTTCTGTATATTACTGGATATGAGCACTTTTATTGGTCCCGAAAGATGCCCCCCCCCCCCCCTTTTTTTTTCTACACTCCAGAAGTGGTGAATACATGCAGTAGTTGGCAGGTTTTTGTTTGTGTGTGTGTGCAGTGTTTTATTATATTGTCATATTTGATTAAATGTAAGAATTATATTGCAGCCAAACTGGTCTCACGTCACGGCCAGCTGATGACAGCTGGAGTAAGCCATCGACTAAAGCTGTGGGCAGTTAGTGGAGTTAACAGCCTCAAACTGACTGGTGGGGGTCTTAGTCACAGCGGATCAGGGCTAGTCATGGAAGATGAAATGGTCTTAGATGGAGCAGTCACATGTGCTGAATTTGATGATACACTAGATATGGTAAAATGTTATCTATTCCTTACTTCCCTCAACTTTGGTTTGTGTTAGGTGGAGCTTAATTTGATGATATACGAGATATGGCAAAATATTGTTCTATCCTTACTTCTGTCAGCTTATAATTATTTTAGGTGGAGCTTTATTTGATGATACACTAGATATGGTACAATTTTATCTATTCCTTACATCTCTCAACTTAGGTTTATGTTAGGTGGAGCTTAATTTGACGATACACAAGAGATGGTAAAATGTTATCTATTCCTTACTTCTCTCAGCTTCAGGTTTTTGGTGGGTGGAGCTTAAATTGATGATACACTAGAGATGGTAAAATGTTATCTATTCCTTACTTCTCTCAGCTTCAGGTTTTTGGTGGGTGGAGCTTAATTCGATGATACACAAGAGATGGTAAAATGTTATCTATTCGTTACTTCTCTCAGCTTCAGGTTTTTGGTGGGTGGAGCTTAATTTGATGATACACAAGAGATGGTAAAATGTTATCTATTCCTTGCTTCTCTCAACTTCAGGTTTTTGGTGGGTGGAGCTTAATTTGATGATGCACAAGAGATGGTAAAATGTTATCTATTCCTTACTTCTCTCAGCTTCAGGTTTTTGGTGGGTGGAGCTTAATTTGATGATGCACAAGAGATGGTAAAATGTTATCTATTCCTTACTTCTCTCAGCTTCAGGTTTTTGGTGGGTGGAGCTTAATTTGATGATACACAAGAGATGTTAAAATGTTATCTATTCCTTGCTTCTCTCAGCTTCAGGTTTTTGGTGGATGGAGCTTAATTTAATGATACACAAGAGATGTTAAAATGTTATCTATTCCTTGCTTCTCTCAGCTTCAGGTTTTTTGTAGATGGAGCTTAATTTGATGATACACAAGAGATGGTAAAATGTTATCTATTCCTTACTATCTGTTTACTGACATGTCACATAATGGATGACTAGGGTGCTGCTATCTTAGGTTATTGGTACCATCAGAATTAGAACTCTTTACTTGCTGCTGAAGATGGGGACTGAGCACTTATGGGAGTGTCCTGAATACTGTGGTGTCGATTCTTCATTCAACATTCATCATTCATAGGGTGCTATCTATTTACTGACATGATACATAAATAATTATTTATATGTCAACAATGATATGAAGAGGATATAGATAGATTGAACTGAACGTGTGTTCATTTGCAGGGTATTGTTGGAACTGATGCAGGAACTCTATGGTACATTAACTGGTCTGAGAGGACGTCTATACGGCTAGTGTCTGGTCATCAGAACAGGGTGAGCATCTTTTGTTTTCAGCATATAATAGACCATATCTTAGTTTTGTGTGTGTGTTTTTTTCTGTCATCCCTACTCACACCCTCTATGGTGAATTATAGATTGGCAGAAGATGCTGAGGCCGGCCCCTACTGTGATATAAAGATGTGCGCAAATAGGACCTGAATGATTCAAATATAGAGGTAGATTTTTGGGACCAAAATGCTATATGGACCATTTTTAGTGGAAAGAGGAAAAGTGGGAGGAAGGGACAAAATGGGTGGGGGGGAGGGGGGGATGTAATCAAGAAGCGAATATGAATGAAGGAAAAAATGATTGCAGAAAGGCTGAGAGCTGAGCATCTGAAAAACAGCACACTAAATACAAGTGATGGCGACATCGATGCAGAAATCCTGTACTCTAATTGTGGAATACTTTTTAAACACTTTCATCTAAAGGAAAGATTAATATGCCTCTACTCTCTGTGCTATGAAGGGAGCTCATTGTATGAAACTGCATTCAGGGTGCTTTCATGTCAGACTTTCCATTGATCTGTCGTTGTTAAGTTTGGAGTCTAATTCACGTGTTGAAAACTTTCACACATTTGGTGCTACCATTACTAATCGTTTGAGGAATCCTAGCCTAACCTCAGTGCCACCTCACATCTACTCCCCTCATTGTCTGCATCCTTCAGTGTCTGATGTCGTGTTATAAGCAGGATGTTTGGGGCTTGGTCCAGTGTTAATTACTTCTACCTAATCGTACTGGCATCACGGCTGCATCCCTTATTCACTTCTTTCATGTTCTACAACTAAATATGTGTTTTCCTAAAAATTCGGTCTGCCTGACTAAATATAAGATGTGCAGATATACAAAAAATATTGACTGGTGCACATGAGTTATATCCAGTATACAAGGTGCTGACACATATCAGTTTAATATTTGTGCCAGGTCATGCAAGGAAATGAGCAGGCTGATCGACTTGCAGGTAAAGCTACTGTGGAGAGCGGACAAGCCATAGACCATGCAGATATTCTAAATGCTCTATGAGAAGTCAGACATTTTTGAGGACTGTGAATCTGCAATGATGACCAGACTGAAAGAAAACATGTTAAAAGAGGTGTGACCAGACAAGAGCACTATGCAGGAAGCCAAAGAAGAATAAGAAACCAACACAGAACTGGGGCCATGAGCCACTACAGGCTGCAGGATTTACTAAGAAGGGATGCCAGCACTTATGGACTAAATGGTTCGATGTGCATTGAGGATAATTTGTCAGCTAACTAACTAACACATGGTGCATTGTTTGGGACTGAGTTCAGCTTCATAAAATCATTTTAACGATAGATTTAGTGTGAATTGATTTGTTTGGTAATTTCCTAATGAAAGCATTTATGTGTATGTGATCTAATGTTTAATACTGTACATTTTTTCTTCTTCAGATTAATGGAGTTGCTTTTCTCCCAAACAACCTCATGTTGACTGGGGGTGATGATGGCAGTGTCAGGGTGTGGTCACTAGGGACCAGGGAACAGGCAATCCAGTTCCAGGTCAAAGACCAGGTATAGGAAATCTTGGATTATTTTGCAGGAAGTGACTTAACTTTATGAGGTAGTTTATTTACGGCTAGACGCTCTTCTGCTGGCCTGATGGTCTTAGATTTGAATCTGCATCTCTCTGTGTGGGTTCTGGGGCCCTGTTGTTGAGGAAAGAAGAATAGACCCACTGCCTCTCCCCCCCCCCCCCCCCTCCAAAGTGTTCCATAAAAGTCAACTAATTATGAGCGTTCCCTTCAAAGTCAGATTGTGTCCACCTGAGAAGCAAGGAACCAACAGTCTGCAGACAAATAAGCCAGATATGTAAAATTGATATGCATGCAGAACTCAGGTTATCAAATAGACCAAAGTCCGGAAGTCAATAAAAAAACCAGAACTTTCCACCACAATTTACAGATGATCATGAAGAAGAAGAAGAATTTGTGCTGAGACCGATTTTTTTTTTTTTTTTAAATTGATTTGACACCCAGGTCACCCCATCATAAAATGAGTACCAACTAAATATCCTGGGAAGTAAAAATGGCCCCATGGGGATGTTGACCTAATCATCATTCTTTTTATACCTCCATTTGTTATCTTCTTTATGATTATAATGATTTATGATAGCTCACTCCTCTAATCCTGTTTTATGGAGGACTACATCACATATTGGCAAGTCAACCAAACCTAAAATGGGTACCATGATGTATGTCCTGGGGAAGTAAAGACGGACTGCGTAATGCTGACCACATTACCCACCTAGTGCCGATTGGTCTATAAAAATATGTGTGCTCTTCCCATATGCCCGATGTGCCTAAAAGGGATCTTCACTTTACTTACTTACATCAGATATAGTTATGCACCTGGGGTCAGTGTGTCCATCCTGCGAATGCATTTGTGTAAGGTTTATTTCTTCTAAAACAATTGAAGGTAAAATTTCGCAAGAAAAACCACAACAGCCAAACAGTGCTGGGGTTGGTTCTGTAACGTAATGTAAAAGCATCTGCAACTAACTTTTTATTTCTTCTGGACTAAGGAGATTCCATCCAAGGTAACAGACTCTGTTTACCCTTGAGTATATTTTCTTTTCTCGATATATTTTTATTCACTTGATGCTGAAAATTTGAAATACGATGAAGAAAACAAAATGAAAAATATTGGAATTATATCACGAACCTGCCTGCGCGGTGAGCGTTCCATCCCCTTCCATTCATGCTGTGGCGGGTCGCACGGTCTGTTCTATGTTGCAGGGGTGTCATCAATTCTTTTTTTCAACAGTGTAGCCGTTGTCTCTTTTTTCATGTTGTCACCGCTCACTTGCGTGATTATTTCCACGTTGTACTGCAATGTTTTTATACTTTTATGTACCTTGTCAGTAGCTTCTTTTTCTGGAAGGGTGGAGGGGGGAGCCGCGATCAAGGAATGTAGAAATACAATAACATCCCAGTTTCCATACTCATGAACAGTCACGCTTCCCCCTTAAATACATCTTACTTGTACACATGCGCCTGCGACGCCTCAAAAATACATGACAATACAACCTCCCACAAACATTATATACGCATAGTAAAAGCCGACCAAAGCCTTCTTATAACACCCCCAAAACATAGGACAGGTCGTGCAATCCTCCGCACAATGAATGGGAGGAGAAAGAACTCTTGTCATGCGGGCAAGATTGTGAAAAGTTCCAAAAATACATATTTTTATTTTTTTTTTATTTCTTAAATTTTGGCTTTTCTCTCTTATAGGCCTGCACCTGCCTCACAGTGGGACTTGCTGATCCAGTACAGACTAGTAAAGTGCCTTTGGTTGCTGGAGGTTATAGTGATGGTACAGTTCGAGTCTTTGATGTCAGTAAAGTGGAGATGCTGTTGAAGATGCATCCTCATGCTGTTACTGTGACCACCATTGCCTTCTCCGCAGATGGTGAGAATTAGAAATAGTACTTTAGTTTATCATATTGTGGGAACCACAGTAGCATAACATCTGTATGCTTGCCTGCTGGCATGAAGGTCTAAGGTTCAAATCTACACTAAGGCATATCTTTGTTTTTCAAATCTGTTCTTAGCTCCAAAGTCGACTCAGCCTAAAATGGGTAGAAGCTGAAGTTTTGGGATGTAAAGGGAGCCAACCTGATGTTGACCACATCACCCATTGAGTGCAATTTGGTCTATGTTTTTTTGCTTTTTTATTTGGTTAAATACTTTGTACACTAAAGGCATGCAAAGGGTCCTTTGCATTTAAAAAAAAAAAAGAAATTGTGGGCAATAAATGACACACTTGATGGCAATAGAATCTAATGTTGGTGGTAGAAGATATTAAAATGTGATGGCAGATAATGTCCCCTGAGATCCTACAGTACAAGAAAATACTGTCATAATTAGCTGGTTTTTCTTTTCCATCTGGAGCACACGACAACAAATCCTAATCTATTCAGTTTAAGACGAATGCACTAGCTATGCAAACCGCAGTATCTCAGACTCAGCACTCCCTTTCCCTTCACCATCCTAAAAAAATGAAGGGAATACAGGCAGTTTAAAGAAGCTACAATTTTGTCTCTTTAAAAAAAAAAAAAGGCCCATAAAGATGATCTTTTATTTGTTTACATGCAAAATTTCTGCAATTTTAGCCAAAGGGTTCTTAATTAACAACATTTCCATAGTGGTAGGAGTTTCATGATGGATTATAGCTACAGTAAAATTCAATACATATATACAGTAGCGTGACTTCACTGCGGGCTTGGGACGAAAAGGAAAATAAAATCCTTTAAAGGTGAATAGTACATATAATTTTTATTTAATTTTACAAAAAGATCAATATAAACTTTAATATAAGAGCAGTGATGTACCGAAAGGTGTTGTAATACTGTAAACCTACATTACTGCTAAATAAACTGTAATCTGCGTCTATGTCTTTGAGGCTTATATCTTATACAGAAGTAGGATCTGTGTTGCATTTGCCTCTTTTTGCATTTCAGACCAGTTGATGCACTGTTGTTCAATGTTTTCAGCATTACATTAAGATATCATTGATTGTTGTGCTTCCAACACAGTAAATATGAGCAGTACTAGTGGCAGTTTCACCTTTCTTTAGATCTTTGATAATTTTAAGTTTCTGATTAAAACCTGTCTGTAAACGTTCCCGCTTTTTGGCCATTTTAAAACAGTTTTACAGAACAGTAAAATCAGACAGATCAGGCCTTACTTTTTTTAGTCTTTCATATAAACAGCAAAATCAAAACACAGCTTCAAAATACAAAACAGTAGCATTATCGTAAAGTTATGCCAAAAAAGTGAATCAATGCATGAAACAAAACATTCATTCAAACGCACAGGCTACTCTGTGATGACTGAGACCAGTCTGTAACACAATAGGGACTGGTTAGTGATGGGTTTATGGCACATCGTCGCAGGTCGACCCAGCCTCAAATGGGTACCAGGATGGGCTGTCCTGGGAAAGTAAAGACAGCCGGCGTAATGCTGACCACATTACCCACAGAGTGCTGATGGTGTGTAAAAATATGGGCGCTCTTCCCATATGCCCGATACGCCTACAGGCATGAAAGGGATCTTTACTTTACTTTTACTTACTTTATGGCACATCAGATCAAGCTCATCTACTCCCCTACTGACCATCAATCATTTCTGCCATCATACAGTTCATTCACTTCCAGCTTTATTCAGTAGGTTGTAAAAGTTATCCGGGGACAGCTTCAAAGATGTCTATTTGTTGATACTTACACACTTTGATTCTGTATTTTTTGTTTAAATTTTTTTTTTCAGACGACAGATAACAAAAACTGATGAGTAAACTAATGATGGTCAATTTAAGTTTCACTGTACTTTTTTTGGTCTAAGTTCACCATAAAATTCATCTCAGAAATGCTTGTAACAGTAAAACAATATATTCTCAGATTTACTCCAGACAAATTTTAGGACCACAATCATATATGTCACACTGATTGATGCACATGATTGTTTATGTTGTCAATTTGCAGATTTTTCTTCTTCTTTGTGAGCCAGCTGTAAGCTCTGGTGAAAAGTCCTGGTTTTTTGGACTTTGGTTTTGTGCCAGAGCCAGTAGGTTGTTCCTTGCCACTCAGGCAAATGCACTCTGACTTCAAAGGAAGCTCCTGTTAGTTGACTTTTATGACATGCTTGTTGTGGAGGTAATGAGTCTATTCTCGTTTTCCTTGCAGTGGGGCTTCCCGAACCCACACGGGAAGAAATGCAGATTCAGAAAATGGTAAATAGCATGTTGCCACACGACTGGTGATGCTTTTTGGCATATTGCTTATGCAGCTGATGATTTATTGTAACTGCTGCTTCCATCAACAGTTATTTCAATTTAGTGGAGAACTGTTTGTGTTGGCACTTCTGATGCCTGCCTTATGCATTTATATGCTTGGGCATGCTATTAGCTTTGCCGAGACTGCTGTCTGTTTCCTTTTTTTCGCAAGGGACAGTGGTGGGCATTCTGTGTGGTTTTTCACTGGCACAGAAACGAATTAGTTCTGTGTAAACCTGTTGGTCGTGAAGTTTAAACTGTGATTTACTGATAACTATGGTGGCTGCTTGGTCTTAAGGCATAGCATCTGCCTCGAGTGCTGGAGTCCCGGGTTTAAGCCCCGGTGAGGGCTGGGATTTTTTAATGTGGACTTTTAATAATTTCTTCTGTTCTCTGTGTAGTAAGACCGAACGACCATGCGTATTGTTGCGCACTTAAAAATTCTCTTAGCAGTTGGAAATTGAAAAAGAGTAGCCAAACAGCGCTGCCTGGGCAAAATTTGGAATTAAAAATCTACCCAAAGTATTCCAGGATCCTCGCCAGTACTACGGAGTTCATGCACTGCGCTGAGATTCTTCTGACTCAGGCTGGAGTCAGAAGTAGAACGAAGCACTTATGGGTTACTACCCTTGTGCCATGATGTTTATCCATCGTCTAAACAATAATAACCATAATAACTGATTGATGTACATGATGAATACCCTAATACACATCTCTCACATGATGCCTTGTTTATCACAGAAAGAGTCATCGACTTTCTTGAAGACATGTTGTCCTACCTGTCCACAGGTGTTATGATTATGTCTGGTGGCAGTGACGGCCTGATAGCAGTCAGCAGTCCCACCACAGGCATGACTGTCAGAATCATCAGCGACCACAGGGGTGTGGCCATTTCTAATTTTGATGTCACTTTGACAAGAGTAAGAAGATTTTTATTGTAGGCTAATGCTGCTTGCGATCAGTGTGTTAAATTGAAATAATAAGATATTTATGCTGTATTGTTGTTACCTTCTTAAGATATCTGTGTTACAGAAGCAGTGTAAGGTAGTGATCGTTTCAATGTTGTATTTTGAATTTAAGATAGGTTTATTAAATCAGCAGTATAAAGCGATTGAATGCATACATGTATGTGTGCGTGGGTGCGTCTCTCTCTCTCTCTCTCTCTCTCTCTCTCTCTCTCTGAGAGAAAGTGTTATGTGTGTGAGATTGCATGTACACAAATGTTTATGTCTGAGATTGCATGCATGTGATGTGAATATGACTGCATGTGCTTATGTGTATAGTATATGTGTAGCTGCATGTGTGTGACAGAGAATGTGTTTTCTCTCTCTCTCTCTCTCTCTCTCTCTGTTTCTCTCTCTCTCTCTCTATCTCTGTTTCTCTCTCTCTCTCTCTCTCTCTCTCTCACACACATACACACATGCATACATATACATGAGGATGTGAGAGGATTCGAAGCGAACAAGACATATTTAAATAAAAGGGGGAAGAAATGAATAAAATAATTACTGCTGCATGAATGCAGACTTTATTATTGAAAGTGAAGTTTGGAACACGCAGAAAATAAGAACCTTGTCTTCTTCTAATGGAAATCGTTAAGAATATGGTGTGTTTTTTTCTTGACCAAACAGCATCTAGTCAGGGATGTCTTCATTGCCATACTGTTAGATTTACTTCACGCTGATAATATTCTGCTACCTATATTTTGAGGTGATATAAATTATGTAACCGTGTGGTTGCCAAAAAATACCACCTCAGTAGTGATTTGAACCCATGGCCATCATATTCTGTAATGCCATGAGCTGTATTTGATGGAGCAAAAGAAAAATTGGCAAGAGGACGAGAATGGCTGTACACTGCTCTACCTATGTGCTCCAAGTGTAAGTCATGGGGAATGACAACAGCTCACAGAAGCCAGCTTCTTCTTATTTTGTCATACTCCCGGAATGCATCACAGCATCAGGACAGGAAGAGATATCTGGAAATAGCCCTTCTGTTTACTTCTTTTGTAGTATTTTTCAGTGTTTCCGATATTTCTGCAGTCCATCTTCTTCATTGTTGATGTCTGGCTCTGTTACCATTGTGTCTGTATAACATTGCTATCTGTGATGCCCTCTCTGTTGCCAATCTTGTTAAATAATTTAATCTCTTGTCTGCCGATAAAGTTCAGTATTGGTTCTTGACCGACTCTCCTAATATCATCATTCCTAAGTCGATCTTTTCTTGCTACACCTAGCATGATACTTAAGCTATTCATTCCTGACATGACTTTTTTTCCTGTCTTCTGAAGACAGTGGTTTAATAAACATTCAAACCCGTAATCTTAGGGCCAACAGGCAAGTGATTACTGGCTATGCTGCTGTGACTCCCTTATGATATTTATGTTTGTTTCAAATGAGAACTATTTTTTCTGCTGGTAAGACAATATGTTTTCCCAAACTTTTTCAGTGTAAAATTGGAGGCTGTCTTATACACGGAATGTGCAAAATTTTATTTCTTAATTTTGGGCTTTAAAAAATATGGGTCATGTAATACACGAAGGTGTCACTTACATGGCAAAATATGGTATATTTATGGTGTAAAAAATAAATTTTAAACTGCTGTACATCACTTAGTTCTAACATTTGCATTAAGATAATTATGTGTACAACATAATTTTGCATCTCCTTGCAGGATATGGATGTTGGTGTCAGTGCCCCCACACTCTGGCTTGCAAGTAGCATAGATCGACGGGTCAGCATTTGGTCTGCTGATTGGGCTAAAGATTTTTGTGAGCTGGTTGATTGGTTGACTTTTCCTGCACCTGCCGTCATGCCAGATGGGACAAAAATTATAAAAAATGACTCTGTGAGTTTTTGTTGCATATTTTTTAACTCTTTTAGGCCTATGAATTTTAACAGGCTTGGCTCACATTAATTTACCTTTATAAAAATGGCAGAGGGGTGGTGTAAAAAAAAAAGGACAATTGAGAATGTAATATATTTCTAATCCATATAAGTATATTTTTTTTTAAAGAGGAATGAACCTACATTTTTAATCTGATGATATGATTTTTTTTCATACTGTTGTGTTTAAAAGGAAAAAATAATTCAGCAGGTGTTATGTTTACAAAGACAAAATTGTACCCTAAAAATCTTCACTTACCATGGTTTTGCAGCCACAAGAGCAGAGAATATTCAAATTTTAGAGTAACACTTTAAAGTTTGTTCAGTTTCCTAACAGTTTCAAAAAGTTATGATACGTTTCTGGGTTATTTTGTCAGTAAGAGGCTCCAGGTTCTCATAGAGTGCCGAACAAAATTGCAAAGAAAAAAATGGCAGAAAATTTTACCTTTAGTCCTATATACACAAAATATTAACTTTGTAGTATACAGATTGTAGCTGCAATGATTTCAACACAGCTTAACCATAATATGAGTATGGTACTGTCTGAAACAGTCCTTTTGATGCAAATGTGTGTGACATAACATCCTTCGTAAATGAAATGGGTCCCCCTGGATTTGATCAGAACGAACAGCTGGCCGCTTAGTTGCACTGGTGTAAATTTACCGTCCAAATCACTTTCCGCAAAATTTCAGTGTTTCATTTTAGAAAACATCTGGCTGAAACAATTTCAGAGCTTCAGCCACAGAAAGACGCATTTTTCGGCCTGTGCTTGTGTTAAAAACATTATAACCATAGCCACTTGAACAGGAAATCTGAAAACGCATTGTCTGAAAAATCACGTTTACCAAAAAAATGTTAGAGTCACCTTCCCTCAATACTTTAATGGTTGTTCTGAACATTATAAATGAATACTGAGCTGTTTGTGAATCAATATGCACGGGACACACGATCAACGCTGACAGTGTTGTTTGGGGAAATTTGAACTTTTCAATCAACACTCACAGCGTTGCTCGGGCTTTAAAGAGTTAATGGACTTTATTGCCATATGAATATTGTTATGTAGGTCAGCAACGTAGAGAATGACTGAAACACCCATTGCTAAACTAGGAATATTCCTTAAATGATACTCTCAGAGAATAGAAAAACTAAAATAATATGGCAGAGGGGGGTCTTTGAGCCTAAGGATTTAGGGTCGCATGGCTAGTGTTAATGCCACAGACTGTGCAGGTTAAGATTTTACTTACGCTCCAGACAAAAACAAATCCATCATCTTACCAAGGATTTGAACCCGCAAGAGAGCCTAGCATTCTTAACTACTCAGCCGCTGAAAAAATCGTGCTGTATCAAAAGTAAAATTCTTTATGATTGTTCTAGTATTCAGTCTTTACATTAGATATGTTACTATAGTGTACGAATAAAAAGCTGTTTTTGCATGCAGTCAATCAGTTAAATACTTGATTCATCACTTTCTTTGAAATATGACAGGTAAAATTCCCTATGATTATTCTAATACAGCCTTTGAATTAGATATGTTACAAAACTACAGTTTAGGAAATAACATGATTGTTTTTTTTTTCATGCAGTTTACAGATTTGTTTTTTTTTAACACCTAAAATAAAATGTTAAAGGATTGATATTGTATTCAGCCAATGAATTAGATATGTTGCTACACTACCAGTGTGTGAAATAACTGGCATGTTTTTTTAAAAATGCTTTTTGTAAGTGAGTAAATACTTAATGAACGTTGTTTTTTTTAAATACCAAAAGTAATGTTTTGTACGATTGTTCTAGTATGCAGTAAAGTAGTTTCTGAACCAAAACTTTAACCATGGTAATAAAATGACAATTGATTATTTGTAAACAGAGCCACTTCTACCAGCTGCCCCCTACCTTGGCTAAGTTTTCCCCAGATGAACCTGACATAGTTGTTTACACTGGTTACGGAATGGAAAAACTCATACAGTTCTACAGTCTGAGGCAGAGAAAGGTACAGAATTCTATTTGTTTTTATTATGTCTAAACTGTCTTCTTTCAGAAAACAGGGGTGGAGGGCATCGTGCAGGTTAAGAAGGGCAGGGGCCAAACCAGCATGAAGAAGTACACAGGACATAAAATTTGCCCTTAAAAGGGTAGTCAGCATGCTAATCGTGGTTTACAGCTAGGTTATATCTTTGCATATTGGCTCAATAACTTAACTTCAGTAAGTTCTTAATTTGGTACCTTTTATGACAGGCTTCTTGGGAAACAGTAGGTCTACCCCTTCCCCCCAAAACCAATTAGAGACGGGGAACCAATACGATGCTATTTAACTATCTGAGTTTAACTTGCAAATGCTGCCGCCAGATAGATTGTATGTACAACTCTTTATGCCAAATATATCGCCAAACAGAAGATGACATCTGATTCTTCTGCCGCCAGATAAATTGTATGGGCAAGTGTTGTTCGTCCATCATGAGTGATGAAGACCAATTTCTATCCAAAGCTGGATGAAAGTGAATTGCGCAAGGACTTGGATTCAAGTGAGGAAGAGTTGCACAATGCATCGACCTCACTCTTTCGCCTGTGTCCATCTTGATCCAATGGCAGGACAATGATTGTATGAACAACACCTTATGCCAGATACATTGCCAAACAGAAGATGAAATCTGATTCTTCTGCCGCCAGATAGATTCTATTTACAGCACCCTATGCCAGATACATTGTTAAACAGAAGATGAAATCTGATTCTTCTGCTACCAGATAGATTTATGTACAACACCCTATGCCAGATACATTGCCAAACATTGAATGAAATCTGATTCTTCTGCCGCCAGATAGAACGTGTTTACAACACCCTATGCCAGATACATTGCCAAACAGAAGATGAAATCAGTTTCTTCTGCTGCCAGATGGGCTGTGTGTACACTGTGTGCCAAATACATTGCCAAACAGAAGATGAAATCTTATTCTTCTGCTGCCAGATAGGCTGTGTGTACACAGTGTGGCAAATACATTGCCAAACAGAAGATGAAATCTGTTTCTTCTGCTGCCAGATAGGCTGTGTGTACACAGTGTGCCAAATACATTGCCAAACAGAAGATGAAATTTGATTCTTCTGCCGCCAGATTGGCTGTGTTTACAACACCGTGTGCCAAATACATTGCCAAACAGAAGATGAAATCTGATTCTTCTGCTGCCAGATAGGCTGTGTTTACAACACCGTGTGCCAAATACATTGCCAAACAGAAGATGAAATTTGATTCTTCTGCCGCCAGATAGGCTGTGTTTACAACACCGTGTGCCCAATACATTGCCAAACAGAAGATGAAATCTGATTCTTCTGCTGCCAGATAGGCTGTGTTTACAACACTGTGTGCCAAATACATTGCCAAACAGAAGATGAAATCTGATTCTTCTGCCTGCACCCTTAAAATAGCAGTTGGCATGTTGTGGGTAATAGCTAGGTTGTGATAATAGTGCATATTGGCTCAACATATCTGTTTTGCTTAGGAGGGGCTGCGTGATCTTGAGGCATGGTGTCCGCCTCGAGTGCTAGAGGTCCCGGGTTCAAGCCCCAGTAAAGGCTGGGATTTTTTCACATGGACTTCTAGTCATTTCCCTTGGTCTCTGCGTAGTAAAACCATGCCCTTGTGTATTGTTGCGCACGTAAAAAATCCCTTGGCAGTTGGAAATCGAAAAGAGTAACCTAACGGTGCTGCCCGGGCACAATTTGGAGTTTAAAATCTACCCAAAAAGTATTTCAGGATGCTCGCGGGTGCAATAGAGTTCGCGCACTTTGCTGAGATTCTTCACTCAGGCTTGAGATAGAAGAAGAATAGAAGAATAGAGCACTTATGGGTTACACCCGTGTGCTGTGATTTTGTTCCGTTAAATAAACATAAACATGAATAAACATAAACATCTGTTTGCTTAATTAGACACCTTGTATAATATGTTTGCTAAGGGGTAGTGTGTTTATTCTGTTTTGCCCCGGAACCTACTTATGTCTATTTAACTGTCTGAAGATCAAGGTAGAAGTGTAGAAGTATGTCTGTCTGTTGCTACTATCTGTATATAACACTATTTTAGGGCAGTGTAGACAGTGGGTTGTGAGCCTGGAGATTTAGGGCCGCATTGCTAGTGCTGTCGCCACAGACTGTACAGATTACTTAGGGTTGAACCCATATCTTCTGTATGAGAGCCCAATGTTGTAACCACTCGGCCAGCCACTTCTGCAAGGGAGAAGTGGTAGGTGAATATGACTGATATCATATGGATCATCTTCTGTGTTCATCTGAAGATGTAGATGCATTGTGCCTGTTTACAACATGGTTGCAGTATTTGTGCCTTTTGCCCACGCATCCAGCTTCTGCAGGCATTTGATACCTAACCTAGCCTTCCCAATCATGTGGATTAAATGGATATCTTCTTCTGGGTGTTTATCCACCTCCGAGCTTTAGTCTTGTTCTAGAACCTGAGTGTTGCGTGCACATCCGTTTCATGGAACTGGCTTATTTTTTAGGCAAACTCTTGGTTCCTTGCCTGTCAGGTAGATGTACTCCAACTTCAAAGGATGCCCCCATTAATAGACTCCCATGACATTCTTGTTGGGGAAGCAGTGAGTCTAGTCTTGTTTTCCCTACAATGGGGCCCTGGAACAGGGATCAGATGGATATGATTGATATCCTCATGATTGATATGGTTAGATACATGATCATACAATGAGCCATTAATTGGATTGACTGTAATCAAACCCTTGTGCCAAATATTTGCCCAAAAGAACAAAAATTCTTCTGTGTTTGACATGTTGTGTTATGGCTTACAGCAAGGCTATGATATCTATGGCTGTCGACCCAAAACATCAAATTTTAACCCATCCCTAGTCACCTTTAATGGCACGCTTGTTAAGGTAACAGTATTTGTTTTACCCTAAAATCATCGCTGGGAACCAACATGGTTAGCAGATCAAATGATTTAAGTATCCCATTTGAATGTAGCAATGCCAGTTACCAACAGGGCACCTAAAGAGATGGATTCACCACATTACAGGCACTGTTCATTCGCAAGGAAAGACACATGCAGCTTTCATTGGCCTCCGTGGTAAAGTGATCAAGCCATTTGCCTTGTGCTGTGAAGGTCGTGGGTTTGTTTCATGACTGCCCCATTAAGTTCACGAGGGCAATTTTTACGTAGATCCCTGGGTTCGTCGCCAGAGCTATGGAGTTCGTGCTTGCCGCGCTGTGGAGAGAGACCGAGCCAAATAGGATAAGACTTGGTGCTATGAAGTCGATCCTCTCGACTTTAACCTTTAACCTCTAACTCATTGAGCCCTGACCGCCAACAACTTCTTCCCACAATGCTTAACAGCAAAGGTTAAAGATGAAGATAATGAGGATTGTTTTGTCTGTTTTCTTAATAGAAGTCCATTTATGGTTGCAGTGCCGTCTTAACTAATTAGCCTACTGGGTACTTGCCCGGGAGCCTCAAGAGCATAGAGACCTAGTGCTAATTTTTATGAATGGTTATCATAGGGGCCCCAGCACACTGGTTTTCCTTAGGGCCCAAAATGTTGTAAACACAGCTCTCTATTGTCATGCTTTATTACTAGCATCTCAAACAAGAAATGAAAATGTTTGAGATAGTGTGATATTTTTTGAAAGAATTTGTCCAGATATTTTAATAACACAGTGTATAGTATCTTGTTTTTATGTAGACAGTGTCGGAGAAATAGTAATTTAATAACTTTTTTCTTGGCACGTGCCAGCTGGCTAAAAGGTCGAGTTTTCAAATCCACATTAAGTTAAATTTTTGTTTGTTTATATAATTGACCTTGGTTCCCTAGTCAACCCATCCATAAAATGAGTTACGGGAAATGTCATGGGAAATCAAAGCAGCCAGAATTATGTTGACCACATCACTTGTTGAAAGCCAGTTGGTCTGTAGGGTGTAGCACCTGTGCGCCACTGGTTGGAGAAGTGTCTTTTTACCTTTAACAGTTTTCTTATCAACAGTGGATAGCTGCTCAGTGGTGATTGTTGAATTAGGAATCAACATCATAGCACTCTGGACACTCCCATAAGCGCTCTGTCCTCATCTTCAGCAGCAAACAAAGAGTTCTACTTTCGATGGTACGAGTAACTGTCCGATTGTACATCTGTCTTGCCTTTCCCTTGAGTGTTGAGCATTGGCCAGATCCCCTGGTAACTCCTTGCAGTGCTATTTTCCTCAGACCATAATGATCTATTTGTGCCTCCACACTGTTCACTCACTCCCAAAGGGCCTCACAACATCTATATCTTGTCATACATCAGTTCACCACCAAGTGGTGTAGCCAGTCTATCTGCCTGCTCATTTCCTAACTCACCGGCATGATTTGGAGAAAATATCCAAAGGATGCTAACTATCAAGGAAAATTTCCTCTGGATTTTGTACTTAATAATAAAAAGAATCATCTCCCGACCTATGGAGTGCATGCTCTGTGCTTGATACCAGCTTCAGGTGGCAAGAGAGAGAGTGGATCGCTGCTATAATGTGTAAGTCACTTCATCTGAGACAGCTGTAGCCTAGTATAAGTTAAATCCTTAGCATTTCATACTTTGCCAAAGTCTAAAATGGGGGGATTACTGAATTGTTCTTCACAGGTTATTAGAACCCTCAACCTCACTCACTGGGGTCTATGCATGGATGTGTCTCCAGACTCTGCTTTGATCGCTGTAGGAATATCAGGTTGGTACTTCTTGTTGGTGGTGGGGGTGGGAGGGGTAGTCTACGTGAGACGTTTTTCTTTTTTTTTTCCAGTTTTTTTTTTTTTTTTGAATTTAAAAAAAAAAGGTGCCACTACTCAACATAAAGAGTCTAATAAGGGTGCCAGTACTCACCATAAAGTGTCTAGCACTGAAAAAATGAGGCCTGAAAAAAAAAGGGGTGCTGGTACTTCACACTGTTGCATACCATCAGGAAAAAAACTGCAATAGGTTGCTGCCTGTTTAGATTACTGTAGGAATATCAGGTTAATACTTGGTAAGTAGAGGAGTTGTCCGTAGTATTACAATGCTGATCTTCTTATGTCTGGTACTCTGTCTCTATGTTTGTCAGTCTGTCTATTTTTTACACTGTCTGTTGCTGTGCCTGTCCCACAGTATTTCACTGTTGTTGTTTTTTTTACATGTAAACTAAATTTGCAGTTGTCTCAATTTTGTTTACTCTGCCTGTTTATCTATCACTCTATTTGGCTTTATTTTCGTTACTCTGAACCAGTATTTCTCTGTATTAGTTGACAATTTTTGTCTGTTACTGAATCTTTGCTTGAGTCATTTTTTTTTTTATGTTGGCGGTCTAAATGAATATTTTTAACTAAACATTTCTAAATGAACATTTCTAACTGAACAACTTCAAACATTGATCTTCAGAGCGTCTGCTCAAGCTGATGGATTATCACGCAGGAACATTCCAAGATTTCGCCGGTCACAGTGATGGAGTTTCCATGGCCAGGTTTTCACCAGATGGATCCACACTAGTTTCTGTGTCCCACAGTGAGCTTTTCCTTTGGGGAGTCCTGCTTTGACCATCAAAGGATGAACTTTATCTTTTAATTGCTCATGTAAAATAAATTTATCTGTGAGAAATCATGCTTTTACTTATATCTCGAGTGTGCCTTGTCAGAAAAGTCATGCCTTTCACTACTATGTATTGAACTGTCTGCACAGTCATGTTTTTATTATAACAGAATGAGTTTTATTGGTGAAAAGTTATCTGTCTTGATTATCATAGATGTGCTATGTGAGAAATCATGCTTTCATTACCGTAAAATCATAACCAGTGTAGGACATTTCATATACTAAAATACAAGGCAGTCTAGGGTCTGTTTTCATGTCTTGATGCACATTGTGTATGATGCTGATGCCACTTTTATAGACTAATCAGCATGTGATCGGGATCAACATCAAGCCAGCCACCTTTACTTCCAGTCACATTGTCTGGTTTCAGTCTAGCCCATACCCCATAGCTGCTGATTGACCACAAGTTCAAAGAAACTTAAATGTGTAACCCTTATACAAGTTGCTTGTGTGTGTTCTGGGGTCTCATTTGAGAGCTGGGAGATAGATCCACTGTTCCTTGACAAGCATGTCATAAACAGCAACTAATTAAGGTAATGGATATGTTGGGCAGATATCACAACCAAGCTGTATACCGCAACACAACTGCCCTATTAAGGGCAGACACAGGAAAAAAAGAAGAAAAGGGTATAATTGCCTCTGTTGTTAGGGATTATGGATAAATACTTGTCCTCAAAGAAACCAACATATGCAACCTGAATAAATTAACTACGAGTTTTAACTGTCTCTTTATTTCTATAAAGTTTCCATATTGTATACATGTGTTTGATCTCAGGGTCAGCTAAGGCAGCCATTTTCAATCTGTTCATAATTTGTGCTTCAGCTGTGTGATATAAATAGTCTTTGTCCCAGAGATCTGTGTTTTTGACTACCACAATTGTTGGATTTAATCATTCGGTTGCCATCCTTACAAAAATACGAAATGTAATGGATCTCATAAGGCACCTCATATCATGAAAAAACCCTTTCCCACGTCTTCACATGTGTTGGACATATAGTACTAGACCTATATTTGATAGGGCAATCTGCATTCGATGGGTGATGTGGTCAGCATCACACCAGCTGTTTTTACTTCCCAGGACTTTTCCTGGTACCCATTTAAGGATGGGTTGGCCTGGGGCACAAGATCATTTTTTTTTAAATTTGAAGTCTGGCTTCATTTGGATTTGAACCCATGACCTTTGGCTTTGCAGTCGAGCGTCTAGCCACTTTATCACAGCAGCTCCCATCTCATAACATAGATGTGGAAAAAAGCTGTCACTGCTTCTGCTAAGTTATCTTTTGCTTTCTGTTGATGATAAAATATATACTTTGCTTGTACATCTTATATTTAAAAAAATTGTTTCTACTGTGGATTTAGGTAAATGTATTTATGAAGAAATCAGTCTAAACACAATGTAGTAATGTCAGTAAAACCTGACATTTAAATCATAATTTTAGAAAACATAATTATATCAGTGTGTTGAAATGCAAATACTTTTATGTAAATAAAGATGCTATTTATTAATGTGTATTTCTTGATTTTGTTTTAATGTCCTTAATTCTTTTGCAGTACAAAATTTTCCCTTGATTAATGCTGTGTAATGCTGCTAAGCAGAACAGAATAAAGTCATTAGAAAGTCCTGTTGCCATTGTAATATTTGTCCACAAATATTTTCAAGATAGTAAACTAGTCTCATGTTAATATTGATTTCTTATTCTTAGAAATGCATTCCACTGTAACCCTTTGGAGACAGAGTCTTTTTGGAGTTTTAATGCTAAAAAGACAAAGCCTTCAGGGAATGATTCTTTTAGTTTACACACACAAAGATTATTTAAAAAAAAGCTAGTTATTAACATACAAAAAAACTACATATTCGGGTAGGAATTAAATGAACTAACAGAATATGTATCAGGGTTCGTAGCCGACCGGGAATTCTTGAATTTACCGTGAATTTGATTCTCAAACCAGGAACCTCAATTTTACCCTTTTAAAAGACACTCTGACCTGAAGAAGCCGTGAAATTTGACCGCCGCAATGAGATCGTTGGAAGTCCTGCAATTTTCGGCAATTGTGCTTTTTTGTGTGTGTGGCTTTTTGGCTAGTTTTGGCCACTTTCCTTTATGGTCGTTTCAGGTGTAAGGGCAGTTGATTATTGGCTATTTTTCAGCTGAAATGGCTTGTTGAAGGGCGGGCTGTGTTGCAGCCCATGGATACAGGCAGACAGCAGCAGAGTGCCATGGGGCGGGAAGGAGCAACTGCCATCTTGTGTGTGTGTGCTTAAAATTTAAGCTCCTAAACACTTTCTTTTCTGGTACTCCCATGTTGAGTTATGAGTCATTGTGTGCTACAGAGTTTGCGCACTGTGCTGAACTTGAGTTAGAAGAACGGAGCACTTACAGGTTACTACCCACTTGCCATGATGTTGATCCATTTTCCAAAACTTCAAAACCTTTGTGTGTCATAACACGATTCCATCCAAGATTGCAGTCTGTAGGATTAACATCTCAAGGATGAGAAGCACACTGGTAAAGGTCCTGGAAACCTCGTTCAACAATATCAGGTTATGCTTGTGTTGGGGAAATGAGCAGGCAGATAGATGGCCGGTTCTGCATCATTGAGTGGTGAGCTGACGTGTGATAAGCTAGATATTGTGAGAGCCCTTTGGCAGCTAGTAAACAGTGTGGATGCACAAACAAATCATTAGATGCACAAACAGATCATTAGGGTCTGAGAAAAATTGCACTGCGAGGAGTTACCAGAGGATCTGACTGATGCTAAACACTCAAGGGAAAGGCAAGACAGATATACAGGAAGACAGTTACTAGTACCATAGAAATTGGAACTCTTCACTTGCTGCTGAAGATAAGGATGCAGCGCTTATGGAAAGTGTCCCCAGTACTGTGATGTTGATTCCTAATTCAACATTCACACTTATACTAGGCACCACAAAAAGATTACGAAGTAACTTGTAGCCCAGAATGGGTGGGTGTTTACAGGACCTACATCTTTTCGCCATATCAGTTATGAGTTATGATTCACAATAAAACGGACTATGTCTGTGTAACAGGGAAACGTCATTACTTGTTTGTTAGTAGGTAGTATATGGCGCAGAGCCGGGATGTACGGAGGTCAACAAGTTTTGGTAACCTTCTTTTCCTGCCAAAACTAAATATTCACGTCATCACTTGTTTGTCAGGAGGTAGATTCTGCGTATTAGTTAATGAGAAGAAAATCAACAGGTCTTAGCAACAATATTTCTCTTTCAGAGAGAACGCAGTAGTGGTTTTTTTTAAAGGAGTCTTTATGATGTCAACTGTCAATTTAACTATATATTTGCACATTATAAGATGATGAAATCTGATGCAATTGACATATATTTAGAAAATCCCACGTGAGAACGCACATAGTAAACATGTTGAGACGTACTAGCACTCCAGCATCTAAGTATAAATAATGCGTGAGAAACCACTAGGGTAATTCTTCAGTCCACAAGACAAGAGTGGAGGAACCTGTTATATTTACCCTCAAAGAAAGCCTCCAGTCTACAAGACTTAGAAATGAGGGACTAGTAACATGGACCTTCATAGAGCACTTTTAGTTGTGGAGATGCCAGCTCAACACTAGCAGCAGAGGAGCCAGTCACATATAGCCTCAAAGACAGTCGCTAGAGAGCAGACATGAAACGAGACAACTACAGAGACGACATAAAAGATACTTGGATTCATGTTTAACAGAGACACATTAGATAGCAACATTATTTAGATGTTAGAGTCGACGATCAAGCCATTAGTACCAGAAAGCACTAGAAGCCATGTGGCAGTTACAAACACTAGAAGCCAGGTGGCAGTTACAGACACTAGAACCGAAGCAACTAGAGACGAAGAACACAACGCAAACCTACGAGTATTTAGCGATAGAGAGAACACAGCGCCTTTCAGAAAATCATTGATTTTGTTTGTCACTTTGTGACACTGCTGAAGTATCACAATAAAGACAGTATAGATTAGAACAGTTGTTTCCAGACATTTTTTAATACCAGCATCAGAGTCACGTAAGAAGCATGCAGTTAGCAAGACATAATCATCATCACCACAATCGACACGACCATCTTTCTCCACTCGTCTATATTCTTCAATCGTCTCCTCCTGAAGCAAAACTAATGACGAACCTGGGTGTGACATCAACGTACGCAAATAACGGAGCTGTGCTAACATCTGGTAATCTTAGTTTCAGCTTCATAGCAAACGAGTCACACCATAGTTGCTCCGCTCCTGTGCCAACGAAAAACACACAAAATTGTTATCACATTCCAAATGATGATATCGTCTGGGTCTGAATGCTGATCTATCAGTTCCGTTACTTCTGTGTCTATGGCCGCAGGAGTTTGATCCCGGCTATCTACTTCATCATTTATCTAACGTTTCTGTTATTCTGCTACCGGGAGACAGATATCACCCACACCCTAGCAAATTAACTACAGACAAGTCAGAGTTAGACCTAGAAATTGCTATAAACAACTTACTCAAAACAACAACAGCGCCTGATTCAAACATTAGAGATACGTCTATTGCTTTGCTGTCCATCAGAACACTATAGGGAGTTTCAATGTCCGGGGGTATTTTGTGGAAAACTCGATACCCTTTACCCATGGCCAAATCGGATTTCTTTCTGGTTTCAGTATGTGTTTTAATTTAAAAGAACTGTTGCAATGCGAGGGTTAAAGCTAATGTTATTCGGTAGCTCCTTACCGGAAGTGAAGTCAATGCGAACCAGCGTCCATTGCACACGGTTAAAGACCATAAGTGCTCTGTGTCGCCGTTCGCACGAAACTCCGTAGCTACAGCGACATTCCTCCATTTATCCCAGAGTGTTAACTCTTGTACCCATTTCCTAGAGGCTGGGTAAACCCCGGGAACCGACTGGTTTCAAAGACCAGCCGTGGGCTGCAGCGAGTCACAGTTGGAT